AATGGGAATAATGCTTTCTTCAGTCCCTAAACATTTAAAAGCATTTGCAAATTCAAGTACAACAATGTTTCAAAACTTATTCGGTTTTTTACCTGCCCCATCAATTTATGGATTTCTAATGGAAAGATATAATTCTTAAGTTGCAGTATTTGCATTGATGTATTACTCTTTTGTTGGATTATTTGTGATGTTATTAGCTGTTTATTTTAAGAGGATGCAAAATAATAAGAAAGTAGGATTTGAGGAGGTATTTGAATAGTAATAAGATACAAAATCATCAGTTTTACAAGATGAAGAAAACTTTAATATCACAGTTAGAGTATTATAATATGGAGATGCTCCATTAGTCACATCACTAACTCCACATATTGAAGATTAAATTCCAAATTATGATAATCAAGAGGATGGAAATATGAAAGAAATTTGATTGATTATATCTCAAAGAATTATTCTAATTTTGTTATTTATTAAATGTAATAAAATCTACATATACAGCAAATGCCTCTTTTAAAATGTAATCGATAAATCAAATGGCTGGGTTACGATGTAAGTAAGGCAAAGTATTGGGATCCCTAGGCATCTTCTCATTTTTTATTACTGAAATAACAGGTCCTGGTATTCCAGACTCTAAAAGAGTCTTTTTGGCTTCTCTTTCTAATATTTTTCTGATTGAAGAATTAGAATGTATATTTGAGAGGTTCTAATTAGTAAATGTTTATTTTTACTTTATATTAATTAAGGATTTCATCAGCAACATGCTTTGCAATTCTATCTTCCAATGATGCTTTTTAATCTCCATTTGTAGTTGTTTTTTCCCAATCTTACTTTCCAGCTTCTATTAATTCTTACTTCTTTCTTAATTAATTAATTGAATCTAATTTAGATACTAAATTACTTTAAGTCTTTTCAGAATGTACTGATCTTGCTTCATCATTTTTACCTAATGATTAACTAATTTTATCATAAATATCAGGTTCTCTTTATTCTTATTTTTATTCAGGTTGATTATCTAATTTTTCTTATTAATACTCTTATTTTTTAATATCAGTAACTCTTTATTATAGAGCTTTAAGCATAACATTAACCTAAATTATTTGAATTAAATACTTCTAAATCATTGATATATGAATCATAATCTAAATTTTCAACGAAATTCAAAAGTTCATCTTCTTCATTCTTCACATGTTATTCTTCTTCCTAATATTTAATATTTATAACTGTTAATTACTTCTTTAGTCATTGCCCAAACTGGTTTAGTTTTATATCTCTTTTTCTTATCTCCTGGTTTACTTTCAGATTTAGAATCTTTTTCTTCTAACTTTTTTAGGTTTTCTGCTGTTAATGCCACTCTTAATAATTATTAAAATTGTTTTACGTTTTACTTTTTGGTACTTCTTCTTACAATTCCTTTTTAATAATCTCATTCATCTATTTATAATCTTCTTTCATCTTTTTTGTCACTTCTCTATCTTTCTTTGCTAATTCTCTCACTCTTAAAAATTTCTCATCTTCTCTTGCTTATAATTCTTCTTTTGCATGTTTCTTAATCTAATTTTAGAGTTTGAATTCCTCTAACCATTTCTTATGTCTCTCTAATACAGGGTTAGTTTGAGGTACAACCACTTATGGTTCTTCATATTTTTTTGTTAATCCCCATTAATCATAAGGTTATACTCTTGAACAGAATGGCCTGAATAATTTTCATATCAATACTTTTCTTTTACTATCATAACATTTTCATTTGGCCTGTTACATAGCATTACTCCTTTGAAATTATTGATAGGAACATCCATTTTGATAATTGTAAAATTTATAAAAAAAACTATAAATCTGTTTAGAAATAAGAATTTTGGTTTGATAATGTTTTTCAAAATAAAGGATTCTTAGATATTCCTCAAAAGTATAAGATTTAATTGATAAATTCACTATTCAATTATTTTGGGATTGGATTTTAATTTGATGAATGTATAATTCTATAGATCAATTTAGTATAAACATTATATTTTTTTGAGAGTAGAATTCATTTTTTAGTATATACATAAAAATTCATAAATAATTTTATTATATATCTAATAATTTATAAATTTTTGTATTCTTTATGATAAATTAATTAAGTTAGAAATCAAGAAAAGAAGTATTGATTATGATATTAAAACATAAATATATATTAATTAAATAATAAATAACCAATATATTATGATTTTTATTAATCAATTTTCCTTCTTATTATCTAATTTATTCTCTCTGTTATCATATACATTTTTATATTTACCAGCTGAGAAGATTCCAATACCTACTTTAACCATAAAAATTGTCCAGTAAATGTGCATTCCAAAAAGTACTATCATCAAACCTACTTAATTGTACAATGCATGTTTTGTATTTTCCCTTTTATTATAGTATTTAATTAATACCAATAAAGAGAAAATCCAGGATGATTTACTATGATATCATAAATCTTAATTGGGAATACATAGACTCTAGTGTATAACCAAGAAATTTGAATTGCTGAGAAACTTACATAAACAAGTATTTTATTCTTTCCAATATCAGCATAGGTTCTTCCATATGCCAAAAAGATATCGCTAATGTCATGGAGTACCAAGACAACAATACCGATACTTTCACAATTATAAATAGTTGAAAAATATAACAGACTTACTGCTAAAAAATGATGTAGTAAATATTCCCAATATTTCAATTCTATTTTTGTGCCATAGACCATCAATAATAATAAAGCATGAACATGACTTGAAGCTTAGATCATATAATAGAATGGAACCCAAGGATTCTATTTTGAATTTTTTTTAATTTATACATCAGGCATGTTTGGGAAATCATACATGGTTTCTGTGAAATTTGAGCCACCTAATTCAGTTGGAAACCATTTTTCATCTCTAAAAACAATATATGCAAATATAGTAGCTACTGAATAGTAGAGAGTATCGTAAATCCATTTAATAATTTTTTAAACTCTTAATTATCTATCTAAACCAATATATTTTTAATCTAATGATTTAGAAACATAATCGAAAACTAAATATCTATTGATTTCTTTAGTGATCTAAATTTATAAAAAATATTAATTTACATGAATCATGATTAATCCTATAATCATCCATTTGAGATCAGACCAATCAAATCTTCTAAGGTTCTTTTCTTTAAGGAATTATTAAAATTGTATGACATCTAAGCTATACAAAGATATAACAACTATGACCAATATAATACTAAGTTACATAAAACCGCAAAGAAAGAATATTTGAAAATGGTTTCATAGTGAGAAAATTTGACTAATTTGCCTAAAGTGATGTTTTATTAACCCTCTTGAATGAGCTGTTATTTTTTTGGTTTGAAAATGTTGGAAATCATATTTAATAATTAGTAATAATATTCAAAATAAGTTCTTTAAGAATTCCTTATATATTATCATATTTTAGAATATTTAATTCTTTTATTTTTTTCCTTTAATTTATATAATTGATATAAAATGAAAATTATCATATTTTTAATTTTGCTTTTAAACATAAATGGATACATGCTTAGAAACAAAAAAGATTAGATCAAATAACAAGTGATTTAAGTATTATACTCATTTATATATTTAGTAAATTAGAGAAACCATAAAAAATCCATATTCTCCATTGTACCACTCATCATATAATCGTTTGGCTTATTATGTAGATACATTTGGTCCGAGAATGTGGGGTTCAGAAGATATGGCTGATTCAGTAGATGCTTTAGTGGAAGAGATACAAACTTATGGATTTGATAAGGTTTGGAAAGAGAATTTAGGAGATATCACATCTTGGAAAAGAGGTGAAGAAAGTGTGACTTTATTTGAGCCAAGATAATATCCATAGAAATTGAATATGATTGGTTTAGGATGGAGTCCAGCAGGAACTGTTAAAGCAGAAGTTGAAGTAGTTCATTCGTTTGAAGAATTAAAAAATATAAATGTTTAAGGGAAGATAGTTTGTTTTAATTATGAATGGAAAGGATATTCATCTGGTGTATAATTTAGAACAAATGGACCAAAATTAGCAGAAGAGGCAGGTGCAATAGGAACTATTATAAGGAGTGTTGCAAGTGTTTCAATATCGTCACCACATACGGTATGTAAATTTAATAATAAATTAAGGGAATGACAAATTATTAAAATATAAAATATCCAGCTGTTGCAATCACAGTTGAAGATGCAGATATGATAGATAGAATGAGATAAAGAGGTTAGAAAGTTGTGATTGAAATTAAAACTAGTGGATAATAATATAAAACTACAAGTGATAATATATTGGCAGAAATTAGAGGATCAAAATATCCAGATGAAATATTATTAATGGGTGGTCATTGGGATTCATGGGATGTTGGATCTTAGACAGGTGCTAATGATGATGGAGCTGGAGTATTAGAATGTTTAGAAGCTTTGAAAGTTTTGAAACATTTAGGAATAAGACCTAAAAGAACTATTAGATTTATAGCTTGGAGTGGAGAAGAAATGGGTATGGCTAATAATGGTGCTTAACATTATGCAAAAACTCATTCTTAAGAAAATCATATTGTTGCATTTGAATCAGATCTTGGATCTACTAAACCATATGGTTTTGGTGTAACAGCAGGAGAAAAATTCACGTATATTGATTATTTTATTAGTTTAGATAACTTGTAACTTATTTGGCATAAGAATATTTGACTGGAATTGGAGCAGAGAAGATATATCCTAATGCTGGAAGTTAAGCTGATAGTGGAGCATTAAGAACTGTTACTGGAACTCCAGTTATGAACAACAAAATAGTTGATAATGATACACATGACTTTTATTTCACATATCATCATACTGCTGGAGATTCTATGTGGATGATGAATGCTGATGATATGGATGACAATGTTATTGCTATTGCTAGTATTATGTATTTGATTGCTGATCATGATGATCCTATACCTAAAAATTGATTGAATTTATGTAATTTTTTAATTATATTATTATTTTTATTATTATTTAATGAAAGCAATATTACTTATCGCTTTAATTTTTTGTTTTGCAAATTGCAGTCTTGAAACTATTGGATTAAGACATAAATTGTCTTAAATTATTCAAGAACATTAATCAAGTTTATAAGAAAAATAAATGTCAGGTGGATGGATTAAAGTATTATTTGTTTAAAAATTTAAGTAACCATTAGATGAATTTGAACAATAAAACAATAACATAATCAAATCTACTTAAGATGCAATTGAAGATAAATTTAATTTATCAAAAGATGGATATTAATATGAAAAGTTACTTCAAGTGACTTCTCAAGTTGTGGCAGGAATTAACTATAAAGTTCTTGTTTAATATGAAAAAGAAGATGCTAAAAGAATTTTTGAAGTTCAATAATTTGTTGTGTAATAATATCTTTTTAAATAAAATAGTCCCTGGAACCCATCAGCTAATTCAATTACAAAAGTAGAAGAAATTATATCATAAAACTAATGAAATAAATTTATAATATAGAATAACATAATTTTATGATTTTTTATAGATTAAATAAATCATTATATCTTATATTTATAATTATATTATTTTATACTAAAGAATCTATTAATTAGAAATTCATTGATATTATTTAACTATTAATTTTTCTATTTTTATTAAATTCAATCATAAATAAGTAAACTGTTTTCATTTATTAATAAGATTAGATAAGTAAATACTTTTAATTTTTTTAGATTTATCTTTAATTTTTTGTTCATATATTTTATTATATTGAATCAAAAATAGCTTCATTAATTAGTGAATTTATAAGATTATCTTCATCGTAATTCTATGAACAAATTAAGAATTCTCTCTAATCCTAATATATGTCTAAGTTTCGTAGACATTATCTTTAATAGTATTGCTCCTCAAATTATTCAAGTACTGTTGGAATATTTGTTTTTGTAGTAATATTTGAAAATCTTTCCTAAATTCATTTAGTAAATAAAATACATGTAATTCTTGCTTAATCTTATTTTATAATAAGTATAGAGTTTCACGAGTTTTTTAACTTTTCAATTCGTGTGGAATCTCTTTATTAACTTTATTTGGTTATTCAGCACTCCCTTATTAAATTTATTTTGTTTCCATTATAGTAACAAATCTATAAGGATCAAATGGTTTGAGAGCATCGTCAACAAGACAATCTAAGGCCTATTGCAATTTTGAATTGAACACACTTTATTAATTCATAAAATTAATTAAAAAATGGGTAGTTCATGTTGTGCAAAGCAATAGAGTGAAAAAGATTTACAGTAAGTAATTAACAGCAATTATAATCGATCTTAAACTAGCATTAATTCTAAAATTTTCTTTTCAAAACCATCATAAGAGGTTCAATATGTAAGTCATGTTTTACTAAACATTGATGAAGAACCAATTGAAGAAATAAAAGAAGACATTAAAGATTAGAAATTATCGCCACTTATAAAAAATCTAAATAAAAAATTTCTCAATATGTTGGAATGATAAAAATATAATTCATTTTTCTTATTATTATTAACCTTTTTTAGAATTCAAAGATTATCAGCTAACTATAAATTTATAATAATATCAATTATTTATTGAGGGAATAAAATCTCTAAGATAATTGTTTTATTGCTTAATTCAAAATAAAAATAATGCCATTTACACAGATATTTGATCTGATGAGATTGAAATAGATCATAAAATAATGTAGTGAAGATGTTCTTGAAAGTAGTTAGCAATTTTCAAAATCTTATAAAACTAGAGTGAATTTTGAAATAAAGTCAAAATTAATCAATAAGAAAATTCTAAATTTTTATTGCATTAATATAAAAATTGTTTTATATATATATAATTTTTAATGAATAATATTTTAATTCTTGAATTAATTAGGCTAAAATGAAAAACAAGATTAAAGGTAAAATTAAATAAAAGAGTTTAAAATTGAATTGAAACTCTTTTTAGATGATACATTATTCAATAAATTTCTAAAATTCTCTGTTTTTTAAATGATTTCAATTTTTTAATATTAGCTAGCTAATTAATAATTATTATATTGAATTTGAAACCTTATTTAAATTGTTAAGTATTATAATTATTAATAATGGATCATATTGTTAGACTAAAATCTTTTTTATTTATTTTATTTATCCTATTTTTACTCTTCTCTAATGAATAATGCTCTTATAATGATTATATCTATAAATATTAGTTTGCAAGTACAGTATTTTAGAACATAATAGTACTAGTTCAATTTACAATAGTATAATGAATGTTAATCCTATTTTTAATAGAATGAATTAAATAATTAAAAGAGATTTATACCATATTAAATTAGATATGTAGTACTAAATGTAAATAAAAATGAAAAACATATTTATAAATAAGAGAACTTCATTATATGAAATCTTTTTCTATAATAGTAAATTTTAAGAAATTGAAAAATGGCAATTAGTTATGTTCTTAAAAGTAAATAGGATATATATATTTTCCATAATCTTCAATTCAACTTTTGATCTAAGACTAGAGAAGATGGATGTAAATACTAAATATCATTAATTAATGATCTTCAAATTTTAAAATACTCCATAATACATTTTTATTATTTTGCAATCTATTCATAATGTACAGGTTATATTTAATCTTAGTGTTAATAGGTAATTATTTGCTACAAGCATCATTATTTTATGTGATTTTTAAATTTTGAATATTTATTAAATTTTTACCAAACAACTAACAAACATCATGAAAATACTAAGTAGTAAATGAAGTAAGTATTGACTATTAAACCAATAACTCAAGATTTGTTATAAAATGGAACACCATCGCTCAATACAAGCTTCATATTAATTTGATATATAGAAATCATATTCAATTTAATTTTACTTTTTTCTTTTCTTCTGCAAGTTCAAGTTTTAATATATCTTCAAAATCTAGTTCTTGTTTATTTCTGGATGGAGATTATTATTAAGGCTTAGATTTATTTCTCTCATCTCGCATAACCTTTTAAAATTTCTATGTTGTAGTTGATTATGGTCTAATTTATTGTCTTTCAAGTCTTTGTTATTGTAACCTCATTTCATTTTTTAACAATGTTTCATGGAATTCTTTTTCAAATTAAGGCATTTCACTAAGTTAACAAGGTTTTGGTTCTTGCTTGAAGAAATCATGATTCAAAGCTTACACTGCATTTAACCTTTTCTCTGGATCTAATATTAATAAATGATCTATTAGATCTAAAGTCACTTAATCAATTTATTTATTTTAAGCTTAACAAACATCTTTAATATGTTTGATCAATAATCTTTCATAATTTCTTCTGGGTTTAAATTCTTCCCATTATCTCAATTTAACACAATTAGGCCAATTTAATTCAGAAGCACTCCCACACAATTCATATATCCTTTCCATTTATCTAAATTCAATATCTCCTTTGAATAGAACCTCTCCTGTAATTAATTCAGCAAATATACACCCTAGACTCCACATATCAATTTAAGTATTATAATTAGTTTATCCTAAAAGCAATTCAGGGGCTCTATACCATAAAGTTACTACTTTGTAAGTATATTTTGGATTATTCACATTTGATAAGGTTCTGGCTAAACCGAAATCAGCCAGAGTCACTTATCCTTTATTATTCATTAGAATATTAGCACATTTCAAATCTCTATGAATAATTTTACTTTCATGAAGATATTTAACTCCCTCTAAAAGTTATTGAAAAATGCATTTTATTTGTGGTAATGTAAAGATATTTCTTTATCTATGAAGACCAGCAAAATCATGATCATAATAGTCAAATACTAAAAAAGTGGATCCTCTAAAATTATTTCTAAAAGAGGCTTTGCTTATTATTATCTCTCTTAATCTTAAAATATTTTTATGATTCATTATTTTCAATAATTTGATCTCTCTTATAGCAGTAATGGGAAATCCTTAATTAAATGTTCAATTATTATACCTTCAGCCATTATTTTCTAATCTTTAGTATCAATTTTCTTTAAAGCCACAAAATCATTGGTTTTTAAGCATCTTGCTTTATACACCTTACCATAAGTACCAGATCCAACTTCACCGATTACTTTATAATACTTATTCACATTTTTGGTCCTACAAGAAACTTGCATTTTATATATATATTAATTATAGAAAACTTGCTTTATTGAAAAATAATAAAAATTTAGATTTAATATTTGAATTATGTTTCAATATGATTAATATTATAATAAGAGAGACTTAATCTATTAATTAAGAAGATTTCTAATGGAATGAATTTATATATTAAACAACTTAGTTATTCATCTTAAATAGAATGTATTTAGTTTTTATTATTTATATCAATTTTTTGTAAAATAATATAATTAATTTTAAATTAAAAAAATTATGTTGACAGCGAGATTTGAACTCGCGCCCTTGCGGATTGGAGCCTAAATCCAACGCCTTAGACCAACTCGGCCACATCAACTTTGTTATTAATAATCTAAAAGTTTGGCTAATGAAAGAAGTATGCCCCTTTACCAAAAAATATGATGACTCAATACTTTAATGAAAAATGATCCTATAATAATTTTAATAATTTAATATTATTATAATAATTCTTGTCTGATAATATTTTAAACAAAAATAGTAGATTTTCTTAGATTTGTTATTAATAGATAAATAAAAATGTAAAACTTAGATTTAATTGATTATTATATAATGATTATACAAGTTTACTTTAAATTTCTTAAACTATAATTAAAAATAGAATTATATTCTTGTTTTAAAATCATGTTTAATTATTTATTATATTATTATGCATAAATAGATGTATATTTTTTGAATTTAATATCAAATTTATATATCATCTTATAATCATTAGTAGAAATGTTGTGTATAATTTCTAACATAGTCATCAGAATCTGATTCTTCAAAATCATCAACTACAAAATGCACTTTTCTTCCTTTTCTTATTTTTTTTTAATGTAAATTTTAAAATAATTTTGTCATTAAACCAGGCACTCTTGTTATATCTTATTCTAAATTTGGATTTAATTTATGAATCTTATCAAAATCATCTATAAACATAGAATTAGTTTTTTCCAATAAAAGTTAAGATATGATATTTGAATGTTTCTCTACAAATAACAATATCTTTAATATATTGCTGCTATCTAATTTAGAAATTATATCTTCCTCACATTTCTATTTAAGATCTGTGATTAAATATTCATCAGCAAGTAACATTAAATCACAAGTGTCTTCAATCTTTTCTGGGAACTGATCTAATTATAAAATAATAGTACTTCTTTCCAATACCCACAATATATCCATTATAACATGACCTTAAATAAATCAGGTTTCTTGTGTTCAACCTTAACTAAAGTTTGATTGCTTTCAATCATATTTGAAGAAAACATTCCATTAAACTTTGGAGATCTACAAGCTAAAATACATTTGTGTAAAGGTATTGGCTTTTAATTAACAAATAAAATACACTTTCTTCATTAATTTAAAGCAGAATATCACTATGACTTCCCTAAATAAACAACCCTTAGAATGATGTTTTTAAGGGATTTTATGCCATTTATGAAAATTCAGTTGTATGTATTACTTTTACTAAACATGAGGTCATTATACTAGTTTCAGGCTTGTAATAAAGTATTATAATACTCTGATATCTCTTCCTAATGATTAAAATCTCAACATCTTATAATTAAGACTTGTAATCCCACAAAATTCAAGACTATATGATAAAAATGTTCTTGGTCTAATAATAGGAAGTTTAATAGAATTATTCTTTAACATAATGACTTAATTCTTTGAGAAGTTTAAAAGATCTTCTCCAGCTTCAAATATGATATCTAATTATTCTGAACCTTTCTTTTTTAACATATAATAATTTCTTTTATAATATTAATAAAATTAGAATGATAATTATAATATATATATATATAAATAAAGAAAATAAAAGATTATTTTAACTTTAAGAAAATATATTTTTGTTTATGGTTATATTAAAATTATAAATATTTAAGAAATTATTCCAATTTTATGTAGTTTTCTATTTAATAATACTTTCAGAAATTTGAATTAAAAAATATTAAAATTTGATTGATAATTAATAATATCATATCATATCTTTATAAATGTATGATAATTTTTATGACTTGTAGCAACATAACATTTCCAATCATCTTTCTTTAGAGCATAACATTCTTCACAAAAATAGAAACCAAAACAATTTTCACATTTATAAACACATCCTGCTTTTTCTAATTCACATCCTTAACATTTATAAGTTTTCTTAGAGAAATTTTAAACTTCATAAATAGGTTCAAATCGATGATCTGCTTTATGTCTTGGACCATTTAATTCAGATTAAGATCTAGAAAAGAAACAATTTTAACCTACATAATATATAAATATTATTACATAAACTAAAGTTAGTACATTATTTGCAAATAAATTAAACACCTAAAATAGGTTTCTAAAAACAACCATTACATTTTGCATCATGACATGGTATACCTTCAGCAAATGTAGGTAATTCAATAACTTTAAAATCATGATCCTTATGAGTTGGATCTCCTGATTAAAGTAGATTATCAAAACATGCTTCACAACAATCATAATTATCACATGTTATACATTCAAATCTTGGACCCCAAATAGGATTTTAATCACATCTATTACATTAATGATATTAATGTAACACTTCTTCTTCAGCCTTATTAGCTAAAAAGAACATTTCATTCTCATTTAATTCTCCTTCATTTATCTTTTTATTATAACATTCTTAACAAATATCAAAATTAGCTATCTTTTTTGATTTGTATCTACATATTCCAGGTTACAATGCAATACTACATATATTGCAACTTATTTAAACTAACCATTTTTAATATGTTTCTCCCAATTAATTACCTATAGAAAACCATCCATGTCTAAGATTATTGTTTCTAGCAAATATTTCAACTTTTTTAGCTCCAGGCATCATTAATTCTATAATTTCATACATTTCTATAGGTTTCTATGATTTATTTCTTACTGAACTGAAAATTATATTATTAGATATTTTAGAATGATATTCTACATGTTCACCTGGAGGACATTTATATCTATTAAATATTCAATAATATAATACCCAACTAAACATATTTCAAAAGAATGCATAAAATAATATCCTGTAGATAAATACACATTATTTCCTTAAGGATTTAATTTAACCCAAATAATTTGATCTACAATCTCATATCCCCATTTGCTAGCCATTTCATATGCTATATTCAATTATGTATTTAGAATCCATAGAAACAAAAATCCTTTCTTACTCAATTTCTCAATTTTAATATCCATAATCTCTTAATTACTCATTGTATTGTAATCAAGTGAGAATTTACTATTAGTAAACATAAATGATGAATCATTCTATTAACCTCCTTTAATTCTCCAAGGTGGATCCATTAAAACAACTATATAGAATATTAATATTGTATACCATCAAATCCACCTACTTTTTCAACTAAAAAATCTAAATTAAAATATCTTATATCACAATTAATATAAGACTTAACTTCCCCTAATTTAGATAGAATTTCTGAATTTTCAATTCCTAATAATTTTAAATTTCTTTTAGTTTCAAAATCTGTTCCATCTTCTGTTAAAATTCGTATTTATTCTTCTTCTGGTTTAATTTCTTCATCTTATTATTTACCATCACTTATTTATCCAGTTGAATATTCTGGATTTGGATTTGATAATTATTTAAGTTCTGCTGCAGATATTGGAATATCTATTATATATATTCTTTTTATACCTTAAAATATTTTTACAAAGACATTTTTAAATAATTCTTTAACAAGATTTTCTTATTCACTTCCTGAAGCTAAAATCTATTTTTATTCATAAGATTTCTTAAATATTTTATTTACTCTTTTCAATATAAGTCTTCTTTTATATTATTCTTCATCTGATGAATCTTCAATTTCTAAACGTTTATGTGTTCTTTTAAACTTTTTGGACTTCTTGGCTTTTAATTTTGGATCAAAATCTGACGAATTATCAGATTCAAAGACTAATTATTGGCAGGATATTGGTTATTATTTGATCAAAGTTGGTACTTGAACTTGCTGAACTTCTTCACGAGGAGGAGTATGTAATTCAGCATTCTTCTTTTTATAACTTTGCTTATTCTAAATGATTTTTTTCTATTAAATTTATGGAATAGCTAAAAGTGCTAAGACTAAAAGAACTAAGAACCTGGACCGCCAGTTTGCTTACGTTCCCTCTTATTGTACACCAGATTATCAAGATTGATCTATTTTAATCCAGTCTTTTGTTTTAAGACATTTTTTTAACCATCCTAAACAAGTCTAACATCACTACTCTTTTCTTGGTCAGTCATTAATTTTTTAATTTTTTTTTTTTATTCTATCCTCATTCAGAAGCCATTTCAAATATTTATAAAATAAAATAATTGGAATCACAGACATTTTACTTCCATCTAGTTATTTTTGATGTCATACTCAAATATATCTAAACATGTCAAATCTGTTACAAAATCAACCTATTTAGACACTAAATTAAATCATAAAATTTAATCTGAGCATACTTGAATAACAATATTATTACAATAATTCAATCTCAAATATATTTCAGAATTTCCTTAATCACTTACCTATACATTAAATAAGTCTATTCAAACTATTTATTAGATTCATATTTAGAGTATCTTAATAAATTACTTTAATTTATACATATTCCTTATACACTTTATCATGTAACCTTTGTTTCTAGATCATATTCTCTCTTCTATAATTCCTAATCTCAATACAATACATAAGATTTTCAAACAATATAAGCCTGTAAATAATTGAAAGTTAAAAATGATTACTATTGACTGAAATCATTCAATATAAATAGAACAGAACTTCATATAATATGTATACAATTATTTTATAATTCTCTAAATCTAATTCTATACCATTAAACATCAAATATATTATTTTTTAGTTAATATAGAATTAAAATATATTTATTTTTATGTTTATTAATAAGTTTTTGCTATCTAAAATAATATGAGAAGCTCTTATTATATAAAATATCAAATAAATTCAATTTTCTTATTGTTTTTATTACATAATTTCTTAATCATCTTAAAAATTTGTTTATGTATGTTTTTCTTAATCTAATAAAGGCTTAAAAAAAGGATGTTTTAATCCATCTTCAACCTTTATTCTCTATTTTGGATTTAAGCAAAGTAATCTTGTAAGCAAATCTTCTGCATCATTATCAAATCCATTAATATTTATTATAGATTTCCATTATACAGGTTTGGTTGCAACAACTGTAGGTAATTTAAGATCATATTCTAATTTTAAGTATAAATTATATTATTTTACCAAATTAATCACAAATTTATTTAACTTATTCAGAACCAAACAAACTAGCTAATTCTAATATAAAGTTAACATAAAAAAAGTTCTTAGTCACAACAGGCTTATTTATCATTCTAACATTACTAAATAAATTGTATTTCTTAGTTAAAAATTGTAGGAATATGACTCCTACAGCCCACATATCCACTTCATAAGATTGATCCTTCAATAATTATTTATTTATATATACATTATAATGCAATATACTTTCTAATGGCATAAAACTCTCTGTTCCTATTTTATTATTTCCAATTTAATCTATAGTTTTTTAGATTTCATTGTATAAATTAATTTTTCTTCTGATTTCTTAGACTTCATCTGATTGAGGATGCTTAAAAAAATAATATAATATTTATACCTTTTTAGATAATTCTTTTTCTTTTTCAATCAATTTGGCAACAAATGATCTATCAATTTCACTTAGACCATAATCAATAAGGATTCCTTTACCTGTCTTTGGATTATAGAGAAAGTTTCCAGGTTTAACATCACGATGATATATACCATTTAATTTCAATACATTTAATGCTTTAAGTAATTCATATAAATATCGTCTAATTTCCATCATATCAAAATTAGCAAAGAAAGTCTAAATTATTTTAAGATTAATACAATGAATGGTTTGTATGTAAAATACTCAATGACGATATATATTTTTTGATCAATAAGAAACAAATTAACCAATTATGGCATATTTTCTTTGCCATAAATTAATTTCAGAAATCCAATTTCTGCAAATATTAACTCTGGAGATACTGTTGAAAAATTAACCTTGATGGCATATTTTTTGTTTTTATCAATTTAACCTTAATTGAATCCAACCCTAAATAATTAGAATAATTTATATACGCTTTATAAACAACTCCATAACCTCCTCTACCCAATTCTCTTACAACTTTATAGTTATTTTTAATATAGACTTCTTCATCAATAGATTAATCCATATAATAACGATCATTTGAACAAGGATTAACTTTAACTTTTGTATTAGATGTTTTCTTATTATTATTTTTTTTCATTAATTATAGATTATATAATTCATAATTATTTATCAAATGAATTTATATCTTCTGAATTGAGATGGTAAAATCGCATTCTTGAATTTGGTTTATTGATCAATGAAGACAATCCAATATTAGTACTAGCCATTTATGATAATTTTGTAATCTCTTAATCTCTATCTTTTATTGCATTTTATAATTGATCAACAGCCTTCAATAAATATTTGATTTTTTCACTATCATTGATTTTTTATCCTGGTGTAATTCCTAAAATTAATATTATTATTTAATACCTGATGGTGATATTTAACTTAATAATACAGATTATGGTAATTAACTTATATTTGATTATTGTTATGATAATTATTATTACATCAATTCATTATTTTCTTTTAATAATCTATTTTCTCTTTTTAATTATTCATTTTCTTTATTAAGTTCTTCTTTATCTTTTTGTAATTGTTAACATAAATCTAATTTATATTCTATCTATTTCCTTACTTCCTCATCAAATCTAATAATATTACCATTCTCCATTTATTATTTCAATTCATTTAATTCTCTATTAGCTGTAATAAGTGATTCTTATAAGACATAATTTTAAGCCTTTAATTCACTTACTTAATTGCTTTTCTCAAACATACTCAATTAAGCTTAATTCATTAAGTTTTATTTATGAGTATTAATCAATATTTCAGCATTTTGTAATTGCATTGAAAGTGTACCCACTTAATTCTTTAATTAATCTAATGTAGATTCATAAGTCATTCTTTCAAATTTGTATTATTCATCATATAACTATTTGAATGATTCTATTTCTTATTTAATTTAATCCTATCAATATAATAAGATTCATTATACAGCATATTTTAATTATGCATCTTCAATAGTATAAGAATGCATATCTCTTAAAACATCAATTTGAGCTTCTAACTCTTTCTTTTCTTCTAATTTTTAATTCAATAAATTTGTATAATTGACTCTTAGAATATTCAAATCTACTTTCAATGTTTCATAAGCTATTCGATACTCATCTAATTCCTTTATTTATTATTATTATTCCTCAACCAATTTTTATAGTTATTAATATTCATAAATATATTTTAATTTTTCATCCTTTACTACTTTTAAAGCTTAATCCAAATGATAAGTTTATTATAAACTTTATTATAATTCTTCTGTTTTTGCAATAAATTATTATTTTCCAGATTAAATTTCCTAATCCTTAATATCAATCACTTAATTTATTTATTCCAATTCATTCAATACCTTATTCAAATTTTATGTAAGTTCCTATAATAATAATCTAAAATAATATTATACTTATTTTTATAGAGTTAATTTTTAAACCTAAAAGGCATATTCTTCTGCTTCTATACTTTTTTATTTTAATCTTTCACAAATATTATCAAACTCTTAGTTGATCTAATATATTAAATTAAAATATTACAATTTAATTTGAATGTTCCATCTCAGTTAATTAATTTTACAAATCACGATTATGTTCTTTTAGAACTTCCATTTCTTAAGATGCTGTTCCCAAAACATCTGTTAACTTTTCTACTTCATTTGTAAGAATGTTGACTCTACTATAACACATATTATGTATATCTGTTGAAAATGTTTCATCCATTCTAGAAACTTTGGTTTAAGGAGTTTAGCTTAATTTCATTAGGATATATATGTATATAAATTATATTTATTTATTTCTTTTTAATTAATTAATTTGTTTTCATACTCCTTCTTTTAACGAATCTGATAGCTTTTGTAATTCTTCAATTTTTATCTCTATATGTTTAATCTCTTAATTCAATAATACTATTCCACCTATTGCCTATTAAATTATACCATAATTTACTGCAAATATAAAAAGTGATGAAAACACCATAGATTTAAGATAAAGATTGTTAAATGATTTTGGTACTCCAATCAAACCTTTATTATTATTATACCAAATCAAATGTGATAAAATACCAACAAAATAAAACCCAAATAAATATGGTGATAAGTAGTACATTAATATACTATTTCCTAAAAGACATATCAATTAGCTTGAACTATATAATCCCAAATATTTAAAAGGTTTACCAGATACAAAATGACAACCTACAATTGCACCAACTATTCCAGCAAATCCAAATATATATATATCATTCAATTAACAAAAGGCATTTGTGAGTTGATGAGAAAAATAAGGGCTTTACATTTATATAAAATCATAAAAGATTAATGGACCTATTAAATAATAGCTTCACAAATAATTGTAACATTTAATACAAATTCTTTTATAGTCCTATTGGAAATCTATAAAAAGGCATTCTTCTTAATGAATAATCAGATTCTTTTTCCTCTGTTGTTCTTTCTTCTATTTTCACTTAATTAATAACTTAAGTAGTCCTTCTTGTTTTTTAGATATTCTTTTCAAATTGACTGCAAAATTATTAGACTATTTTTTTTAATAACATTATATTATTATATATTAATAAATATTGTATATCACAATTATTTACATATAAAATTTTATTGTGTTTAATTTTTATACATTTCTTAAGATAATAATAATAAATTTAATGTTTCAACGTAAATCAGAAGTGGGAGAAGAGTAAGGAGAAACAGTCATTGCACTTTACTCTTAATAAACTAATATGAGTTACATTCCTCCTGTTTATTTAAAAAATGGTCCAAATTAAAATAGATCTTGTACTAATCTATGCTGCTGTTTATTATTTCTATTGTCTATTGGAGCTTTAGGATATTTCTATTTCTTGACTTACAGTAGTCAACATATAGAAAGACTCTACACTCCTGTAGATTCTGAAGGAAGAGAATGTGGATAAGGAAATTTGAATAAGTTTCCGTTGATTTATTTCGTAACTCCAGAAGAGGTGAGGTTCTTAATATATGGCTTTAGAAATATCTATATAGAACAGTTTGTGTTGAAAAATGTCCTAAAAAAGAAGATTAACAATTGTTATGTGCTCCAAATAAATTAATCAAAGACTGTCACAATAATCCAAGTCCATCAGACCCAGAAAAACGAGTATTAATCTATGAATCTCATTCATATTCAGGTAATATCTGTTTACCAACTGATGATAATTTAAAAAATGCAGTTTAACCAGCAATTTTAGTAGGGGAAATTTAATAAGCTTTAGTGAATACAAAAGCAAATTTACCAATTATAGCCATTAGTGGAGGAGCTGCCTTTTTATTGGCATTCTTTTTCACAATAATGATTGGATTGTGTACTACATTCATAGTTTATGTATTCATATTAGTCTATATCTCTTTAACTGGTTTCCTTAGTGCATATTTTCTATTATATTTCATAAAATTACCTTTAGAGTATATATTCTTTTATTATTAATTAGTTTATTTCCTTATTTTGATAAATTAACATATGCATGGAGTCCATATATGTTAGGAGCATCAATAACATTTGGATTATTATGCATATATGCTATATTTACATTATGTTGGAACTTAAGGAAAATGAAATTTATGATATCTCTTGTTAAATTGGCAACAACATTCTTGTATTAAAATAAAACAATTATCATTGTGCCTATAGTATTCTTTTTTTTAATAATGTCTACTTTATTGATATGGATTGCAAGTGCTTTAGCAGTACTTTCAGAATAATAAATGGAGTATTCATCAGATGAATAAATTTAACCATTTGAAAAGATTTAACTTAAATTTGATACTTTAATTAAATTGATGATTACTATACTAGCTTTAATATGGTTAATGCAATACATCTTATCATTGGCTAGATTCCTTAATGCTTCAACTGCCACACTCTGGTACTTTCATGCTTCTTCTAATAAGGGATTTGTATATGATAGTTTCAAATTAGCTGTGCGATACCATAATGGAAGTATCACAGCTGAAGCAATATATAGTTTCTTTTTTAGTGGTATAGCAAAAATATTTAATTTGATATATGTAAAATTATCATTAATATAATAGGATTCACTCAATCGATGTAGAATGAAGAGACACAATATAATATTGAATTGTTTTGCATCATTTTCTTTGTGTTTATGTTGTCTTTGTGAGAATTTCATTATGTACATTAATAATTATGCTTTTGTATATATTGTAATGACATCAGCAGATTACTTTGAATCAAGTAAAGCTGTTCATTTTACAATTAAAAGAAATTATTCAGATTTTGAAACTCTTTCAGGATTGGGAGAATAATTTACTCATTATAGCAAAATGTTTATATTTCTAGTAACAACTCTTGGAACATTTATTTATGTAAAGGAATAGACTGATTTTACACTTTAATTGTATACTTTTGCAATTATTGCATTTATAACATTGTCAATAGCCACTTTATTTATGGATATGTTTGGATAAAGTGCAGATGCCTTAGTACTTACATACTTTACTGATTGTGAAGTGTAAAAGTATCATTTTGGACTTGAAGAATGTGGTTCTTGTCCTTAAGAAATACGGGATTAAGTTTAACACATAAGGGAAAAATAAAAGATTTACTATGGTTGAATAGATATTATTTAGAATCTAATTTAATTAATATATTATTATTAATAGAATCCATTCAAATATATATAAAATACAATAATATACAAAATAAATTAATAACTTATTTTTCACTAAAGATACGTTCTATAGTAAAATTTGGTGGCTCTTGCGGAATAGGGTTATTGGAAACTAACTCAATTTCTAAACTACTTTCTTCATCTTCAAAAGTTGGATAATCTATGATATAGAGAATCAGTTATTTTTAATACCATCTGAAAAACTACTATCATTATCAAAGTTATCAAATAGTTCTCCACTATAAGAATTAGATATAGATAAGGAGACTCCAATAGATTATTCAGAGTCTTCATCTTAAAATCTATTTTTGATAACTTTTGATCTTCTTTTTTGTACAGCTTTCCTTGCTTCTAATCTTTCTTTTTATGTTTTGTATTAGAATTAAATGAATCCTTCAAGTTTAGAAATATCCAATTAAGTTTTTTATTTAACACATCTATTATTTTTTATTTAACATTAGTATTTTAGATTGAACATATACTACAAATAGTAAATATATATCTATATTTAAGTCTAAACAATCTGTGGTACTTCTAAATTAACAATCAGAACTTAATTAATAAGTATATGAAATTAAGATTAGGATTAGCATGATTATAATATTATTTAATAATTTATTATATAATTATAATTGAATATTCATTCTATAACAATTGAATTAGGATTTAATGATCTATTATTTAATTATTCTAATTCATCCATTTCATTATCAATATCAATTCTTTAATTACTTAAAGTTTCTAATTGTAATATTCTATTTCTACTAGTTTTAACATGTTCAGGTAATATATTATAATCTAAATATTTTTAAATGAGATCATCCAAAATATTTCCCATATGATCAAATGATATTTCTGTATATTTCTCTTATAAATTATATTGTCTAATAGTTTACAAGATAGTATATTATAATGCATCAATTTGTAATTTAAATAATTTAGCTTTACAAATTGGACATCTCCATTTTCTTGGATTTGATAATTCAAGCATCATTAAATAATTTTCTAGAGAGAAACATTAAATATGATTACAATATATTCCCCTTACAGGAGTAACCATTAAAGAAGAACATAAACAACACAATAAAGAAATAGTTTATTTAATTTATTTGATACCAGTAGATGATATGTAATTCATCTAAAGTATAATAAAATCCTATGCTTATTCTACACTCATCCAATTTTCACTAGATACAATAATCTTTTCTATAAGTTATTTTGCATTATATTATTTAGTTTTGTAGACAGCAATATAATGTAATTCACCTTAAATTCTATATTTTCTTTTTTATTCCATACCAGGTATAATTTCTTTGATCATTAGAGTACATTCTTCATTTTATGGAATAGTAAATATCAATTTTTCATCTTTACGTTTATGTTGACAACTCTATTAAGCTAATGGAATAAATTCAGCCACTTTTTTATTATTAATATGTAATTCTCCTAAATCTGGCCATGTAATTTCTTCTGCTGATAATGGACAATCCATTCTAATACATCTGATATCAATTTTATTAGTATCTGATTTAAATTTAATAGTTTTTGTGCTAGTTAAACCTGTTTTCTTAAATGAAAATGGTTCTATAATAATAGAAATAACTTCACAAAATTAATCCATATGATATAAAGTACATCTTGGACATGTAAAATTTTTAACATATCTTTCATCATAACTTTTATCTAAACAATTTACATGAAAATGTTTTTCACATAAATGACATTTAATTATTTACTTATAATGTAATTGATTTCCACAAAAACATTAATCNACTACAAATAGTAAATATATATCTATATTTAAGTCTAAACAATCTGTGGTACTTCTAAATTAACAATCAGAACTTAATTAATAAGTATATGAAATTAAGATTAGGATTAGCATGATTATAATATTATTTAATAATTTATTATATAATTATAATTGAATATTCATTCTATAACAATTGAATTAGGATTTAATGATCTATTATTTAATTATTCTAATTCATCCATTTCATTATCAATATCAATTCTTTAATTACTTAAAGTTTCTAATTGTAATATTCTATTTCTACTAGTTTTAACATGTTCAGGTAATATATTATAATCTAAATATTTTTAAATGAGATCATCCAAAATATTTCCCATATGATCAAATGATATTTCTGTATATTTCTCTTATAAATTATATTGTCTAATAGTTTACAAGATAGTATATTATAATGCATCAATTTGTAATTTAAATAATTTAGCTTTACAAATTGGACATCTCCATTTTCTTGGATTTGATAATTCAAGCATCATTAAATAATTTTCTAGAGAGAAACATTAAATATGATTACAATATATTCCCCTTACAGGAGTAACCATTAAAGAAGAACATAAACAACACAATAAAGAAATAGTTTATTTAATTTATTTGATACCAGTAGATGATATGTAATTCATCTAAAGTATAATAAAATCCTATGCTTATTCTACACTCATCCAATTTTCACTAGATACAATAATCTTTTCTATAAGTTATTTTGCATTATATTATTTAGTTTTGTAGACAGCAATATAATGTAATTCACCTTAAATTCTATATTTTCTTTTTTATTCCATACCAGGTATAATTTCTTTGATCATTAGAGTACATTCTTCATTTTATGGAATAGTAAATATCAATTTTTCATCTTTACGTTTATGTTGACAACTCTATTAAGCTAATGGAATAAATTCAGCCACTTTTTTATTATTAATATGTAATTCTCCTAAATCTGGCCATGTAATTTCTTCTGCTGATAATGGACAATCCATTCTAATACATCTGATATCAATTTTATTAGTATCTGATTTAAATTTAATAGTTTTTGTGCTAGTTAAACCTGTTTTCTTAAATGAAAATGGTTCTATAATAATAGAAATAACTTCACAAAATTAATCCATATGATATAAAGTACATCTTGGACATGTAAAATTTTTAACATATCTTTCATCATAACTTTTATCTAAACAATTTACATGAAAATGTTTTTCACATAAATGACATTTAATTATTTACTTATAATGTAATTGATTTCCACAAAAACATTAATCACAATTAGGTGTTTAGACTTATCTCCAATATTTCTTTTTTATTGTATTACATATTTCTTCTATATTTTATTTTTCAACTTCCATTCCTTTTTATTATTCTAATTCTATTGAAGCATTTTATATTTAAGTACTCTCTTAACTTACTTATAATTCTTCCAATTCTTTCATCATTTTTAATTCTTTTTCTAACAATACCATTTCTTATAATTTCACTGTTTGTTATTCAAAATATAGATGTATTAATTCATTAATATTCTAAATTGGTTCATCTAATTATGGTTATTGTCTTGCTATATGTGGATCCAATCTAAGAAGACTTTAAAAATATAATTCTTAAACTGAATTTGGTTTTAGATCTTTAAATAATTTCTCAAAATAAAGTATTTATCCTATATCCTTTGTCACTCTATTAATTATTGTTGGAAGTGCTTATTTTAGCTGTTTCTTAAATGCTTCTAAGTCTTTTTACAATTACTATTATTTCATTATTTTCATTAAAATAATTGGTCAAACAAATTAAATAAATTTTATTAGTCTAAATGTATGGAAATATTTGACAAATTATTTAAATATGTATAGATTCTTTAATTAATCACTGTGTACACATATTTTTATATAATTACATCCCAATTATGTATTAAATTTATAAATTCTTGATGTTATTTTAAATATCCACTTCAAATTATATTCAAATTAACAATGATCTTTATTATCTAAATATTCATTCAATTTTAAATATTCATATCTAATGAAATCATAATTCAATTATTTAAATTAGAATTATATCAACTATAACTCATTAAATTACCTTTGATGAATATTGTAAAAAATGATTAAACATCTATCATATTTTTATTTAGTCTATTTAATTTATGTTACATCTCTCTTCATATTTATTAAACTTATATTATTTAAGTTATGTATGTGTTAGATGGATGTCTATGGCTTCATTCATTTTGATATTAATTTAATTAAAATTCTAACGATATATTATGTGTGAAGAGCTTGTGAGATTACAAACAATCGAGTTCAAGTAGGAAATAGAGAAGCGATTTGCAAAGAGTCGTCATAACCATAATTATGTATTTGAACGAGAAGGCAATGATTTTTCAGATGATGATTCATTAGATTCTTTGAAAAACATTGAATTATACAATTTATGCAAACCCATCCGTAATAAATCAATGGAAACAGAACGTACTATGCCTAAGACTAGCAAAACATTATTAATACGATTACTAAAACCTAAAAAATAACCATCAGTCAATGAAAATAGATCCAACAACACTTCATTATATAAATCTAGATCATAAAGCAAAAATGGCACTACTAGACTTCGTACTGAGTATTATGTTTTATTTTTAATCAGAGGTTCAGTCCTTCGAGAATCAAAAAATGTTACCTTAATTTCTCCAAAGATTCCAAAAAGTCCTTTGTATATTCAAGTAGATAATTTGATCAAATCCACTAAGAATTAACATCTTTACAAACTTAATAATTACTCTATGGCTGTGTGATTTATAAATTAATAATTAATGTCATAAAAAATTAAGCAGCCTACTCTCCTTTCAAAAGTACATCCAAAAGTATTATTCAATACTTAAGAGTAAATTAAATCATAGATTTCTTAGACTCAATGCTCGTGTAGTTAAAGTTTAAAGTCCTTTTGAATATATGAATTACATTAAGCGTAGATAAGAGTATCTAAACAAGTAGAAGTAGCTTCTAAATAATCTTCAATTGAATGAGGAAAATNCATATTTTTATATAATTACATCCCAATTATGTATTAAATTTATAAATTCTTGATGTTATTTTAAATATCCACTTCAAATTATATTCAAATTAACAATGATCTTTATTATCTAAATATTCATTCAATTTTAAATATTCATATCTAATGAAATCATAATTCAATTATTTAAATTAGAATTATATCAACTATAACTCATTAAATTACCTTTGATGAATATTGTAAAAAATGATTAAACATCTATCATATTTTTATTTAGTCTATTTAATTTATGTTACATCTCTCTTCATATTTATTAAACTTATATTATTTAAGTTATGTATGTGTTAGATGGATGTCTATGGCTTCATTCATTTTGATATTAATTTAATTAAAATTCTAACGATATATTATGTGTGAAGAGCTTGTGAGATTACAAACAATCGAGTTCAAGTAGGAAATAGAGAAGCGATTTGCAAAGAGTCGTCATAACCATAATTATGTATTTGAACGAGAAGGCAATGATTTTTCAGATGATGATTCATTAGATTCTTTGAAAAACATTGAATTATACAATTTATGCAAACCCATCCGTAATAAATCAATGGAAACAGAACGTACTATGCCTAAGACTAGCAAAACATTATTAATACGATTACTAAAACCTAAAAAATAACCATCAGTCAATGAAAATAGATCCAACAACACTTCATTATATAAATCTAGATCATAAAGCAAAAATGGCACTACTAGACTTCGTACTGAGTATTATGTTTTATTTTTAATCAGAGGTTCAGTCCTTCGAGAATCAAAAAATGTTACCTTAATTTCTCCAAAGATTCCAAAAAGTCCTTTGTATATTCAAGTAGATAATTTGATCAAATCCACTAAGAATTAACATCTTTACAAACTTAATAATTACTCTATGGCTGTGTGATTTATAAATTAATAATTAATGTCATAAAAAATTAAGCAGCCTACTCTCCTTTCAAAAGTACATCCAAAAGTATTATTCAATACTTAAGAGTAAATTAAATCATAGATTTCTTAGACTCAATGCTCGTGTAGTTAAAGTTTAAAGTCCTTTTGAATATATGAATTACATTAAGCGTAGATAAGAGTATCTAAACAAGTAGAAGTAGCTTCTAAATAATCTTCAATTGAATGAGGAAAATTATGAAAAATTGACATTTTCTGTAAAACAAATTGGAGTGATTAATGATGATGGAAGATTTGGAACATATAGTCAGCGTAGATATTTATTAAAATCTATGGAATCCACAAGATAATAAAAATCTGAATCAATATAATATCCTTAAACAGAAAGAGCATAATATTAATTTAGAGCCAAAGCTTTACCAAGCAGTCGTAAAGAGAAATTTAGGTTTTCTCCTTAATAAAGTGTTAAGTTCTTCCTTTTGCCAGAAAGATAAGAAACTAATATTGAAGTTAAAAATAGCCCAGTCGATAAAATACTTAAAAGGTCAAGACAAAAGAAACGAATTCCATAGAGTCAACCTATACCTCCTGAAATCATTTTTGCTAAAAGTTAGCCAAATCCTAAATATTCCTCATATAGTAGATAACTTTAAGAACTTACAACAACAGTGGAATTTAATAAACTACTTTGATTTTATTTAAAAATAATTACTTAATCTCATTATTGTAGTTTCATAACATTCTATTTTAAATGTATGTCAATTAACTTTCTAATTTTTTTATTTATTCATTTATTAGATTATATCTATATTAATTATTCTTATATTTATATTATAATAATATTAAATGAGTATCATTTGTATACATTTAATTTTAATGAATAGATAATAAAAATAATATTATTTTATAACTTTTTATTTGAAAAATGTAACTAGTTAATAAATTTAATAATCATTTTAATTATAAAGAAGCATTATCTTCAGTCTATGTTATAGAATGTCGAGGAGTTAAATGTTAAATTTATATTGCATAAATAGCTTAGGGAACTTACAATTTGTTTTAATTATTTTATTGACATAATTACAATACTTTATATTTAAGTTTCCCAACTGTAACTTATTCATCAGATATAGTCTTCTTTATTTCACTATCTATTTCATCACTAACTTTAATTATAATATTCTCTTTCAGGGATGTAGTTGTAATATGAGAATAACTTTCAATATAAATAACTTCTCCTACTTAAAACTAATTATAAATAATGAATATTATTACTTCTTAATTTTGTTTAATTTTTTCAATCACTACATATATGGATATAAATTCTTAACAATGAAATCCTATAATAGATTCAAGAAATTCATTATATTCAACAGGTTTACTTTTATATAATAATTTGTGATCAGAATAAAATGAGCATTAATAAGTTGGTGGATTTTTTCCAATAAAGGAAGAAGTGTGTTTAACACCAAATAAATCCATTTTTTGTATTATAAATATTATGAATTTGGATTGTTTATTAATTGATTATAGAAAGTTGAGATTACAATATCTGCTTTTATTAAATTTATTATTTGTCAATTTATTTAGAATGGTAAAGGTCTTTTAATCTTATTGCTCAATCAATCGTGTAGTATGATATTTTTACATTAAAACTACTTCACTTATATATTTTCTATTATCTTTTTCTTATTTTTTACTATCATTGACTTAAGGTTAACTATTAATTTTAATAAGTTTATAAGTATTTTATTCATTCATACTTTTTGGATCAAAATTTATTTTAGGTTATTCTTTTTTAAATAATACATGCTATGATGGTGTTTTTGATTGTTAAACAATTTAAAGTAGAAGATGTTGATTAACCTTTTATTATTCTAAAAAGGCTTGTTAGTTATAAAATTTAGAAACAGTTTTAATTGTAGCCTATTTATCTTTAGGTTTATGAAGTATGTTCTATTATTTAGAATTCTAATGTTAAATAATATTGAAAATTACTAATTGATGAAATTTTTGAAAATCATAAAGAGGTTATTTGACTTTTTCATAATTTATGTCCTTCACAATATAATTATTCTGTTTCATAATTAATTTAAATAGTTTATTATTAATATTGTATAGATACATACATACACCTACTCATTATTTGAAATTTTGGATTTCTTCAGAATTAACAACATTGTATACAAGAATCTTTTGAGGGATTCAATTCCTTTTCAGAAATACTTTTTTTTTTTATTTCATCAGATGATAACTCTAGAATAAATAGTAATATTACTCAATTATTTTTGAATACTTAATTCTGAAGAAGTTTTAATAGAATTTTATAGTTTGGCTTCATATTTACTAATTAGATTGATGTATTGATCAAATATCCTTGTAAATCTTTCAATACAAGACCAATACTCTATAATCCATGAGCATATTGGTGATGTTTCCTTATTGATTTAATTCTTATGCATTTCTATCAATCGATCGAGCTAGATCTCAGAGTCAGTGACAAAAGTTGGAGTTTGAAAAACTGGCTCACTGTCAATCAATTTGGTTAATGTGTCCAACTCTTTAATTGATACAGCATTAAGATGTTAAACAGTGGCACTTGTTATTATATGCTTGGATACAGTAGAGGGTCGATATTGGAACTAAGTTATTATTTGAGGAGACTCTTCTTTCCTGACCCAACTTAACGAATGACAATAGCATCAGTGGGTTGATACTCAATCTGTAATAGAAGCTCTCTCCAAATCTCATGGTACTTCTCGTATGAAACCTTGAGTGCATGAAATTCTGAGGTTGTATGCTAAATCACTCTTACCAACTTTTTTACTTGTAATTGCTATTCCAGAATAAGAAGTTCTGATGAGTCATTCATTTTAGACTAACTATATTACTACAAGAGCTGATTCAACTTGAGTACGCTTTCCTAGAGCATATATAATAAATATATATTTTAATGTAATTGCCCACTCGTATCATTGATGGTCTTTATCTTGGAGATTAGGGTGCAGCCCATGTAAATGTGATCTAAAACATGAGGATCTTGAATTCTTGGTGACTAACAAGATAACCAAGATAATTAATTGTGCTGCCAAAAATATTCCTAATCATTGGGAATCCATCGGCATAGAATATTTGTCTTATTAGTGGTTAGAAAGTGAAACACAATTTGCATTTGATTATCTCCGATGTTTCACCTTTATAAATGATACCATTGAAGCAGGGGAAGCTGTTTTAGTCCATTCTATTAGAGCATTGAATCGCTCAGTTTTTGTGGTTGTTTTATTTTTAATGCGCAAGTATACACTCTAAATCATACTCCTAGATTTAAATGGACATTATAAAAGACTTTACAATACATACATAATCTCAAAAATGATTTTGAAATTAAATCTAATGTATTTCAATAGCTACTCAATTATGAAAAATGGCTACAAGTATCCAAACTAAGTAATAATTGGGATTTTGCACATAATGATGATGAAACATTAGCAAGAAACACATATCTTAATAGTTAAAGGAATTATTCTAATGAACCTAAGAGAAAAAAAGAAATTAATCTTAAAAAAGTTTAATGGAATAAAAGCTTAGTGTCTTAATTCATTCCACCTTATTAATAGATGTATTTATTTTGAACTATTTTATGTTAGTGAATTCAAGAAGTTCAGTACACCATAGCCTAAAATGTAATATTCATAAATGCCTATCAAACTCAAGATTCAACCTTCTGATAATAATTGGATCAATAAGAAATTCACTTTGAATTAAATTGTTGATGAATAATTATAAAGAAAATTGAATCTATTTAGTATTAAATCTGATCGTCAACCAATTAAATCACTTTCAAGACCAGGTACAGCACCTTCAAAAAGATTACTAAAAGGCAAAGTCATTACATCATCTCATAGACTATTAGTTAAATAATCATGATTTATATACACATATATATAATTTATCTTTTATTCCACAATAACTTATAAATATTTTAAATAATGACTAATATTTTAATACTCATCATACTCATAAAGATGGGAAATCTTTGTCATCCAATTGAATTCCTTATTCCTAAAAAAATTAATAAATGATAATACCTATTATCTTTATTGAGGTCTCTTTTCTTATCTATCATCTCCCTTTCTTTATTTATCTCCTCCTCTTTAATTTCTGGTATTGTTATCTCTATTTGATCTATCATGTTATGGTCTATCTTATCTATCTCCTTTATATCCTTTATTTTATCTAGGACCTCTATCTTATCTATCTCCTCTATCTTATCTATCTCCTCTTTCTTATCTATCTCCTCTTTCCTTTCTTTCTCCTTTTTCCTCCTAAGCTTAAGTTTCACCTTATTATTATTATTCTTAAACTGGTTCTTATTTATCATATTATCTTCTTTCTCCTCTTCTTTCATTCTTTCTTTCAGGTTCTTATACTTAATTAGTGAAACCTAAATATTCAGCTGCTTAAGTATTTAGCTCACTTCTATAAGTTTATTATTATCTTGTTTTCTTTTGTTTTTATTCTTATAATTTTTTTTCATCTTCTCTTGTTTTCATGACAAAAAGTTTATCCTTTTTCAATGCTTCTTCATCAATTTACTTGACTACTTAAGATTTAGTCTCAGTCTTTTTGAGTACCTCTTCAACATTCTAAATTTAATTAATATTCTTACAGTTCCTCTTTCTTAATAATAATCAGCCAGAGTCTTTTCAGGAGCAGGAGGTTGAACTGGTTATATTGTTTATTCATTTTATTCCTCTTTTGGTGCATCCTAAGTCTTTTTCTCTTTTGCAATATATTTTTCTTCTTTGAGGTCATCTTTGTAATTTCCCCAATTGTTTCTGCCACCACCTTCTTTTCGTTGTTCTTTGCCTCTTCCAGTGCCAGACTATCTATCTTTAGGATGTGGATCAGCTGGAACACCTTTTTGTTTAGGAGCGGGATTATCATGTTTAGTATTTTCTTTTTGTACTTACTCAACTGGGATAACCTATTCCTTATTGTTATTATTTTTCTTAGACTTTTTCTATTATTATTCTGGGACTTCTTCTGTATCAGAGAAGTTGAGAACGTTGAATAAATTATTGCTCATAAAGATTTGATTTATTATTTAATGTTTTCACCTTAATTACCAAGAATTAAATTAATTTACTATATAATATATTTTAATATTAAATTTTTGAAATATAAAAATTATTATTAATATTTAATGATGAGCATCATAAATTCAACATTAATTCTTTCTTTTCGAAATTTCTAAAAAATGTACATCTCTAAAAATGCCAAAAAAAATACTCAAATCCAGTATCTACACATCTAATGAGTTTAATTGAAATAAAATTATAATTCTATATAAGTAGTTAATAAAACATTGATGCAATCTTAATAGATAATGCTATCTAATTAGCTTGAGTAATCTAATTATAATTAAAGCAATTTAAAATAATATATTTTGTCTTTCCAGATAATAAATTTAATAATGGGTTGTTGTTAGCAAATATCAATAGTAGAAAAGGAATCCTAGATTTAAGGGATTGTTTCAATTAAAGAAGAATTTTCTCCAAAAGCTCTCTAGATGCAACCTTTCTCCCTAAATTTAATAAAAGGAGATATGGATGGTATAGATCCTATAGAAAATATGGAAAGATTAGGGAGTACGTGTGTAGATAACATATTAAATGAGAAGTAGTGTAGCAAATTGGAGAACTAACTTAGTGTCTAATCTAAAAATGAAGTTATTATTAATTTGCGACAAGCATCAAATCCACCCTTATTGGTTTTGGATAATAGTACCAAAAATCTCAACAAAAAATTTATAGGAATGCTATGAATTTACAAATAATACACAAAAACAAATTATATGACTTTAATATAGATACATAAGAAAATTATTAATTCTTCATTGTTATATATTATAAAGTAATTAATTGTCTAAGTCTTAGTCTTATTCATTGTGTATTTAATGTCAATGTTCATATCATTCAATTTTAATTTATTATAATATTTTTATATTAATATTTAGGTCATAAATGTAAGTATTTTACAAATAATATTGATATAAAGTTAAGGTAATCTATAAGAAAAATAATTAGCAAAACTTGATTATGTAAAGAAATAAGGCTACTATTTTAATATAATTATAAAATTAATTTATATTCTGGTATTTTAAAAACAACGTTTATATTATGTTGTTGACTTATTTAATTGATGAATTTAAATTACCATTGGGTACTAATAATTTAATTTCTATTACTATCCTTCTACTATTCTTAAATAAAATATTATAAAGCATAAAATAAATAAAAGATACTATCAAATATATAATTGCAAAAACAAATAAAAGATTTGAAATTTATTAAATATTATAAGCTCTTCAACTTCAAAAAGATGGGTTGCTGTCAAAATCGACCCTTTATGTAGCATTAGCATAATGGGCATCATTAATCTTAATCTTATCCAAATAAAATGAAATTGGAGCCATTACTTATTGCTGTAATTGGAGACTCAGACAGAATGGATATGATGGATGATATATTCAGAATATAATAGACCTCTATCAAAGAAATATAGTCTCCATATAATTTAAAATTGCCTTCAGAATCAGTCATAATAGATTTAAGATCTGGCACATCATTGGCAAGTCCACCAAGATAAAAATCAAGTAAGAACCTTAATTAGAAGTTTCTTGAAATGTTATGATTATACTATTAATATAAAATAATATGCTCAAATTAAATTAACAGAAACACATGACCACTAATCAATCCAAATTTAGTGAGCATTAATAACAAAGAAGTAAAGATTCCTATTCAAAAATACACACACCAATCAAACGAAAATTATCTGAATATGTAATTCAAAAGTAAAGCTCATATGCATAAATACATAAACCTGAAAGATAAAAACAAAAATCAACTCCTGATATATTATAGTTACTGAAGAAATATTAAAAATGTCATACTAATCAATCTTAACATCAACCATCTCAATAAAGGGATATTGTTAGCAATCATTAAATTAAAAAGCATAAAACACTCTATAATAATGATGCTTCACCCATTAGAATTAGTTAAGAAGCTTTACCTCTCAAGAACATTGTTATTAATAGAAAGAAAACGAGTATAAGTGATAGGGATACATCTCTACTTAAGTTGCAAGAATTAAAAAAGAAAATAATGGAAAAAGTTCCAAATCTTCTTGAAATTTTGGGACCTGAAATGAATCCTATTTCAAATAGAATTACATTTCAAGCATCACTTTAAACTGAAGAGTCTAAACTAATTTAAAAAACAATTGATACTCCAGGAACTGCATAATTTATGTAATCAAATAGAGATGAAAATATATTAGAATCACGAAATCCATTTGAAAAAACAAACTTTTATTAAGATATGTAAATATAGGAAAATTAAATATCTCTATAAAAGAATCTTGACTTATTTTTTGAAAAAAGAAAACATTCATATTGTGAAGATAATTTTAAGCCTTTTCAAAAAAATTAATAATATGGTAAACCTTATTTTGAATCAAATAAAGGGGAAGATATATAGAATACAAATTTTACAAATAGACTAGAATGTAGAAAAATAATGATTATATTGGATTAAGATAAGGAAAAAATATTAGAATAGATTGCTCTAAATCCAATTGAAATTCATAATTCTCCAACTAGTAAAATATGGGATAAAGCATTAAAAATAGATAGATTAGATGAATAATTAGGTAAATAAAAAACAGAAGAATCTTTAGGAAATAAATGTTAAAAAGTAAGATCAAAAAGAGCAAGTGTAAAAAATGAAAATACTCCTTATTGGAAATTAAGAGATTTAGAATAAAAAAAGAAAAAAAAATGATTTTGTTTTTATAAATTCTCATAAAACATAAACTATTTTAATTTTTATTATAAAAAGATCAAAAATAATTGAGATCTTAATATATATTATCAATTTGAATATCAAAATAAAACAAAAAGATATTCATTTCAATCTAAAATTAGATTTTTTAAATTCTATTGTTGTTTAAGTTGGATTAGCAATTTTATAATTTGAAGGAAAACAACTTGGGCTTCCTTCACCCCTTGGACTTTTCTTTGAATTAATAATAGGTGGTAACTTTATTTTATGTTTTTCAGAGCTCTAAAATAAATATATATATTCACATCTCTACTACTATTGCTCGAATTTAAACAAGATCTTGTAGGTATTTTTATGAGATTTGGTTTTTTTGGACTCTTTTATTTCGAAAAAAAACGTTAATTTTAAGGTAAAACTATTGCTCTTATAGCTTTTTCACTATTTTATTTAATAAATTGTAGAAAAACAATTAATTTTTAAAACTAGAATATTAAAATTTTTATACCTTTGTGAATATAAATATTCCTCTATATGCTTAAAATATTTCTTTGCTTGTCATAATATATGTCTCTGATGACTAAGAAGTTATCCATGGATGTAATAATGCTTATTCAGCAGTTATTCTAGCTTCAGGTTCAAAAGCAACAGTTTTTTCAAAAAAAGAAATAGCAGCTCTTTCAAATTTAAAATTATACTTGGACATACCATTGAAATCTACTTTCTATGGTTTAGACATCAATTTAATATAATTTTCTTTTTTTTAATTTGTCCAAAATGGATGACAATTTTTAAGTAATTAATACTAAATGATGCCACAACTCCAAATATCAACAGATTTAAAGTATTCTTTTTTCATAAGGATTTCTGGGGCCATATATAATAGAGTTCCACAATTTTAATGAGTAGTTATTTATTAAGTAGTTATATAACTTAGTCCAAAGTCTATCAATGTGAGGTTCAAGTTCTTATCAAGAATCATATTATCTACTTTCAAAAAGCGATCTTACCTGGTTTAATATCTCTATGAATAATTCGATTGGAATGCAGATAACTTAGAACATCAACCAATTAGCGAATTATTGCTATACATTCTTTCTCTGTAAATTTGATACTGTCATCATCTATGTATTATTAAAGGGTTTTCCCTTCTATGTATGATAATATAAAATAGAGTCTTCTTTTTGATTCAAATGTTCTATGATATCTTACTATATTAGGATGTTTCAATTAACTTAAAATTAAGGCTTCTTATTATAACTTCTCTGTGTTTCCTTTCATCTTATCAACTATCTGTCTAATATCATGTTAAAATAAATCACCTTAATAGCATAAAATTCACCATCATAAAATGCTTTAAATACGCTACTGAACGCACCTTGACCAAGAAATTGAATGATCCTATACTAAGCTAACATTTTAGCTATAAATTTAGGATTCTCAATCGAAATAAAAAGGTCATAAACTTAAGTATTCATTATATATAAAATATAGTTTAAATAATTACTAATTTTTGCATTTAATTTAAGTATTTAAGTAATTTACTGTATACTTATGTCAAAAGATAATTAATGTCATGAAATGAATTATATAAAAGAGAATTATAGATTTTCAATTATTTTCTTAATACTTTATTAAAAAATAATAAATTGAATAAGTATATATATATATATTATATTGTATTTTCAAATAACATTCTTTTGAATTTAATCAAAATGGAGGAAAATGCTTATAAAAATTTTGAATTCAAAATAAAAGAATATCATATTGAATTATATTAAGGTATAAGTTATTTATGATTCAAATTTAATGAAATTAATCATTCTAACTCATAAAGTCTCAAAAATTATTCATTTAAAGTGACTAAATACTTACATTCAGACGAAAAAGCTCCATATAATTTTATAGAGTCAAAAACTATTTTATTCTACAAATCATAAGAACCTTAATGAAGTTCTCTATACATATAAACAAATTAATTATGCTTGATTATCATAATATTTTTAGTTTTATTAAATTAAATTGGAAAATTGGGATAATCTTCTGATGGATCTTCTAATATTATTTTTTCATCTTCTTTAAAATTATCATTGTCTAATTTTAATTCAATAATTCCTTTTTTATTTTAAGTTAAAAGTATTGTTTTATCATATAAAAAGATAATGGAAGATACAAAATTAATTCTTTCTTATTCTGTTATCTTTTGTATTAATCCTCTTTTATCAATAATCCAAAGTATAATTTTTTTATCTTAAGAACAAGTGATTAGTCTGTCTTCAAATAAATTAAGACTAATTCCAAAAATATTTTATTCATGAACTTTTCTTATTTCTAGTACAATAGTAATTGTTTCTTATTCTACATTTAGATTCCAAGTTTGTATAAATCCCTATTTATTTCCAACGATGATAAGATTTTCTTTTTTATTTAGAATCATACAAGTAATAGGGCTTTTTGTATTTATAGATATTTTATTTTTCCATTAATTTTTTGATTTTAATTCTTCCCATATACGAATGAAAAAGTCATCTCCTCCAGAAAATAAATAATTAGTTTTTTTACTAAATACTAAACTATTTATATTAGATTCATGAGCTTCAAAGTTTGCTATTTATTCAATATTTCCTTTATTGTAATTGAAATTCAAAATTTTAATATTTCTTCCTTGTGTTGTTGCAAGTAAAGTATTATCAAAATTAAAAGATAAAGCTTAGCAAATTTAAGGTTAAGAGATCTATTTTATTAGTTTATATGGTATTGTTTCTTTTGCTAATAATTATTTTTCCAAAATATCATGATTTAAATTGTATGCAGTTTCATATACTAATTTTAAGTATTTCTCAGCTTATTCTAACATTTCAATATAAGGCATTCTTTATAAGTTAGTAATATTTGAATCACCTTAACCTTCCTTTTATATATCACTTATTTATTGATCCTCTTATTATTATTGATTTTTAATATTATAAAGTGATAATGAAGAATTATTAGATTTTGTTATTTGAGAATCTGGCCCTTTATATTTCTTAATTTCATTCCGTAGCTATAATATTACTTTTAGATAATTTTCTTATTCGATCTCTATAGCATTCATTAAATTATATTAATGTATTAAATGGAACTGTTAAACACATCAAATCAAATTGTGATCACTTAATTCTATTAAAAATAAAAAATAAAACAATATTTTTCTCAAGCTTTATATTATACTATTTTGCGTTAGAATAATATCAATATATTAATTGGATCAAGACCAAAAACTTTGTGATAGAGTTTGCATCATTCTCTAATAGAATTGATATGGACTTATCATACAAAGAGGATATATTTAAAATTTTAATCTAATTAATTTCACTATTTAAAGATATTGTATTAATAATCTTTTGATTGAAAATAAAGTAAATGTTGTAATCAGTGGAATATATATGATAGAATAAGAATAACTAAATCTTATAACATAAATATTCTCAATAATGAATTAATTATGTTTATTAATCATTATTATCTACTCTAATAATAATTTGCATGATTTTAGAGAATTCAATAAATAATCTATGAATGGCTATTCATCTATACTTCTTAAATCTAAATTTTGGATAACTTAAGTACTATAGGAGAATGTAAAATTATGAAATCAATCTCAATGTAATTTTATTAGATTTCTGTTAACACTTAGTGAAATGATCTCATAAAGAACTAATTAAAGATTAATAATGATTTATTAATTTTTGGGCTATCATATTTTTTTGACAATAATTAAAACTATTTAGGTTCCAAATAATTGTTTTATAATATCCATCTATAAGAGAATAATGAAAATGTCTTATATTTTAAATTCCAAAAATAGTTATTATAAAATATTTCGTCATTATTTATAAAATGCATAAATATTTTGTATCTTTAAATAATTATTATAAAAAATAGAGTATTTATGTGATTATTAATGCTTAGTGATGCCTAAAATAAATTTTTAATTATGATAAGATTCACTTCCAGATTCAGGTTCGGAGCTAGAGCTAATCCATACATTAAGGCTTAGAAAACACTCAAGGTTGACGGAAAAGAATATAAATTCTTTAGTTTACCGGCTTTGGGGGATTCAAAATTAAGTAAGTTTGAGTTATATATTGCATAGATCATTTACCTTATTCAATCAGAGTCTTATTAGAATCAGCTGTGCGTAATTGTGATGAGTTTGCAGTGACATAAAAAGATGTGTAAAATATCTTGAATTGGGAGACAAATGCTCCAAAATAAATTGAGATTCCATTCAAACCAGCACGTGTCATTTTACAAGATTTTACAGGAGTGCCAGCAGTTGTAGATTTAGCTGCAATGAGAGATGCAATGAAGAGACTAGGTGGAGATCCATAAAAGATTAATCCATTATGCCCAGTTGACTTAGTTATTGATCATTCAGTCTAAGCAGATGTATCAAGAGTACCAAGAGCATATGAAGAGAATGAGAAAATTGAATTCACACGTAACTATGAACGTTTTGAATTCTTGAAATGGGGATCAACAGCTTTCAAGAACTTCTTAATAGTTCCACCAGGATCAGGAATTGTTCATTAAGTGAATTTGGAATACTTAGCACGTGTTGTAATGGAAGAATAAGGATACTTGTTCCCAGATTCAGTGGTAGGAACAGATTCTCATACAACAATGATTAATGGTTTAGGAGTAACAGGATGGGGAGTTGGTGGTATTGAAGCAGAAGCAGTTATGCTTGGATAAACAATATCAATGGTCTTACCTGAAGTTGTAGGTTTTAGATTACATGGAAAATTGCCATCAAATGTAACAGCCACTGATCTAGTACTTACATGCACATAAATGTTAAGAAAGAGAGGTGTTGTTGGTAAATTCGTTGAATTCTTTGGACCAGGAGTTGAAACATTATCTCTTGCTGATAGAGCAACTATTGCTAATATGGCTCCAGAATATGGTGCCACTATGGGATATTTCCCTATTGATCATAAAACTATTGATTACTTGAATTTAACAGGTAGACCAGAAACAAAAGTTAGATAAATTGAAGCTTATCTTAGAGAATAAGGTTTATTCCGTGATTATAAGAGTGGAAATGATCCTCACTTCTCTGGTGATGTTTTAGATTTGGATCTTGCTTCAGTATAACCATCACTTTCAGGACCAAAGAGACCTCATGATAGAGTGCCATTGGCTGAAATGAAAAAAGATTGGACTACTTGTCTTAACAATAAGGTTGGATTTAAAGGATTTGGTATTCCTTAAGAAAAATAAGCAGATGTTGCAGAATTTACATATTAAGGATAGAAATATTCTCTATAACATGGAAGTGTTGTTATTGCTGCTATTACATCATGCACTAATACAAGTAATCCAGAAAGTATGATTGGTGCTGGTCTTTTGGCTAAGAATGCAGTTGAAAAAGGATTAAAAGTTAAACCATATATCAAAACTACTCTCTCTCCAGGATCTAATGTTGTTACTAAATATTTTGAAGAATCAGGTGTAAGCAAATATCTTGATCAATTGGGTTTCACTACTGCTGGTTATGGTTGTATGACTTGCATTGGTAACACTGGAGAATTAGATAATGAAGTTGCTGAAGCAATTAAAAATAAAGATTTAGTTGCTGCTGCTGTTCTCTCAGGAAATCGTAACTTTGAAGCCAGAATCCACTAATAAGTTAGAGCCAATTATCTTGCATCTCCACCATTGGTTGTTGCTTATGCTTTAGCTGGTACTGTCAACATTGATTTTGATACAACACCTGTTGGAACTGATAAAAATGGAAAACCAGTATTTTTGAAAGATATCTGGCCAAGTAGAGAATAATGTAGCAAGGCTGTTGAATAAGCACTTAAACCATAAATGTTCAGAGATATTTACTCAAAAATTGCTTAAGGAACAGAAAGATGGAATTAATTGAAAGTCAATAAGACTGATCTTTATTAATGGAAACCAGAATCCACTTACATTCACAACCCACCATTTTTCTAAACTACAGAATTAAATCCAAAACCAGTTTAACCAATTAAGAATGCTTATTGTCTTTTGAACTTAGGTGATTTTATCACTACAGATCATATCTCACCAGCAGGTTCAATTGCTGAAAATTCTCCAGCAGGTCGTTATCTTAAAAGTAAAGGTGTCACCAAAAAGGATTTCAATACTTATGGTGCCAGAAGAGGAAATGATGAAATAATGGCTAGAGGTACTTTTGCTAACACTCGTATCATCAACAAATTGGTTAGTAAGGTTGGACCTTAAACAGTCTATGTTCCAACAGGAGATGTGATGGATGTCTTTGATGCAGCTGATAGACACATGAAGGAAGGAAATCAAACTATTGTTTTAGCTGGTTAAGAATATGGTTCAGGAAGTAGTAGAGATTGGGCAGCAAAGTAATAAATTGTTTAATATTTAATAGAGGACCATATTTATAAGGTGTTAAATGTGTAATTGCATAATCATTTGAAAGAATCCATAGATCTAACTTAGTTGGAATGGGTATCTTACCACTTGAATTCTTAAAAGGAGAAAATGCTGATACTCTTGGATTAACTGGAAAAGAATAATTCACTATCAATGTCAATGAAAGCAATTTAACTCTTGGTTAAACATACACTGTTGAAACATGTAATATTTTATATTCTATAATCTCTAGCAACTGGTAAGAAATTCTAAGCTAAATCAAGATTAGACACAGAGGTAGAAATTGAATATTACAAACATGGAGGAATCTTATAATATGTGTTAAGAAAACTTGTCAAAGCATGATATATATATGCATTCAAATAATATAAATTACATTCTCAAAATGTTTTCAAATTCAATAGATTTGAAACTCCATTTCCAGTTGGTATCCATGAAATATTTGGACTCTTAGCTAATGTCTCAGCTATATGTTTGGCAGTCTCTAATTTCTTGATTTCAATCTAGGCTATGAAATTAAATTAAATATTAATACCTGTTCCATATGATTTAACAGCTTCATTAATCAATCTTGCAGCCTCTGATTCTCCTTCAGATAAAATAATTTTTGCATTCTTCTCTTCTTCATCTCTTAACACTATGAATTTTTATCTTTCAGCCAATTATTAAGCAACCTATTTAGCTTCAATAGCTTAAGCATATTCTTTCATGAATCCCAAATGTGTAATTGATACATCTTCCAATACAATTTTGAATTCCTTTGCTCTTTCAATTAAACCTTCCTTAATTTCTTAGGATATCTTTTCTCTCATTTTGATCAATTGATCTGCATCATATTAAGCAACAACTGCCTTCAAGACTTCATTGGCAATAGATGGAAGAATCTTTTCTTCATAATTTAAACCAATTGTTCTAAAAAAAATATTATTTGTAATTCTACTTATAAATTTCAGGTAAATATTATTCAATTGGTTTGTGAAGCATTCTTATAGCAATATCCACTGTTTACAAATCTTTTGTACCTGTGTGAGAAGCCACAGTTTTTGGTTAAAGACGCACTTCAGCCACAATTGGTGACTAATTATTATAATGTTATTCATTACTTAAATAACTGGTATGAAAAAGTGCATTCCTTCTCCATAGACAGATTCTTTCACTCCTTAAAATCGATCAAATATTAATCCTCTTTATCCACCATCTACTGTATAAAAGAAGGACTTTAATAGGACTCCACCTCCTACAAGTAGGGATCCTGCTGTTAAGATGAGATTTGCAGCTCTTTCCATTTTTAATTATTAATTATGGAGAAAAATTAATTGAAATATTTTAGAAACCAATTCATTATTCAATAATGGTTATGATCTTTTAAATCATTTCTAAGCATACATTTTTATTTAATATTAATCCTATTCAATATCAAATTCAAAGGAATAACATAAATATTATCATCCAAATCGCATTTTAATAATTTAATATATGGATTAAACTAAAGTAAAAAAATCTGGAGGATTTGAATCTATGGGATTAATCCCAGAACTTTATAGAGCTATCAAGAATCAAGGATTTAATGTTCCTACTCCAATTTAAAGAAAAGTATTATACTCATTTATCTAATTAAGGCAATACCATAAATTTTGGCAGGACGTGACATTGTAGCTTGTTCAAAAACTGGGTCTGGTAAAACAGCTGCCTTTTTAATTCCTCTAATAAATAAATTGCAGAATCATAGTACAGTTGTAGGTATAAGAGGATTAATACTTCTTCCAACAAGAGAATTAGCATTACAAATTGCATCAGTGTTAAAATTCTTATGTAAATTTACAGATCTCTAATACTCAATTATGGTTGGAGGTCATGGTTTTGAAGGTTAATTTGAGAGTTTAGCCTCAAATCCTGATATTTTGATTTGTACACCTGGTAGAGTGTTACAACATCTATTAGAAGATAGATTAAAATTATCAAGAGTCTAAATGGTAATTTATGATGAGGCAGATTATTTATTTGAAATGGGTTTAGCAGATCAACTAAAATAAATATTAATCCATCTTCCTTCTTAAAAATAATCATTAATGTTTTCTGCCACTATTCCAGAATAACTTAGTATGTTTGCATCTGTTGGTTTAAAGGATTACATATTTTGCAAATTAGATAAAGAATTTCAATTACCAGATACAATGTAATTGCATTTTTTACTAGCAGCAAATGATAATAAATTAAGTGCTTTGATATATTTAATAAGATAACTAGAAGATACTTGTTTAGTATTTGCATCAACTCGTTTTTTAGTTGATATGCTTTCTTATGCCTTAAATAAATTTCATATATCATCTGTTCATGTTTATGGTAAAATGGATTAGTTGGACAGAAAAGAATAATTAGATAATTTTAAAAGGAATCAAGCTAAAGTGTTAATTGTAACTGATTTAGCAAGTAGAGGTATAGATTTACCTTTTGTGGCCAATGTTATACATTATGATTATCCTTCAAATCCTAAAATATTTATACATAGATCTGGTCGTACAGCAAGAGCAGGTAAAGCAGGTTATGTTTATGCTTTAATATCATCAGATGAGATTCTTTATATTAAAGAAACTATGATTTATGTTGGTAGAAAATTAGTAAATGAAGGTGATATTAATGATCCTTCTTTGGCATTTTATGGTAGTTTACCTATTGAATTATTAATGTAAAATCAAGAGAAATTGAATGATTTGAATGATGATATTGAGTTCTAGAATTATAAAGATATAGCAACAAGAGCTAATGAAAAGTTTCGTAAGACAAGAGGATCTGCTAAAAAAGTTAAAACTAATATAGATACTAGTTTAGTGCATCCTTTATTTAAAGATAAGATTTAAGTTGAAGAGGATACAAAAGATATGTTAAATTAGATAAAAAACTTTAAATCTAGTTAAAGTGTTATAGAAATAAAGAAATTTGAATAAAATTCAAAATCAGATCCTTTTATGAAAGCAGTGTCTCATTTAAAGGATGTTTAAAAACGTAAGCCAATTCCAAAGATAGAATTAAAAGAATAACCAAAATCATTAAATATAGAAAATTTTATGGATCAAAAATTCTTTATTCCAACTTAAAGGGATCCAACAAAAAAGTCAGAATTTGAAGATTTACATAAGATTACAGTTGAAGATATAAATCCATTTGTAATTTCTGATGAGACTGATGCATTACGTAAGAAAAAATAGATGGTTTGGGATAAGGAAAAAAAGAAGTATGTAAATCCAAAGGCAACTTAATAATAAGATAAAGAGGATCGTGGAATGAAGGTTGAAAAAGGTAAACAAAACTTTAAGAAATGGTAAAAATAAACAAGCATTTAATTGTAGAATGTTGGAGAGGAAGAAGTAAAGATATTTTATAAATTTAGGATTAATAAATGGTTTCTAGAGCTAAAGAGCTATTTAAGAGGAGATAAATGAGAAGCAAAGGTTATTACTTTAATTAAGAGGAGGGACAATAAAGAGGAGGGAAATAAGAGATAAAGAGACCAGAATAACTGTTGAAAGTAATGTATAATTAATATTTTTAGTCTAAAAAAATAAAGAAGAACTTGAAATTGAAGAATATGGAAAAGGGTAAGCGTAGATAGATCGAAAAGAAACATAGAAAGAATAAATTGTGATTAATAAATATATATTTTATTATTATGGACGGAAAGAAGGTTTTGGTGGCAGATGACGAGCCCTTCGCTCAAAATCTATTAAAAATGCTTTATGGAGCTCTTAAAGTAGAATGTGTAGTAGTATCTAATGGAAAGGAAGCATTGGAAGCTTATTAAAAATCACCTAATTTCGCTCATGTTTTAATGGATATTCATATGCCAGTTATGGATGGATATGATGTAAGGGAGTGAACATTTTATTAGTCGACCAAACAAATAAGAGCTCATGAGAAAGCAAAAGGGTTGCCTAAATGTAAGATCTTAGGATTAAGTGGGGGTAATAATAGATATTGATTAATTATATATCAGATGGAGATCCAAAGACAAAGGCAGCATGTTTAAATGCAGGAATGGATGACCTTTTGGTAAAGCCAATAAAGAAGGAATAATTGTCATAGTATTTGTGATTTACACAACTTATATTTTATTGATTTCTGCAACATTTAATATTTAAATTGAATTTATTTCAATAAAATTGAAAATAAAAACAATATTATAATTATTAATATTAGAATGGATTATTATAAATCACCAAAATGGACACCATCCCAAGTAAGCTTATGCAATATTTTCATGATTAGTTGCTTAAAGTATAAGTTAATTAACTTGACTTTCAGTTGATAATACTTCATGTTCTTTGAAATCTCTTCCTTACAATTTTTTCTTGATTCTCTCAATAACTTCTAATCCTTTCTAATTTTATAAATCATCTGGTATTTCTCTCTCTTCATCAGCAAATTCAAAATAGATTTCCTTTTCTCTTCCACTTTCTTTCCTCTTCAAAGTTTATTACTACTTTCCATCATCAATAATGCTTCCTCTTCTTTTTGCTTCAGGAATCACTTAAATCAAACTCTTTCCTTAATTAATTTCTTTATCATTAAGTTAATTGATCATTTATTATGGAATTTATTTGTGTAAATCTACATTCCTAGCTTCTTTCTTAGGTTTATGATCTTATGCATTCAAAAGTCTCCAAGTAAGTAAAGGATCATATACAAATGAATCCAAAACAGCTAATAGAGATCTAAATTATATAATTTATAATACTCTTTATTTTCTCTTAATACTCTCATAACAACATTACAAGTATGTCTATAAACTCCTTCTATTCCACAAGCTTCCATAGCTTTAACCAACATTCTTGTAAGTCTAAATGGAACTCTCTCTGGATATTTCTCTCTTTTCATTGCCACTTCTATTAATATACAATTATGAATAATTACCAAAACAATCTCCAAAATCAATATGTACAATTTTACCAGTAAGTCTTTACAACATAAAATTAGATGGATGTCTATCACCTAATCCTAATATATATCCAACCATTGACATTGTAGCCAAAGATCTTGTATAATTTATTCTTCTTTCAAGCCAAACTTCAGAATTTGGTGATTTTATCCATAAAACTTTTTATAAATCCTCTCCTCTTGTATTTTCTAAAATGTGTCTATAAATCTCTACTTTGTTAGGTAAGGGTAGATTTTGATACTGAGAACAAAATTATTCCATTAAAGTACTCTCAGCATTAGGTCTTATAGCATATTTATCTCTATACTCTCTTACTAATTATTACAAAGTATCACAATTCTATACCCACCCTAATAATCCAGTATTATGAGATAAAGGTATAACTGAATATCTTGTAATAGTAAGATCTTTTCTTTCTGTTTCAGTATCATTTGTAAGTAAACGATTTACTAATGAAAATAATTGCATCACTCTTTCATCTTACCTTAAATCTTCATGTCCTTTTAATAAGAATTGATACTCTTTTGAATCATTTCCAAACATCTTAACTTATCTTGGATGTTATTTACTTGATAAAACATCTAATCTAGGAGCAAAACCATTAATTGTAATTAATTATTTATTTGGTTTATATAATCCAGGAATGCTAATTTCACAATTTTAAGTAGCTAATAATTTTGGAGAAACATTTTCAAGATGAACCTTCTTCATTTTTTCTAAACTCTTTTAAACTTTATGATATATTCTAGTATATATATCAAAAGCAACACATAAACAAACCTAATCTTCAGTTCTTAAATATCTTTATAACCATGCTTCAGCCTCAAATATTTCTTATCCATATGTTTAATGAAATGAGATTTCACTTAAACTCTCAAGTTTTACTCTCATATTATCATGTAAACCTCTTAGAATTCTTTCAACATGTGTTTTATTCTTATCTTATGAGAAAGATGTCCATGCTTCTTGAATACCTTCTCTCCATGCTTCTTTCAATAATATAGCTGTACGATTCAGTTCTTCACTAATTATTAAAGCTTCATTAACAAGAATTGGAGAATGTTTTTTCATATCATCTAATATTTTAAGTACTTATAGTCTTTTAATTTAATTTTTAGATTTACAAGCAACAGTCAATGGATAAATAAGTGCTTATGGATGAATACGACTAATGTGTATTAATAAATCTTGTAATAATTATTGAATTATTGGATTTTGAATTTAGATTCTAGCTAGAATTTATGGAATAACATCAATCCAAGCAATAACATCTATTTATTTATAGTTCTATCTAAATTCATCAGAAATAGCAGTTTCCATTCCATATTTAAATATCAAAGATAACAAACGTAAAGTATCTTATAAAATGTATCTACCTTTCTTAATATCTCTACTACCTAAAGATATTGATTTCAAGAATCCTTTAACTGCTGCAAATACATGTGCATTCATAGATTATCTATTTTCTTATTATTCAATAACTTCAAAATTACATAATCCATAATAATGCCATGCTTTAGCATAAGTAGAATTATATTATAAAGATTCATCAAATTATTTAGTAATCTATTCTAAATCACTTGTAGATTCTGCTCTTTCATAAGCCCATTTTCCTAGAGTAAAAAATGTTTTGGCTTTTAATTTAGAATCAATAGAACTTATTTATTCTTAATTAGTGAAATATTCTCTAACCTAATCTAAAATTTAGATTTCATGTTTAGCATGTACATATTCAAATTACATATTGAAAATGTGAAGAGTGACAGGTAATGGAGCCTAACCTTAATTTTAAAATTATTCTTTTAGTATTTCAATGGTTGATTTACAAAGAACCATTTTTTATCTTTTTAAACATAATTTAGCAAATTTAATCCAGATATCAAGATCATGTACTTTAGGTAAATATAATTATCTTGTTGAAAGCAAACGATACCAGACATCAATATCTTTAGGTGCCCCACTTAATCTATCATGCCATATATCTTTTAATTTCTTCTTACGTATTTCTAATTCATCCAATAATTTAATATAAGAATATTCACCAACATTTTCTTATGCTGCTTTCTATACTTTATTTTCAAATTATTTGATTTCTATAATTTCTTCCATTTCAACTAACTATTATAATTTTAATACTCCATCCTAAGCTCTATCATATGATTCTTATAATAATCCAGTTACTAAACCATCCAATCTCTCTCTACTCTTTCTAACTTATATTTTTGCTTCATCCAATTATCCTTTAGATATGCATACAGCAGCTTTCCAAAATGGTTTATCTAATTCTTCAGCATTCACTTATTCATTATAAGTAGCCAATTTATCCCATTATCCTAAATGCATAGCAGCATTTGCAGCTAAATGAGCAATTTCTTTTTATTTTGCATCTTCATTACTTCTAAATATCTCTTCAGCTTGACTAATGAGAGTTTACCATTACATCAAGGCATTCAAACATCTCATCTTAGGAACAACTAATTTAATAGCTAAGTCCATTCTTTAATCATTTTCAAATTTCAATTATTATTGTCTATATTCTTATAAGGCTTCATCCCATTTTTTTAATCGCTCATAATCTGTATTTTACACTTATATTTTAAGGGATTATTTAGCATAAGTTAATAAACCATTGGCAGATTCTTACAATCCTAAATTTGTATAAAGAGATATTAAAGATTATATGGCTTTTGAATTTGCAGTTTCAAATTCATGTTCTCTATAATAAAGAGCTTTAGCATAAGCCATACATTTTTCAGCTAATTCTCCTAAAGAACTAATATCAATTTACAATCCTTCCTTATCATGTTGCATAAATTCTGCTAAATTTAATATAGTTTATGAGATTTAGAGAGGTATGTTATCTGCCTTAATAACCCTAACTAAATGTTAAACCATTAATTCTTTATGTTTATCATTTAGAAAATACCAAGCTGAATCAAATGCAATATTAAATAATTCATATGCCAATGTTTAATACATCTCAGCTATTGATGAACATGGACTCAATACTAGAAATGGAGATAATTTCAATAATTCTACACTTGTATTACGCATCCATTCTTACCATTCTTCCTTTAATTTTCTTTATTCTGTATCAAATTTAGCCACTAATTATTCAGGTTCTATTTTCTTATACATAGGTGCATTAGGTTCAATTGTATAATATTAAGTAATCTAAGATGGAAACAATTGTTCAATAGCTTTGCAATCTTCATCTAAAAGATTGTTCAAATCTTCTAAATTACCATACATTAAAAAGATTTCAACTAATTTTTAATATTATTAATGATGTATTTTATATTTCTGTACTTGTAAATGAATCATAGGTAAATAGACAAGCATAAGATTCTTATGTTATAATATTAAATTGACAATACAATTTAATACTGACTAATGCATTTCTAATTGCTATTATGTTTTTGCACTTAATTCCACTAGATTTAATAATGAATTAACAATCAATGATAAATATTAAACTGTAGTTGGACATTTTCTAGACAAAGATACAAATAAATTTATTATATCCTTTCTAACTTCCAATAAAACACTTGAAACTTCTTTACTCAATAACTTACACATAAATGGAATAAACATATGCAATTAAGAATCAAGTAAATTCTCTAATAATATATAAATCTTTATTCCTTTACGAACTAATTCTTTCTCTTCCTCAAATTAACTTATTTCTTAATTTATTAATCTAACTAATGGTTCAACTTTATGTCTTAAATGTTATTTACTACTTTTAATCAATGTTTCCATGATTTCTAAACCTATCAAAACTAATTTTGATGACTCTTATCCTTAACAAAATAACATAACACAAGCAATAACTTAATCAATATATTAAGGATTAAATTATATTCCACATAAATGGATTACTTTTTACAAAGATGTCAATACTTTTTCTCTCATTTCTTCATTCCTTTATAATAAACGAGCAAAAACAGGTATTAGATAATTTAAATAACTTGCTGTTTTTGCTTTTAGTGTACCTATTATCCACATAATGGTTTCAAGTGCTAATTCATGATTATTTGATAAAGATGGATCCAATAAAATTTACAATAGAGTCTTTAGTGTTACTTTTGAATAATAATCTATATCATTAAGTTATATAACAGGAACTTATTAGAATAATTCTTCAATATCTTAAGAATTTATAGCTTAATGATAATGAGATTAGGCATCCAATGTTATTTATTTAGTTATTAATGCACCACTATTTTAATATAATAATGTATCTTAATCAGTTTACATTTTTAATTTTCCTAAATGCAAAAACATTGTTGTACTGAAATTACCTATTAGTATCAAATCTTCACTATATCCTCTTACTTCATTCATTAATTCACTTGATGAAACAGAATTAAGAGCATTTTAATAATTTTTTAGAAACTTGAATTTTTATTTTGTTGGTACTCCCTAAACACTTTTGTATATAAATGAATCTACAGCTCCTAAATTACCTAATAATTTCAAACATTCTTATCTCATTTCTGGAATAGTTTCAGTTCTAATTAATTAGAAAATAACATCCATTAAATTAGGAAAACGATAATAAGGAAGTACAACAAATCCTGTATTTTTAATAATTAAATTTAGAGATTTAACAGCAGCTTCTCTTTTAAGAGTTGAACTCTTATCTTACATTGCTGTTATAATGATATCAAAAACTTCTTTTAAATTAACTAGTATTTCTTAATTTGCAGTTTCTGTTAATTAAGCAAATGCCTATAATAAATATGATGTAACAATAGCACTAGTATTGGGATTCTTTAGATGTTATTAAATTACCTTAGCTATATTACTTGTATATGGTTGAACAATTGTTCGGCCATGTTTTATTAATGATGTTAATAAATATAATTTATTAATGGTCTACTTTTCAGGTTGATTACTATCAAATGTCAGAGTTTAAAGATATTCAAATAGAGTTTTCTTGAGAAATGGTGTAATTTCTGAAGGATTTAAAATGGATAAACGACAAAGAATTGTTAAAGCAATTTCTTACACTTCTGGAATTGGATCATTCATGCATAAAAATAATTTTCTCAAATTATTAGGAGAATTTAAATATGGATCAAAATTTTCATTTAGAGATGCAAGCATTGTTTACCTTATATCTTATTCAGTATCTGAAATAGCAACATTCATAAACTTATCTAATATTTCATACATAACATTCTTAGATATCATCTACTATCCTGTCGATCTTCCTTTCTTTATATATAATAGACATCCTGCTTTTGCAGTAGCCTTTCTTATGATTGGATTTGAATTAGCAAGATTTGGTAAAACAGCATCTTTCACAAAAATTGCAAGACTATCTTATAAATCAAATGAAAAAGTGCTAAGTGTTTGAATTGCATTAGCAATAGCTTCAGGAGATCTGAATTCTGTTGTAGTAATAGCTTTTTATAAATATCCTTAAAAATCATTCAAGATACTGCTATCAAAGTTCTGTTACTTAGGATTTACAAAATTAATTATTTTTCTAAGTAGAATTGCTGCAATAGTTTATAAGAGTTTTTATTAAATGTAATCAGATTATCTTGGTTATGATCTGCATAATTAATTTAGAAACTAGACTGATTGAGGATGCAAACCATTTAAGAGTATTTACTTAAATGAATATGAAATATTGATACATCTACAAGTACATCAACCGATGTAAATTCTGCAAATTTTCTTGTATAATTCTAAAATATCACTTATAAACAGTGAATCATTTCTACACAAAAGTTCTTCTGTAATAATTCTTATCGAATATGTAAGATAACTTTTTTAATGAGATCTTGAAGCATATTCTCATTTAAAAATGAGATAAGCATAGCTAAAGTCATATATGGTAGACTTTTGTCTTTTACAGATCTGGCTTACATAGTCTATGATAATAGAAAAGATATGCTTTATTCCATAAATTCTTAGACTGCATGATGTTTAGCATGTTTAGCCAAGATTGGCAAGGTTTCTATAACAGCTTTATTGATAATAGTTGATTTATGATCCTTTTTGGATAGAACATATTCACCTTAATCATAAATTTGAGCTTGTGAAAATACCTATATTCTATATAAATAATAAATTACATCTTATTTAGCATAAGTTAAAAGTATTTTAATCATCATAATATTACCATGAATGTATTCTTCTTCTCTTGATCTTTTTTTGGATTCTATTTCATCAATATAGATTTTGACTAAGTAATCTTGATATGATTCTATAATCTTTTAATAATAATTTAATACATTCTCTTTATGCAATTTATTTTACAATTTCACTAAATAAATCTAGGGCTGCTTCTCTTAATGATTATTATCTAGATCTAATGGCCCCATGAATGAGTGTAAAGTTACGATCTGTTTGCATAGTTTAAAATAACTTATTAAAAGTGATTGAAGCTGCTTCATTCAAAATTTCTTTTAAACTTAATACACCAGCTAATTTATATCTTTCACTTCTCAATTATTTTTATGCTTCTACAAAATGTAAATCTACTACTTGAGCTATCTTTGTTCCACCTAATCTTAATAATTTTCCAAAGACTTCAGCACTCTTCCTTAAGAATTTTTCATCATTATAAATAAATTAACCTGATACATTGGGAATAAACTTATTTACAAAAGTTAACACTTGAGCCTCTTATACAGTAGTTGTCAATTGATCCAATGCTAAAATACCTCCTATTATTTTTATAATTATTCATCATTACCAAATTTTTCATGAATCTCAGAACTATTTATGAGTCTCTGAATCTTACTAAACAATTCATCACTCTATTAAATGTATTTGTAGTAGACACTCTATAATTCCATTGCTGCTTTCTCTTTTTATTCATTTGGTACTTTTGCAGCTAGATCTTTAAAAATTCTCTGCAATTCCGGTTTCTGCATATATATAATTATTTTTATTAGATACATATACATACGATGCAAAATTAAGAGTCACAATAGAATTCTTTAGTATGCTTTCCAATATATTCTCAAGGCTGACACTCAATAATAAGTTTGCTAAACCTATCAAGCTACCACTGAATTCTTTGATCAACTTCCTAATTGTATTACATGTAATATATATTTTAACAATCAAAAGCTCTCAAGAAGCAATATCTTTTAGATAAAGCAAGTGTGAATACAAGATTTATTTTGTTGTGTTTGACAACCTTAACCACAGCAGGTTTAACAGCAAGAAGTAATATAATTAATTATGCAGTCACTCCATCATTTATCAAAGTAACCAGGAATACCATATTAAGTTATTTAGGTGCAGGTCTCTTCATTGTACCAGAAGTGTTTAACCCGTACTTAATATATAGATAATGATTATTATAGAACATATAATATAAATAATGAATATCCTTCCTCTATATATTATTATATTTCCATTAATCTTTTTATTTATATTAATTGTGTTTCAAGTATTAAACTAATGATTTGTTAAATTTAATATTTTAATAAAGAATGAATAAATTGATCATAATTTGTTAATCATTAAATAATTTTAAGACATTCCTTCAAATCTAAAGACAACTAGAATCTAATCTGAATTCATAATGAAATAAAGATTAATCAAATTAATACATAAAATTAACTATAATCAATGAAACCCTTAAGATAATTTGGAATACTAAACAAACTATAGAATATCTTCTCCTATTATTATATAATATTTCATATAGTAATTTCTTGTTTAAGAAAATTTTGATTTTTATTAGTTGTAATCAAGAATAAATGGAGTGGAAACAAATATTTTATAATTGTTTTTTTTTTGTATAATTTAATGATGTAAATTTGAGTTTTTGTTACTCAAAATTATGTATAAATAATATTCATAAACTTAATGACTGAAACAACTAATGTTCAATCAATAGGATATTTACCACCATAAATATCAAGTCATTACATTACTTTTGAGAAGGGTTAAAAGGTTTTATTGTTTCTGAATTACTTTTAAATTGATGATCAATCATTAATTTTAATCTCTCCAAGGAACTTTGAATATAGTAATTTAAGTAATTGATATTTATAATAAAATCATAGACTTTATAATGTTTAGTTCGAATATATGTCCTTCTTATAAAGCTTCAAAAAAATTAATTGTTTCAATAGAATAGTTTAAGTCAATTGTGAGTTTCAATATTTTACTTTTCTGTGATTTGTATTAAAACAATTCAGCAAAATCTTATTCAAAACAAGCTAGAACTATTGAGTCATTTATTAGTCCAAATTAATGTGATTAAGTAAATATACTAACAGTTCCAGGAGAGTAAGGGATTGATTTTCAAAAAGTGGAACAATATTTAGATTGTAAATTCAAATACATCAAATAACATTATAGATCTAATAGTTTAGTTTATATGGATAGCCCTTATAAATTGTATAATGTGTTATATTGTTTTGATAAAAATACATAATTAATTGAATATTTTAGATTTTTGATAGATCATTAAATCTATAATGAATTAAGTGAGATTTAATAACATTATCAAGTAAACAATTTAGAAATGACTCTATATAAATTTTTTGATAATAAAGATCTACCTAATTCAATGAATTCAGTTTAAGCTATTCGTAAGAAATTCAATAATTAAACAAAAGATTAACAATTTTATTTATTATAATAAATGAAACATATAAATTAGATGCATCAATAAGCTGATTATTAAAATTTGAGTATGATATATATATTTAATTATTTTAGTATGCCCAGATTGTTAGAGTATTTCTAAATGCTCATTTCTAGTATCTAAAAGTTAATAAATATTTTTGGCTGGATAAAGTGAACTATTTGCTTATCCTATACCAATTGAATATATGAATTTAATTGGTAGATTATTCTCATAATTAATATGTCAAATGATGCATTATGCAAAAACTTAGAATGTCAATAATAAATTGAGTAATATAGCTTAGATAGAACGTATAGAAGAGGCAATATCATGTCCATCATTTAATTTAGAAAGAAATTATTAAAATCTTGAGATGTTAGGAGATTCAGTTATAAAATATCTAACATCAGCAATGTTATTTGAAGATAGAGGTTTAAATAATGAAAGTCTATTATCTTCTCTTAGAATAAAATTAATCACAAATAAACATTTATCTGATGTTTATATACCTCTTTAAATTCGAACTATGAATTCAAAGATACATTATAAAAAAGTAAGAAATCATATGACAACAACAATTAATGATGTGGATGATTTTAAATTATCAAGAAAATAATAAGCTGATATTTATGAGGCTATATGTGGTGCTTGTTATATTAAAAATTATGAATTCAGTGATGTAATCAAATTCTTTAAATTAACTAATTTTGGATTTTAAGGTATTTTCCAAATATTTTATTCTGGTAATTCTCTAATACAATTTCCTGATGTCTATAATACTAATATATTTCCTTTTAAATAATAGAAATAATTAAAACCGTTTGTTCAAAAATCAATTTACAATTAATCATTGGATTAATTTGAATAATTTTTGGGTTGCAAATTATCTCGACTTAGTGAAGCAATGACAGTTGATGATTATGAAAGACTTGAGTTCTTGGGAGATGCAATACTTGAATTATTGATTGTAGCAAATGTACATAAAGAATGTGAGAAATATTACTACACTCAATAATAATAATAGATGTGTAGAGAAGGTAAATTGTAATCTAAATTACTATTGTGTCCAGGATGGTTACATATTGCTAAGATATCCTTACTTGACAATGGTTTTATGGGTACAATGGCTCTATATTATGGATATCATTAATATGCTATAGGATTGTGTTAAGAAACTTAAAATGAATTAGAAAAAGTCTTGGATTCACTTAGATAGGAAGAATTTAATGAATTCTATTTAATTAATTAATATTCAACATAAATACCAAAGATTATGAGTGATCTTTGGGAGAGTGTGGCTGCTTGTATTATGATTGAATATGGATGGGAGGGAGTAGTTAAAATTTATGGAGAAATGTATAAACCTTTTATTTAATATGTGGTGTAGAATATTTATACAATATATGATTACTATCAAGTAATCAATAGGAATATCTAAATTGAAAAAAATTGATTTTATTATTATTTTTATATAACAAATGTCAATTTAATATACTTAAGATGAATTACTCACCTTCCAATATTTCTTTACTATTTGCGATTAGACTGTAAATATTTATAATGATGAATCTACAAGGGTTAAGGAATACTTGTATAAGATGTGGTGATCAATTTTTTTAAGGCAAGTGGTTTGAATTAATAAACTTTAGGAGTAATTATTTACTTTACTAAATATAATAGGCTATATGGTAAATAACATCATCTAATGGACAAACATTCACAAAAGATGAATTTTTTGCTGCTCTTAAATTAATTGCTTTAGCTTAAAATGGTTATTCTCCAGATGAAAAATTACTCTCTAAAAATATCACTTGTTCTTTACCTTAATTTCAAGGTCTTTAACCACCTAATTATGAAATCTCTCTTGAATAGTTGCAAAAATATGAAAATTATTTTCTTACTATAGATTAAGAAGGCACTTAGATAGTCTAGGGTATGTAGGCAAGAGCTTTATTTTCTAAGTCTGGGTTGAGTTTAGATTAACTAAAAGAATTATGGAATCTTTGTGATATAGGAGAAAAGGGTTATTTAAATAAAGGAGAATTCATAGTTGCTTTGCATTTAGTTTAGTTATGTTCTAAATTTAAATTCCCTTTACCAATCACCTTATCTGATTCTTTATTATAGATTACTAATAAATTATCCATTAATCCTAATAGAAGTAGATTGGGTTCAAATTAAAACTTAATTCCTCAATAAAGATTTGGTTCCAATTCTAATTTACTCAATTAACCTAGACCAAGATTAGGATCAAATGCTAATATTGGAATATAACCAATTTAAAATTTTCAATAGATATAATAAGTTAATTAACCGTTAAATATACCAACAAATGTGAATATGATACCAGGATATGATTAAAATGGGATAAATTAAGTGAGATAATAGGTTAATGATTCTACTTAATAAGTTTATCAAATGCAAACTTAATTAAATTAATTATATTAAAGTATTATATTTGAAAAACAAGAGGATGTAAAATAAATGTAGGTCTTGAATGATAAGTAAATAAATAATTGAATTTTAGTTTGAGACTTATATTTTCAAATTTATAAGAACAATATAAGGTTATTAATGAAGAGCTTAACAAAATTAGAATCTAAAAATAAGGATTAACTTAGTAAAATTAATAATTACAATAATAAATAGGAATATAATTATAATAAAATAAAGAATAATTTACTCAATTATAATAGGAATAATAATAAGAATAATAATATTTATAACTTCCTTATCAAAATTTTTAAGCAATGACACAAAATTAATAATTAAGTTAACCATCTCATTAATAAAATTTTGGATTTTAAAATACAATTGTAAAATTATATTCATTTATATTATATAGAATTATGGTAATAACAGTCCTTTACATTAAACAAATTAAATTAAGATTCAGCCTTAATAACCAATAAATCAATTTAATGTAGATGAAATTTAAAAATAAACTGGTCTATCAAAAATTCCAGTAGGTAATTTTTTATATTTACATTTAGAGACATAAAGAAAATAAGTAACATTTGTATAACACTAAGAATAATTTCCATGGTGATTTTTAACAATACAATTAACAATATATAAATTTAATCATTTTAGTTTTCTTGGTTTATCAGAAACATCTGAAATATTAAGTTCACTCTACATTTATTGTAGTTTATCTTCCATTCTTCCTATAACATTTTAAAATTTATATAAAAATTATTCTTAAAATTCTCGATCAGATCTTTAACAATCATCTCCTTCATCTAAATGGAAACTATTTTTTTAAATGGTATATTCTCTTTAATTCTTTGTTTCCTTTAATTATTACTATTATAGTTAATGATTAATTTTATTATTCGTAAAAAAGGTTTTTGGTTATCTATGTGAAATAGGTTAAGTATAGATTATATTTTTATTCATAGGTTATGTATATGAAGGTTATGTATATGTAGTCTATTAGATAGATAATTAAGGCTAAATATATTATTCATATTATAAGGGTGTAGTCAATACCTATTATTATTATGGTTAAAATGATTATTATTTTTATTAATATGGTGTTACTATTTATTATGGAATTATCTATGATTGGATATAAGGTATATTTTTCTCATTTTAAGGTTACATTTAATTTTTATCTCTTTCAATTATTCTTTCATATTGAGAAAGTAGTTCCTTCTAATCTTTAATTACACCTTATAATTTCATAACCTCATCTTTGTGTTATTCATATAACTAATCATACTTCAATTTCTCTTCATTGATTTTATTTGTTAATATTATATTTCTATTTTTTAATTCCATCATCTAATCTTCAACTACCATTTATTATTAATAAAATGAATTTTAAGTATCTACTTTTTCAATTTCATTCAATTTTTCATAAGATTAAATTAATCCACTTTAATTGTCAATTATACCTTATAACTTTTTGATTTCATCATAATGTAATGATTGTTATTTTTCTAATTATTTATTAAATTCATCTCTCTATTATTTTATAGTTATATCCTTTTACAAATTTTATTATTTACTCTCATCCAATTAGATTAAGAGTTTTTCATTTTATTATTTAAGAATTGTTATCTATTCAATTTATTATTCATTAAGAAATGAAGACTCTTAATAATCCCTAATTAATTACTCATTTTCTTGCTATAAATCTAATATCAATTTCATTTTTACTTTGGTTATCATAAGATAATTGATGTATAGTTTCTTATATTTTTTATACTTCTTATGCCCATTCTTCTTTTAAATATTATTTTTCTTGTACTTCCTGACTTGCTTCTTTGAGTTATTATTTGAGGATATGATTTTATTACAATAGAAGTGCTAGACTCCCTTTTATTTCTTAATATTTAATCTAATAATCAGACATTAGGGATGAAAACTAATAAAATTTGAAAATAAAATAGTTATATAATAATATCATTTTTGATGATTCCCATTAGCCCTGATTGGTTTAGGCTTTTAATTTGGGCTTTTCACTTTTTATACTTTTGTTTAAGTCTTAACTTTATTAGAAGTATGTTAGATTTGTTACTTTTATTAGATGGAAGCTCTAGAATTATAAGCATTTTCTAAATTATAGATTTATTTAGATTTTCTAAATTATGCTGATTATTAAGTATCAGTCAAAAAATCTTATTTTTCAATCTTCTATGGAGATTCATTATGAAAATTAAGATTTTTATTAACATGAGATTCACTTAAGACTTTTTTAACATCTTCATAACAAGGATTGAATATTTAATTGGTTGGAACATCTTCATTTTTTATTTGTGAAACTTAAAGTGGAATTTCAACTTATCTTAATAAATTAGTAATAGACTTAAAAGTTGGTCTTAGAGTGGCCTTAACATTAACACAATCTTAAATTAATTGTTTAATATTATCTAAAATAAGGAATATTAAAATAATTTTACTTGGTATTTGTAATTAATCAATAGAATGAATATAAGATGAGAAATTATCATTGAGTGTCAAATTCTTATAATCATAAATTTATGCATCTTAAGGATGAACTCCTGTTAATAAATTAATCATAATGATTCCAAAATTAAATATAACAGCTAATTCACTATTGAATGATGGAGGACAATTAACTTTCAAAGAATTCATTACTTCTGGTGCTATCATCCAATCATTTTTAGAAACTTCATTAAAATAAAGTTATTCATAATCAGAAATTTCAGTAAATAATTATGTATTAACAACTTTAACATGATCATCAAATTGTAGAATTTTAGAAGTACAAAATTAACAATTATTTACACCTATTTAATCCATAACTTAGAGTGCTTGAATTATATTTAGCATAAATAATTTAACATCTTTTGGTTATTAAATTTATTGATCTGAATAATCGGCTGTTAAATATATTTTGACATAATTAGAACAAAATTCTTCTTGTTTTTATGTCTCTAAACGATTGACACTAATTAATGAAGAACAATTTGGTTAGTTTTATGATAAGACATCTTTAACAATCATTTTTTTAAGGGAATCCATTTGATCTTTATATTAGGACTCTTCTACAATAACTGTCTTTAAACATTATAATTAATTAGAAGGTCCTTTGTATACTTTGATATGTCCAAATAAAGGATGTTATTTGATTTCTCTTATAAATGTCCATTCAGTTGAATGTGCAATACTTGGTTTGATTTATTCGTTACCCATTAATTTTTAATTAAATTTAATATATCATAACATGCCATAAGTTTTGGGTAAGTATTTTTCTAATAATTCTGAATGGATGCTTGATAAATTTCCATAAGGATTGTCAAATGATTTATCATTGGGATTGTATTCATAATGTTAACCAGCTAATCCAAGGAAATCTCCCTTATCATAGAATTTATGCTCTTACACCAAATGTCTTAAATAATGCTTCAGGTGCACAAATATCCCATTTACTCATTCCTACACCCAAACAAATAAACATGTCAGTTTAACCCTCAAGAACTGTTAGACTCTTTTTTCCTGAACCACCAACCTAATATAATTAACAACCTAAAGATTTAATTTTCTATAATTCTTTATTAGTTAATCTATTTCTTTAAGTACATAATCTAACATTCAATGGATCAAATTAAGGTTTCTTTAATTCTGATGGAATATTTGATATAGAATCATATGTATAAAAGACTTTTTATTATGGTTAATGACCAAAATATATTTTTGGTTTAAATTCATATGTATTTTAAGGTTCTTGTAATTTAATAAAAGGTTATGAGATAATTCCCATTAATGCTTATTTTTTATAGGAAACTCCAATTAAAGTAGTAACATTTTCATAATCTCCTTTAACAAAATCTAGTGTGCCATCTAAAGGATCAACCCAAACACATAAATCATCAATTTCATATTAAGTTCTAATAATATGATTTAAATGTGTTCTATTAAAAATATTCTCATCATATAATTAGAGATTAGTATCTGGTAAATTAATAGGTTAAGAATATGAAATGGATTCTTCTCCAATAATTGTTAACTTTGGCCTTGATTAATTTAACAATAATACCAATGTCTATGTAATTATTAAATAATGTATGATTATGCTTAAATATCAGCAATAGTGACAGGATCATCAACACCTTTCCATTTTTAACCAATATCTGATGATAATCTGACTGAATTGATAATTTTAGCAGAATTATAGGCTAATTAAATGGCAACAGAAAAGAATTCATGAACTTTAAGCATTATTTTAATTAAATATGAATAGTGATGAAATATTATCTGTAGTAGCTGATATTGGGAATCTTTATACTAGAGTAGGATTTACAGGAGATGATTTTCCTAGATGGAGTACCTTTACAAAATGTACAGAAACATTTTAATTTGGTGATGAAGCTTTGGGTGTAGGAAATACATAATAAATTCTTGATATTCTATAACCATTTAATTCAGATCTTTATGAACAACTTTTATCTAAGATATATGAGAAATTATATGTATAACCTAAAGATTATAGTCTCTTATTAGCTAATAACTTTTAATCAAAATAAGATCTCTAAAAAGTGATTGAAATATTATTTGAGAGTATGGAGATTCCAAATTTCTTTACTATTAGAAATGCTGTTTTAGCTACTTTTTCAGCTGGTCGATCTACAGCATTAATATTAGATATAGGAGCCTATTCTACAACTGCATCAGCTGTACATGATGGATATACATTATTAAAAACTTAATTATAAGCACCTATTGGAGGAGAATAACTTAATGAACCTTTTAAATAATATATTGTTGGGGAATATAATTAATTCAAAAAAACATGTTAAGCTAGAGATATTAAATAATCACTTCTTACTTATGAAACTATTGATACTAATCCATAATATGAATTACCAGATGGTAAATTTATATCAATATAATAATCTTAATTATTAGAAATTGCAGATAAATTATTTTATAATAATGAAAACTTTAAAGGTATTTAACATATGTTAATGGATATCATAAATAATTCTACAAATGATATTAAATAATTATTATCATCAACTGTTATTTCAACTGGTGGTTCTTCAAATATTCCAGGATTTTTAAATAAATTATAGACAACTTTATCTGCTCTAGCACCACCTATGTGTAAAGTCAAATTAGTAATGTATCCAACAAATGTATAAAATATATATATATATTAATATAGTAAAATAGATATCACTCTGTATTTATTGGAGGATCAATATTAGCTTCACTTAGTTCATTTTAATCACTTTGGGTTGCAAAAAGTGAATATTATGAATCAGGAAAATTCAGTATTATTGAAAGGAAATGTCCAAATTGAAAATTTATTGTATTATTTTTAATTTCCTTTATTTTATTAATTAATTATAAATCAATAAATGATAATTGAAAATTCTTTCTCAATTTTTAAAAGTTATTGATATGTCTAAACTTAAATAAAATTACAATAACAATTAATATATATATGATTGATTAAACTACTTACTTATTCAACTAATTAGCTACTTAATACTTGAAAGTTAATATTGAATAAAATGTGATTATAGATCCTGAAATCCATAAAATTCTTCATCTTCTTCAGAAAAAAAGTGAGACAACCAAAATTAAAACCTTATCAGAACTCAAAACTCTATTACCTAATAAATCATAAGAATTCTTTGATTAATTTACACCTACATTTATCAATATATATAAAAAATATGTTGATAATGAATATGAAAGAAGAGTTTTAGAATTATCCAATCAAGTGTTATCCTTAATTTGTTAATATGGAAAATAATCCTTATCTAAGAAATTCAAGTAATTATTCCCATAATGGTTTATTATGATCAATGATTAAAATTCTGAAGTATAAATTTATATCATTTATTTATTAGATCTCAAATACAGCTATGAATGCCTTTCAAATTGCATTTCCAACTAAAGAAAAATAAGTATAAGCTCTCAAATATTGTAGTGATCAATACATGATTGATTTAAACATATATCTATCTCTATCTATAACTACTATCAAATAAGAAATAAATTTAGAAGATGACAAAGCTTAATATTTATATGAGAGATTGATAGTATCAGCAATTAACTCAATTAAAACAGCTATATTATGGAATCCTGATAATAAATTTATTGAATAAATTATGATACAACTTGATTTTACAAATCAAATTACCATTATTGTAGAATTACTCAATACTGAAAAGATAAGTATTGTAGCAACTATTATTGAAACATTACATTTTCTATTGTCTAATGATATATCAACTCAATTTGTCCTTTATAAAAGTGATCAAATACTTAAAAAGACAATCTAACTCTTTGAATAAAAAGATATTTTAATTGTAAGTGCATTATGGAAAGGATTTGTTATTAAATTATTCTAAAAAGTTTAATAAGATTAAATTTTAAAACTTTAAGATCTTGAAAATAAATCTTTGGAATTAATATCTTAAGCTGGTTTTGGTGTTGGAAAATTATTTTATGATTAATTAGTTTTATTTGTATCACTTAATCCTATCTATAATGTAATCAATATTAAAAAAGAGGAACATTTTAGATACAAATTAGCTTCCATAACAAAATTATTAAATGCCATATTAAAAGGTATTACTCATGAAGATAGTAGATTATTTTCAGAAAATTTAATAAATAGTTATTTTGAAACAATCTATTTTCTAATTTGCAAAAGTATAATTCCTTCTTTGATTTAATATAATTAATTTTTAGGATAAGTTAAAAATATTATTGCCTAATCAATCAAGTAACTTTTACAAAATACTCTATTTAAATAAGGTGCTTAGGCATATAATCATAATCCATATTAGTATGTGCATTCAATTTTTTAATAGTTTTTAAAAATTTTAAAAGTAAAACAAGAATAATAAGAATTCTTAAATGAAATTATATAAGCTATTATGACTGAATTAAGGACTCTTAAATTAGGTGATTATTAAGTATTTGTAACTATGGTTGAATAATTACTCAAAATTAAGAAGGAATAAAGTTCAGCCTATCAATTTGTTTAAGAATATTTGATATATATATTTGATGAAATCTATACAAATAACGATTTCGAAAAAGGATATTTGCTTTTTGAAATCATACCAAATTCTTAAATTTAAAAAAAAAAAAACTTGGATTAAAAGATTTATGAAATGATCAATAATTTTTTTAATTCCATTTAACTGATTTCTTCAGAAGATTTAATAAAGAAATGTGCCTAAATTAAAATATATATCTATAATTTATAAAGAATAAATGAATAATAATTATTTGAATCTATTTTATAAAAGATAATTACTTAAGAATACAAATAAGTAATTCCAAAAGAAGAATAACACATTTTCAAATTAAAATGGATTTGTTTACATTATTTTATAGATGCAAGTATAGATCCACAATTTTATTCAAAATATTTAACTATAAAAGATTCATAATAAGAATATAATCTTATTGAAGAATTTATTAAATATTAATAATTACAATAGAATGAAACTTTTTTGACCAAATTTTTGAGTTTATCACTTACAATAACTAATTTAAGTTAAAAAATATTCATTCCTTGTATTATTTAAAATGCTAATTAATAAATTTTAGATATTTTGAAATCAAAATATACATAAATAGGTTAATAAGTTATCAAAAAAATAGATAAAATTTAACTTTAAATATTCGAAGAATTATCATACATTATGAATCAATTACAACCTTAGTAATTAATATTCGATGTTTTATTACAATTATATTTATAAAATTAAAGTCATAAAGGTACTTTCCTTTATAATTTAATAAACAAAGAATATTAAAACTTATTTGTTTAATTTTTCTAAACTATTTTGCCATTAATAAAAACTGATACCTTAAATTAATATCTTGATTTCTTTACAGATATATTTAAATAACTAAATAGCCAAGATTTAATATAGTTTTTAAATTTTAATTTTTAAAGTCCTATATCATGGAAAATCTTATCTTTAATTGAAATTTCATAGGATTACTTAAATAAAATGTATTAAAATAACTAATTACAATTATTGGCTATATTTCTAGCTTCCAATTATTCATCCATTATGTTATATGATCATAAGTTGAAGAGATTCATATCGAATATTTTGGGAAATCAAATTATTTTAATTTTCCTACATTCTTATTAACAATAATAAACAAAAAGTTTGGATTTTATAAAGGTTCTATTCAATAACACTGAAATAGTTTATGGAATAGCTCTAAAAAACCTAATAAAATAAATAACAATAGAGGAGACAAAGAATTAAAATAAATCAAAATAAATAGATTTATTAGCATAAATAATTGTAGAATAACTTAAAATAGCTTTGGATACTAAAAATGTAAATAAGTTGATATTTATGAGATAAATAATAAATGTAGATGATGTAAAGCAATAATTCTAAAATGTTTTATAGACTTATTATCAAAATAATTAGATTTAATATTTGGATTTGTATACTCTTATATTAAGATAGGAAGATAATCTCATAGAATTAGAAAATCAAACAGAATTAAATTAAATAATAAAATTACTATTTGAGATGAATTTGGAATCAAATTATGATAAAATGGTTGCTTTTGATTTTATATATATAATATGTGAAAGAAAAACAATTACACCTTTTGCTGCTTATTTAAAATAAATTATTAATTTATTTAAGTAATTATTTTAATAGAATATACCATTTAAACTATACTATTCATTTAGTATTGTATCAGCACTTTAATTGGTTAGAAAAATATTGAACTTTATAGAAGTATTTCCAATAGAATTTTAAGATTAACTAAATTTTGATTTAACAAATTCTTTATTATAATTAATTCAATTTTGTATAGATTCAAATCAAAATCCAAAATTTAAGAATGAATAGAATGATATTCTATTTATTGAATATGCAGAAACTCTATTGCTTTTTATTCAGATGAAAATAGGGCAAAAGATTGATGATAAAATATATTATCAATTATTATAATGTCCATTCATTAGTATCTAAAAAGTTGCATTTATTGCATTAAAGAATATATAAGATTATAGTGGTTTAAGTCTTTTTTTGGATGGATTTGATATGAAAAAGGAAGAAATGAGAAGATTTAGATAATTAGATGAGGAAGATGAGGAAGATGTATAAGATAAAATAACATTCCCTCTTGATGGTAAAATATTAACTTATTTACTTGCTTGGCTTGTTGTTTTATAGAAAAAAAATTGTATTTAATTTTAAGATAAGTATCCTACTTATTTAAGCAGTTTGTTTTATTTGTTATAATACTTAAATGATAATGAAATAATGGCAAAGTTTAATTATAAAGAAATTTATTAATATGAATTAAATCTAATGGAAATTTAGGATGATTAATCTGAATTATTAAAGATTATTGTAATTTCAATTTATTATTTTATTTTGAATTAATAGAATTATTTTAAGTTATGGTACAATTAAGAATGCAATCAAACATAAAAGAAATAATTAGACAATATACTTTAGATTATTAGTAAAGCAATTTATTAAAGGGAAATTGAATTTATTAAATTAAACAAAATAGAATTACATAATGAAGGTGTTGATATTAATATTTCTAAAAATCAATAGGAAATAACAGCTACTTATAACTAAAAACTATAAATCCTTATTTAAATTCCTATAGATTTTCCTTTAAAGCCTTTAAAAGTGAAAACTAAGAATTTAATTTAGATTAGTGAAGATAAATCATAAAACTGGAGTTTAATGATAAGAACTATCTTATAATAAGAAAATGATATTATATTATCAGTATTAAAATTATGGAAGAAGTATATTGATGAATAATTTTATGGTATAAATCTAATTAATAAATATTGTTAGATATTGAAGAATGTGTTGTATGTTTTTGTGTAATCAATAAGAATGGAGAATTACCAAAGATGGCTTGTAGAACATGCAAACATAAATTTCATTCTACTTGTATTTAGAAATGGTTTCATATTAGCAATAAAAGTGATTGTCCTTTATGCAGGAGTAAATTTTTATGATAAAGAAATCATTATAATTTTTAAATTTCTTCATGATTAATCGATTATCCATTTTTGGCTGAAATTAAGATTTTTTCAGTCTATCTGTTTTTTTCAACTTTTTCAAATTTCTCTTTTTATTCTCTTTGTATATCATCTTCATCTTTATCTTATAATCTTTCAAATATTTTCTTATATAATTCTTGCTCACTTTTTGTAGTTTTGATTTATTTACATTTTTACAAATATAATTATACTTCTGTAACATCTTCATTAGGGAATTTTTTAATAATCTGTTAAAAATATTCAAGGGCTTCACTTGTTTAACCTCTTTCAAAATGAGCTTTTGCATAAATAAAATAAGCTAAAGATGATCAGAAAATTTGTACCTTTAAAATTTTAATCCCATTCATTCATAGCTTATTTAGATGTTTCTATTGCTTTTGTATAATCTTACAATTATAAGTAACAAATAGCTTAATTAGAAAAAACCCTTGAGAGTTCAATCTAAAAAAATGTCTTTTATTCTTAAGTCATTTTATTTTTCAAAGCTTTCGGAATTTAGCCAATTTTAGCGTAAAGAGTTTTGTAAACTTAAATAGCTTCTTAAAATTTCTTCTCTTTAAATAATTAACCAGCTTAAGGTTTCAATTATTTTACTCTTTATTATCTCTCTTCTAAAGTTAATTTTTCATTATCCTCCATCTCTTCTATATCATGTACTTCAATAATCCATATTTAAGGTTAATCTAATATATTTCTATATTTGCTCTCTATAAATTATATGATTGGAATGTCTTAACATTCATTTTCAGTTTCCAATTAAATAATTGATTTTCTCAAATTTGGATTCACTTCAAATACAGCAACCTCTTTATTTCCCATTTAATTTAAGCATAAATGTAATCCAAAAGATGATTTTTTATCATGCTTAAGCTATATCTTTCTTATATTTTTATAATCCTTATTCAAAAGTTTTCCTTAAATTGAGTATTCCTTAATTGTGTAGCTTATTTTACAAGTCTCTGGATTGTATTAAGATAAAGGAGGTATTGAATAAGGAGTATCCAAATATTTCCATAGTAAACCTTCATGAATGACAATCTTTTGTTTAGTACATATATCTCTAAAATCCAATATGCTATCATTGTTTTAATTTGCCATTTTATATTTATTATTAAAAGAAAATATCAAAATGGCAAAGGATAAATAGGGGGAAATTGATGTAGATAACATAATTGAGAGATTATTAAGTGTAAGAGGGAGTAAGCCAGGAAAAAATGTAAATTTAACAGAACCTGAAGTTAGAGGTCTTTGTATAAAAGCAAGAGACATTTTCATTAGCTAACCAATATTGTTGGAATTAGAGGCACCTCTAAAAATTTGTGGTGATGTGTTAATTTTAATGATTTTATAGGCGATGTACATGGTCAATATTTTGATCTACTGAGATTATTTGAGTATGGTGGTTATCCTCCTGAGAGCAATTATCTTTTTTTAGGTGATTATGTAGATAGAGGTAAACAATCATTAGAAACAATTTGTTTATTATTGGCATACAAAATTAAATACCCAGAGAACTTTTTCCTTTTAAGAGGTAATCATGAATGTGCATCCATCAATAGAATATATGGTTTTTATGATGAATGTAAGCAATTTTATTATATATTAAGGTAAACGTCGATATACAATTAAATTATGGAAAACATTCACAGATTGCTTTAATTGTCTACCTGTGGCAGCATTAATAGATGAAAAGATTCTATGTATGCATGGAGGCTTATCACCTGAATTATCTAATTTAGAATAAATAAGAAGAATTATGAGACCTACTGATGTACCAGATACAGGACTCTTATGTGATTTACTTTGGTCTGATCCAGATAAAGATGTCTAAGGATGGGCTGATAATGAAAGAGGAGTTTCTTATGTTTTTAGTTAAGAAATTGTACAAGTTTTCCTTAAAAAGCATGAATTAGATCTTATATGTAGAGCCCATTAAGTAATTACAACTCTTATTATAGGTAGTAGAAGATGGTTATGAGTTCTTTAGTAAAAGATAATTAGTGACTCTATTTTCAGCTCCAAATTATTGTGGTGAGTTTGATAATGCAGGTATTTGTATGCAGTCTCATATGCAGGTTCTATGATGACTATTGATGAATCCCTTATGTGTTCGTTCCAAATACTAAAGCCTGCTGAATAAGGTGCTCAAGGTGCCTCATAATAAAATAAACCTCCTAGTGCCAAGTTTGTAAACTGATTTAAATCAGAGAATTTATATATATTTTAAAACAACTTAAATAGATTAATTAGTCATCATTATGTTTTCAGACTTGATCAATCATTTCAGATAAATTTATTAAAATAAATACTTAATTTGAGTTTTCAATTAATTCATATAGCTAATATAGAATAAGTTAGATGTTAGAATTAATATTTGTTATATAAACAATATTTAGTAATGGAATATCAAAGTTAAAGAATAATAGTTTAAAATGGACAATAAATAATTACATTAATAAATTGAGTTGATATAGTAGATAATATAATCATTTTATATTAAAAATAGTATTTAATTCATTATTAGTAATCTATATTATGTAACAATATCTCTTCACTTAAGAAAAAATCAATTTTACATTGTATTATTTCTCCTTTATTGAAAGTTCCTAATAATATATAATTAATATCTTACCTTAAATCATTTTCCAATTAAAATGCCAATCTTTAGAAGATTCAATTTAGTATTGATTGAAATATATTCCCTTTCCATGAAATAAGTTATTTTTCCATCTTCCTTCATAAATTATTCTCAATTTTGATCCATCACAAAATAGCTTTCCATAACCATCTATTATTATTGTATTATCACAATTCAATAATTCTCCTTCATAAACAAATCCATTTTAGAATTGAATTGATCCATTTAATTTCTTTGATAAATTGAATTTATTTCCACTCCAAACATTACTTGCTTTATCAACAATTTTTAACGCAGGAACTGTTAAAGTGGGAGTATTTGGATAATCACTTATTGTATCTAAAGTCATTTCAGATTTATGATTATTTACAAGTCCATAACCATATTTTGATAAAGGATATGGTTTACCTTGAATTGATTCATGATTCTAGAATTAAGTTTTGAAAAATTATTCAACATTTTATTGACTAAGTTGAACACTTTATGTTTTTTAATGTTTAGGTTAGGCATGAGCGAATTCTAAAGCTAAACTTATGTTTTAAGTTTTTTATGGTGAACTTGATCTTAACAACTTGATACTACTTGAAATAATGGTCTTTGAATATTTCACAATTTTTATGTTTTCCTAAGGACCTAAGAATATATAATTGGGAAATTATATTGTTGTAGTTAACCTTTTCTCTGGTGATTTAAGGGGTCTATTCCTTGAGGTATTAGCTTAAATATTCAATCTTACTATTTACATAAAACTTATTAATTTTTTAATGAATGATTCATTAAACTTAGCTATAAAAAATCAGAAAAGTCGCTTTAATTTTATAATTGTAAATCTTTGAATATAATTATACATAGATTACCTAATTTATATGAAGATTAATGTAATTGATATTAATTATATTTTAGGAGATACTAATTATGATATAATATATATTAATTATAATACATATTATAGATTTTATATGTTTCATAATAGTCTACTTTTGATCTCTAAATTAATGCATATTTTAATTATCTTATTTAATTGAATGGATCAATACTAAAATACTTTTTAGATGTTAGGACAAAACATGTTTTCCAAAGCTCCACCTAGTGGTTATAGTGCTGGATATCATCCTATAATTTAAGCCAATTCTAATAAATAGAAGTTTGATTAACTGATATAGTTAATGTAATAATAGGAGTAGACAGTAATAAAAAATGCTTAAAAAGGTTAGTGATTATAATACGAGAATGAAGGAGAAAGAAGATCATCTATATTATTTAGAATAACAATCTATGCAATTATAAAGAGATTTGATTTAAAAAGATAAATAAAGAAATGAACATAATCAAATACATTACAAAAATTATTCACCTACTTTTAATGTTTAAAACACTGTTCCAATGGAGCCATTGTAAACTGAATTATAATCAGTTTAGAACTTAAAATAAAACAAATCTATATAAGCAGTAGATTATCCAGAAATATAGTCTTAATAAATGCAACGATAAGCATCAGCTTAAAGTAATTAGAATTAGACAAGACCTTAATCTAATACAATTTAAGGAAATTAGAAATTGTTATATATGCAAAAACAAATTGAAGAATAAAATCAATATATTTAATAACTGTCTACTTTGGTTGGGAATAGGAAACCAATATTTGATCCAGAGAAGGATGATAGTTTAGCATAATTATTGAATGAAAGAGATGATTTATAAAAATAACATATTTTGAATGAAATAAAGTAATTAAAATAGAGAATAGATGAATATGATCACTCAAGATAATAAATATAATATGGATTTATACCTTAATAATAATAACTATTATAATAATAGGGTATGATGTAATATTAAAATCCTTATGGAATGTATCCATAAATGTATCCTCCAAATATTTAATTATAATAATAATAATAAAGTGATGAATCTGATGATAATGATTTAAATAATGAAATTTTAATGAAATTGATTGATCAATAAAATAGATAAAATAAGAGAGGATCAAGAAATAAATAGAATAGTCGTGATAATAAGGATAGAAATTAAAAAAGAGATAGAAGAAATACACAAAAGAAAAAATAATAAGATGATGATAATAATAATAATCATGGAAATGATGATTGAATTTAAATAATTTTAGTTTTATTTTTATTATTATTATTATGCAATTATTGATTATGCGTAATCATATTGTTGTATCTTTAATTTTGGTACCTGGAAGATGATACAAATCTCTGACTGCTTTACTAGCAAATCTAAGAATATTTATTAAAAGATAAACCCTTTACAATAGTTGGCTGGATTCAATTTATTGAATAAGCAACTTTGAAATTTTTATAGATTATCTTATGCTTCAGTTGGAGCATCTTAGACTGATTATCCATATTATCCCTAATGATTAATATATATATATATATACTTATGAAATGCAATAATAATAGCTATCTACAAGTGGTTTGCATGGCAAGAAACCATTGGGAGTACCTTTTTCATCTTCAAGATGCTTTTTGAAGATTTTTTCTCTGCATACATCTATACCTGTTAAAAAATATTGGCCTAAAGTAATATAATTAGAAGAGGACTATACAATTTCTTAATCTAACAGCTACAATTCGAACTTCTTCTTCTGAAGGTACTTTGAGAGTGTACTCGTCATCGAATTCGCTGTTTTCTAAAGGAGTAGCTTGTCCTGTGAAAAAGAATCTATTCATTAATTTAATTAAAATGGATGAACAAATTATAAATGTGATATTTGACCCAAACTTCACTTCTTTTGATTAGGATTTAGCTAATATGAGTCTAGAAAAGATGATGCAAGTTTCATTTTCAGAAGAAATCTTGTAAAAGAATTTTTCTGTCATTATTTCTATTCTCAAACAGTTACATAAGGGCATGATACTTATAAATGGATAAGTGAAAGACAATAGTGATTGGGTGCAGGTAAAGATACTTATAAATGATAGAAATTAAGGGAAGAATCATAATAGACTGATACAAAAGATAAAATAGATGTGATTGATTCTTAAGTAAAGGAAATTCATTAGAATTTTGCTACAAAAGCAGAGTTGTAAGCATTAAAATAAAAATATGGTATTAAATATTAATTAATTATGTCTTAGATAATATTTTGAGAGATTAAGATATCTAAATTAAAGAAATTGCTAAAGCTTAAGAATAAGAGTAATAATAAATAAATAAAAATGCTGAAGATATAATTTAAAAATAAGAATAAATTGATAAAATTAATGAGGAATTAGATAAACTTCGTAAACTTATAAATGATCAAAATAAAATAATATCTGATTTATAAACATAAAAACCAGATACTAATGTTTATCAAATCTAATAATCTAAACCATTATCAGATGATTCATTAAAGGATGTTTAGAATAGATTAGCATAACTTGGTAAATATATTATTTATATTATATTAGAATCTTAATATAAAGAATTACTAAAATAAATCAATAATTAACCAAAAAATTTATTATAACCAATCTAAATGAAAGATTAAGATTATGTAGATTAACCAAATTCTGAAGTTGATTTAACTGATATAAATAAAAAATTAGATAATCATGAAGAAGAAATTTAAAAATTATTTGAATTACTTGATGAATTAAGAAAAAAAAATAGGGATGGAGTTTAAGGAGTAGGATCTAATGTTGATAGTGAAGATCTATTGATTATCAAAAATGACATTAAAAAACTCTTTACTTTATTAGAATAATTATAAACATAACTAAATTTAGCTTCATTTGGTAATTCAGGTGAAGAAGGAAATAATATGGGAGAAAATTAAATGGTAATTATTTTGGCAGAAATTAATAAAATAAGAGCTTTATTAGAAAATTATGCTACTCAATAAGATCTAACTAATCTTGGTTAAAAAGTTGCATTATAATAAAAATAAACATATGATCATATTGATGAAGAAATTGAAAAAGTTAGAAGAGAATTTAAAATAAATCTTGGTAAAAAAGGAGATTTAACTGAATAAGAAAAACTCAAAAATGAAATTGCTTAAATTAAAGATCTTTTAAACAAAACTAAACGTGGATCTTAACCACAATTAGATAATAGTCCAAGTAAAGGACCTTAATTAAGTCCAGATTTTTTAAATACTTTTAAAGAATTATAAGATTAAGTTGCTTAAAATGAATAGTAATTATTTTAATTATATTATTATTAGAGAATTAATTAATCATAAATCTCAATTTTCATAAAATGCTTAATAAGTTTAATAAAAGATTGCTGAATTAGAAAATAAGATGAAATAAACTAAAACTGATTCAATCATTTCTGGTTTATAGGAATTAAGAGAAATATAAGATTAAATGAAAAAAGATTAAGATACAAATAAAGCTAAAATAGCTTAATTTGGAAAGAAAATTGATGGAGTGGTTACAAGAGAAGATCTCTTGGCATTATTTGAACCTAAATTAAAATAGGTTCGAGATGAATTATCTAAATAAATTGAAGAATTAAGAATTAAATTAGAAAAGAAGGCTGAACTTGAAGATTTAGAAAAACTTTAAAATGATCTTGTCTCTAGATTAGAAGAAGTTGTTTAAGCTCTCATTAAATAATTAGCTAATAAATCTGAAACTAAGAAAGCTTTGATATATCTAGAATAAAGAGTATTTTTATAATTTATAAATTAAAATAGATTAATTAAATATTTATGATGTTAGAAGGAGAAGGAGGATCTAAAGATTAGGAAGGTTTATTTGCTAAGAAATAACTTTGGTCTTGTGCTTCATGTGATAAAGAATTAGATAAATTTAAAGGATAATTAGGAGATTATAGAGGATGGGCACATTTCCCACCTAAAGAGACATCTCCTGAAAGAATGGGAAGAGTATATATATTTAAAATAATATTTTAGTTTGGTGTTGGATACAAATAAATGCAAGAAAAATCAAAAAATAATAGAGATAAAATAGATAAAGAAAGATATCCAAATGATAAAGATAGACCCAATAGTCAAGCCAATTAATAATTCTATCAAACAGGTTCATAAATGAGTTAAAGCTAAAACAATCTTCCAAAGATTAATAAATGACATTATATATATTTAATGAATAATTAGTAATAAATTATAGCTGTCTTAACCTAAATCAAAGAATTCTAACAAAAAATTAAAGTTAAGACATCTAAATATCTTAAACAACTTGATATATTCAAATTGTAATTAAATCCTAAAGAAATTCGATTATATTTAATAGGTAATGAATAATTACCATTTGGATTATTATATTGTATAGGAAATAAATCTAAAGTTTTTGATGGTAGTTTAAGGAAATCTGCATATAGTGCTGAATTATTTTTGAATATTTTAGAAAAACATCCATAAAGAATTGAATTCATTAAAGTATTTGCAGATCTTGAAGATGAGGAATACAAATTGCTTTAATTATCTACTCATGTATTAACTGATAAAAAATTATAAGATAAAGGACTTATTGCTTTTAAGATTTTTAAGTACTTAAAAGATGAAAGACCTCATTTTAATCTTGACTGTATTCTTGAAATTAAAAAACTCAAGGAATAATTCGAAAAATTGGTATAAGAGTGTGAGAGTCTAATAGATTTAAGAGTAAATCCAATAAACTACATGGAAAGAATCTGATTAAGCACCTCCAGAGAATCTGAACTTATAAAGAGAGTAAAATAAAAGATAAAAGAAATTAGAACATATTACTTTATAATGGGATGGAAATCCAGAATATTTAATTAAAACTTTTTATAATCCTTTTATTCCTCAATAGAGAACTACTAAATCTAATAAAAATAGAGGTGCAGCATTAAAAAAAAAGTAAATAGCTGAAAGTTTAAATGCAGTTGTTGATGTAGAATCAGTTGAATAAATTAAAAATTTGGATAAAGTTATTGTTAAAATTCATCTTGATTCTCCATAATTTGATGCTTAAACATTCTTAAAAATAATATAATCATAAATTACAAAATAATCTATGACTATGCTCTAATAATAAAATATTGAAATGAATAAGAATATTGTATACTATTTTATTGATGATTTCTTTTGTATTAATTAAGGCATTTTATAAATTCATAATGAATTCATTTCTAAAGAATTTAAGGATCAAATAAAGAGAAAAAAGTCATTAGCATAAAATGATAAGTCAAATTAACCTATATAAGTTGATCAAATCTTAGTTTTTGGATCTTTATCTAAAAGAACATTTTAATTATTGTCTAAATTAAATTAAATTTCATAATCAATGAATTAATTAAGAATGAGTTAAATAAAATTTAAAATCAGTAATTGATTTCATTAGGAAATGTGAATAATATGTTTAATTGCCAAATTAATTGAAAGAAACTTATCTATAAAGAAATAATGCTTAAGTGATGAAACTTATTTCTTTATAAAAGGAGAATATGAATTAATATAAAAATATATCATTGTTTAAATAGTTGAATGAATAGATAAATTAATTAATGAAATAGATATACAATGATATGCTTTAATAGATAAAATAAGATAATTTGGAGTACAATTAAATTTTAGAAATAGCAGAATACATAAATGAATTAAATTTAACTTAGAATAGTACTTAAGATATTGTTAATAATCTTTAGCAATCTATAATGATAAGTTTTATGACTTATTTTAATAAAACTTTGCTATAGAGGGATAATGAAGCTTATTAAGTTGAAATGATTAGAGGTGATTTTATTATTGAATTTCTTTAATAATGTTCATTACCTTAAAAGGAATTGTAATTATAGAATTGCAAAGCTTTAGAAAATTTTGTAAGTGGTAAATTTAGCAAATAAGTTAAATAGTTTTTAAATTTATGTAGAGATCTTAATTTCAATCCAAATATATAAAAATTGAAAGAAGAAATTAAAATTCTTTAATTTTTGGAATCAGCTTAAAAATCATGGTTTAGTTATAAATCTGGATATAGAATCAATTAAAAATATGTTTTAATTTATAGCTAATCTATTTGGAGATACTCCGAAGATAGATAATTCTATTAATGATATAGAAGTTTAGTCTTTATCTATGTTATATTCAAATTACACATTAAAATAGATAAAAATTAATTTTTTTACTCCCTAAAGAGATTTTTTTGGAGTGAATTTTTCTGAATTCATGTTGTAATTATTTAATGAAATTCTTAAGTAAAAAATTTATATTATTGAAATAGAATATCTAAGAATAAAAATATAGATGGAATTCTGTTTTTATAATTAATACAAGATAGTCTTAATTATATTTAATAGAGTTGCAAAGAAGCATAAGATTATTTGATATTTTTACATAATATAAAATTGATTGCTAGTTAAATCAAAGACTTAGCTTAAAGTGTATATTAAAATTCAAAGAAATAAAAAAGTTTTTAAGAATTTGCTGAACCCATTTAATAATAAATTAATTGAATTTTGTTTTAATATTAATAACCATGTCTTTAGAATTATGTGAAATTACTTAATCTTGATTAACCATAAGGAATGGATATGATACCTAGACCATATGTTTTATAATGGTTAACAATACTAAATGAATAGGCTGTAATTTTGGCCTAAATAAATTTAGATTAATCAGTTACTGATTCAATTATGTCATTTATTGTTAGTTTATGTTTTAAGAATATTGAGGCAATATCCACACATCCAAAACGTACAAAGTTTCCCGATTAATTAAATCATGAGATAAATTTAATTAAAATAATGACAATGACATTTTAGGGATCTGTATCGTAGGAAGGGTTTTAGAGATTACAAAGAAAATTGGAAGAATTAAGTCAAAATACGTTGTCAGAAATCAGTGAATGGGCAAGAACTTAAAAATTTAAAATGTCATTTAATTTTAAAGCATTATATGGTTATTATTAACAATAATGATGAATTTTAATGGTTTTCATACTGAAAGAATATTCACTGGCCGTGGAGAACTTACAAAACCTGATACTCATCACTATGCAGATGATGAGTCACCCGAGAACTCATAGGTTGAAGGATTCGACATCATGTGGAAGAAACATTCTTTAAAGATTTTTTGTACAGCTACAAAATTTATGGTAAAATTGAAGACAGCAGTAGATCATTATAGATTAAGAAAGATTACACATAGGATATACTAAATAATTGGAGACAAAGCATCAGATTATTTTTATTATTAAGCTAAAGGATTAGTTAATTAAAAATGGACTTTCTAATCTTATATAAAGAGTTTATTAATCTATAATTTTTGGGTTGAGATGTAAATAGGAGTAATTAAACCAGATAGCAAAATTAAATTATTAGTCGATTGCATAATTCTAATATTAATTGTTATGAATATTTTTTATATTCCAATGTAACTCTCCTTTTCATTATAAAATAATGCTTAAACTGTTGATTTTTTATTTAGTACAATTCCAAGTTGGGTATTTTTGATGGAAATAATTATTAATTTTAATACAGCATATTATTATAAAGGTATGATCCATGAAGATAGAACAAAGATATTTCAACATTATATAAAAGGAGATTTTTTTAAGGATTTATTAGTAGTTATACCATTCCTTATATCTCAATATAATATCCCTTATCTTAATTTTGTATTGTTATTGAGAATTACTAGAGTCAATAAAATATTTGAATAAATAGAAGAAGTAACTATGATAAGAGAAAAGTTTGCAGCACCAATTGATGTATTAAAATTAATGATATTTTTGATATTTGTGGCACATGTTAGTGGTTGTGCTTGGCATTATATAGGTATCTAAGAATTCTTTGAAAGTAATACTGGTTGGCTTATTAAATATGGTTATTCTGAAAAAGATTGGGTATCTAGATATGTTGTATCTCTATATTTTGGTACAGTGACATCATTTACTGTTGGTTTTGGTGATATTGTACCATAAACATTAGTAGAATAAGTTTTCTTAATAATTATGGTTTTGATAACATCACTTGTTTTTGGTTATACAATATCATCTATATAAAATATATTTGGATAATTAAGAGAGAAAACTGATTAACATCGTAATAAGATGGCTAAGATAAATTCATATATGAAGAAAAATAGAATAAATCCAGTTCTTCAAATGAAAATTAGAAAATATTTTGAATATTTTTTTACTCTTGATGAAAGTCCAGAATTACTTATGGACAATTTAAATGAAGATCTTAAATTAGAATTACGTACTAGTATTTACAAACCAATTATAACTAAATGTAAACTCTTTAAGAAATTTGATGAAAATCTTTTAAATTAATTATGTAGTGTTGTTTAAATACAAAAATTTATTCCAGGTTAAATGATATTTTAAGAGAATGATTAAATTAATAAAGCATATTTTATTATCTAAGGGGAAGTAGATATATAAATTAATAAAGTCTCTATCTAATAATAATCTGAAGGATCTTTAGGAATAAGAGAATTTTTACTCTAGAAACATATACATTATTCTTTAAAAGCTACTCAATTTACTGAAATAGCTTATATATTATATGATGTATTATTATATATATAATAAATCATTAGGATTTCAAAAATATAATTAGAGAAAAGTAATCTCATTAAGAATAATATTGTTAAATGAAGGATTAATTACTTTATTAAATAGAACAATTAAAATGTGAAATTTGTTCTTAATTTCATCATTTTAAAAAATGCCCAGTTGTATTTTATAGTCCTTCTACTGATGTAATAGTTTGTGATTATAGTGATGCCATAATTTAACCTAGATATAGTCACAAAAGAAAATAAAAAATAAAATAATCAACTTTAGTTTCAACATAATATAATCTAGCTGCTGCTGTTAATTATATGTGTGATAATGAATTATTAAATGAAGGTATTAATGATACAATACTTAAAAAATTTGGTTATGTTGATTACTAAGAAAAATAATAAACAATTGAGGATGTAAAATTAAAATCTTTGAAAGTAATCTAAAAATTATAAGAACATCATGCTCATACACCAAAAATGAAACGAATGATCTATAAAAATCTTATGAAAAAAGATGAACATAAATTAATATTAAATAAAGAAGAATCTATATTAGAGAATATGCATTAAGAATTTATTAATTTTAAAAGAGAAGATTTGAATAACTTTGATTTACATATGGAATTCTCTCATTATCATTAAGATAAGAATTTAAGTAAAGTCTTATTTAATTTCTCTAAATAATAGAGATTTAAACCAAAAGAATAATTTTTTAGTAAAACAAGATTAGGTAAAACAAAACAATTAAGTTCTCATAATTCAACTTAAAATAATTTAATGACTAATAATCATTCAATTATGAAAACTATTTTTAATAAAAAATGAATATTTCATATAATCTTACTAATATTTAATATTTATTCATTTTTTTATACTCTTATTTATAAATTCTATTTTATATCAATTAATCATAATGGTTTTCTTAATGATTTGCTTTTATAATCTTGTAAATTGAAATTTTCTTAAACGGGAATTAAAATCTAAAAAATATTTTCTAAAAAGCATATTTAGTAGTATTAAATTTTTGGTCATTTAAAGATATTTAAATTGAAAAATTAAAATATATAAAATATTTAAGATACAATAGAATTATATAAAATTTAAAATTAAATTTAAATAATCCTTAATCTATCACTTTTTTCAATCATAAGTATTATAATGATGATTGTGCTGCTGTCATTTTCCTAGTAGGATGGAGTAAAGATGAGTAAGTAGGAGTTAAGAGAATATAAACTTTAGAGAGGTTAGGTTGAATTCAAGAAAATATTCTATTTATGATAATTATGAGACTCCTTAAATGAAGATACAGATATAAATTAAATAAATGAAATAGATAATTCTTTAACAGATCTAGGATATATTTGAAATGGTATCAAAATAATATTTTGGATTAAATAGGCAATTCATTAATTGATATATCATTCTTAAGTTGATTTTGGTACTTTATATGAAGCACTTTTTTTAAATAATCCTATTTTTGGAGCTTAGCTATTTAATTTTTAGATTGCATCATCTAAATGTGCTGATTCCTCATTTACATAATCATCATCCTTGCTCATTTACTTTTATTAATAAGAATTCTTTAAGGCAAATTTATGTAAATCTTGTTAATCTTTTTTTTTATTTATTGGAGAAGCCATATTAGTAGTATTTGTATCTTATTACACAGTTTTCATAGTTGAACAAAACTGACTGAATTTAGATTATTATTATTATTATTATTATGGTTTCTCTAAACGACTTGTAGATCCTTAACCTGAACAAACAGATAAAGATCCAATTGTATCAGTTCTACCATTTAAAATTGGAGTTCGAACTACTAATTCCATTGAACCTACTTAACTATCAAAACTTCCTTTCTTTTATAATCTATGTTAATGTTCTATTTCATATTCAATTAGATTTTCATGAATTTCAACTAAATCATTTTTATTAAAGATTTCTTCAAAATAAGGATGTTATAAACAAGTTTCAGCACTAGGTCTATCTTTTGGATTTTATTATAACATTTTTCTGAGTAATTCTTATAATTTAGGAGATGCCTATATATAAATAGAAAATACCTATTGAATTTATTTAATGTTATAATTGATTTCACAATTTTTATTTGCTCTCAATATTGCCTTATAATCAGCTCCTTAAAATGGTTGTTTGCCAGTCAATAAGACATAAAATATTACACCAGCACTAAATATATCACATTTTTCATCATAAAATGGATCATCCTCTTTATACATTAATATCTCAGGTGCAACAAAACCAGGAGTGCCACATCTTTTAAAAAGTATTTCCTCTCCTAAAAATGCTGCAAGTCCAAAATCTGCTATTACTACATCTACACTATTATCTTTTGATTTAAGCAATAGATTTTCTGGTTTCAAATCTCTATGTATGCATCTCTTACTATGTATATGTACCAAAGCTTTTATAAAGTTATACATTAGTTTTTATAGTGTATCTAATGAAAATGGATTAGTTTTGGCTCTAGCTAATAGTTCCCCTCCTTATAACAAATCAATTACAAAGTATATTGAATTTTGTGTCTCATAAGCTTCATGTAAATGCACTAGATTTTCTTAATTCAATCTTCTCATCACACGTATTTCATTCTCTAAACTTTCTTTCCCTTTGAATTATTCTAACATAAATTCTTTGTTAAATGCCTTTATTGCATACTGAACACCAGTTTATTTCTTAGCTGCTAAATAAACTTTAGCAAAACTTCCTTTGCCTATCATTTTGGTAACTCCAAATTCATCATGAAAGGTAGTTTATAGACATTTATATGCTAACAATTGTTTTAATAACATTGCATCTGCTGTAATAATATCAATATATTATCCATTTCTTAACAATCTTATCATCAATCCATTCTCATTTCTTTATATAGTCATCACTACAACAGTCAATAATAGCATGCCATGAGGATTCTTATTTTTAAATAAATACAAATGTTCTTGACCCAATTGAATTATTATCGGTTTTAACTTTGAAGTTTTTCTGCTAATTTTATGACAAGCAGATTCGAATATAATTGAATCTTTCTATCAATTTTCATAATTTATTTACTTCATATGTAGTAAGCTAAAACTTAGACCAAATATTTTTGATTTTATGAATAACTTCAAGATTATCAAAGAATGATGTAAACTCATTTAGCATCATTTTTCTTCAAAATTAATAATATTATTGAATTATAAATCAGTATCATTTTAATAACACTCTATTTTTTATATCACCATTAATAAATATTGAGTCTCAAATAATAAACTTATTAAATTTCTTTATAAATTATTAATACTGTATACTTTTGTCTTAAGTATAATTTAAATGAACTATTTCTCAATTAATAGATTACACATCTTGATTCAGTATTATAAATTAATTAATTCTCAGATAGAGGTTAATTTTGAAATTTATTTATTTATTAGACAAAATTAAACTTCTAAGCAAAAATCATTGTTTTCTTTCCTAAATTTCTATCTTTCATATTTTTTCAATGAAATTTTATTAAAATTTTGAATTACTTAACAAAAATATTAACATTTATTTAGTATTTCATAAAATATAAATTATATAATAAAATTAAATTATATATATATTTTTGAAGATTCACTTATTCTTAAATAAAATTGGTTTATGATAATAATAGAGAATAATTTATTATAATAATTTGATTATTCTATTAGCTATTGAATTTTATGTATTTTTTGGTTAAATTTTAATAAGTAAAATAATAAAATTCCTTTCATTTTATTGATATTTATTATATAATATAGTTAAACAAAAGAATTATAATCATAAATCATATTCACCAAAAATGGTTCCTTTCATAATTTCAATCATGTGATATTCCCAATCTTAATAAAATGGATAATTATAAATATTTTAGGATCCAATTAACATATCTAAGAAAGAAAATTCTAAATTGTTGATCTTGCTTTATTATTATTATTCATCATTTTATTCAATTTAACTATCCATTTATTAAATTTCATCTTCTTCTTCATCCTCTTAATTATTATCATCCTATTCTGAGATTGAATTAACCTTCTTTTATTTTTAATAGCCATCTTTACTCTCTAACATTGTATTTCTTCTTTTACTAGTTGATCCTAAATTACTAATAGTTCTTTTAAAGGTAGGCTTTTCAATCTATGAATTAGTATCCTCTTTTAAGATTTATGTAGATTCATATATATCATTTTATTAAATAGATTAAGTTGAATTACTTTAAGGAATTTATCTTTATTTTATTTTTGGTTGAGTTTATACTTAATAAGTAATCTAATTTTAATTTACTATAGAATTGTTTTACTAAATAGAAAACTCAACAAGAATAGTTTCTTAAGATATTTAAGGGTTGTTTTTATTTTTTTATTTTTTTTGCATATTTGGCTTATTTTATTGATCATTCTCTAAATCACTTATTGATTGATCAATATCATATTATTTAGAAGTAAGAGGAGTAAATACACTTGGCTCTCTTGGTTCATGACTAGACTATTAGTCTTGTTACTAATTAGAAAATTACGGATGTTAAACAGTTTAAGATTACTAAGGAGTATCTTCAATTATTTCTTATGCTATTTCAGAAGGCGATTATTATTATTCTGGTTGAAGTATATTAGGTTTTTGTGGTTGATACTTTATTATTTTATTTGGCTTTTTTGGTTTTAGCAAAGTCTAGATGATTTCCATATGATTTAAGAGTTTCAAGACATGCTTATCTAATTTATTACTTTAAACATAATAGTCATTGAAATCTTAGTATAAACAATCATATTCATCTTTTAATTTTACAAGTGTTACATGAAAAATGTCCTAATTAAGTGGCTCTTAATAGAATTGTTAAGAGGAAAAGAGTAATTTAACTTTACCCATTAATTGTCTTACTTTCTCTTAAAATTGTTAATCTTTACGATCCTTATTGAATTGATCAAACCGAATAGGAGCACCAGGATCTGTAAATATATGTAAACGAGGATCTCTTGAATTTATTCCTTCATCTTTGGAAGGTTACATCAATTACTTAAGTTTACTTCTATAGCGTCTAAAAGTATTGACAACAGAAGTGCTTTAATTATTTTGTTAGATCTAAGTAATTAATTCTGCTCCATTGCAATAATCAGCTGTCTTAAGTTTTTCATGACTATTATAAATAATTATGGTCATTCCTCTAACTCTTTTTTTAATTGGAACTGGATCATAATTCCTTAGTGGACTACTCTAGTATTTAATCATTGATGAACTTGATAGATTATTATCACCATAACTGAGACATTAATAAGAGTCTTTTGGTTATAATTTCAATGATGGCAATCTAAATGATGTAGCTTAAATTCTCATGGTATTAAAATTAACTATACTATATATCTAAAATAAAATAAATTTACAAATATGAATTAATTTATAATATATTTAAATCCAATCCATTATGATTAAATGCAAAAGATGAAAGTCATTTATATTGATTAATTTATTTATCTCTTTGGAATCTTTCATATATTCTAATCAGAATTAATATTAAATTATAATTCTTAATTCTATGAATTTCTAATATATAAACTAATAACATTATTATTTAATCTATTAAATAAGCAATACAAGGTAATCTATAGATTTATATGATATTTGATATTCTGTAATGATATTAAAAATAAACATGAAATTTTTCAATCATACTCTTTTTCAAATTAATTAATTAACATAAATAAAAAGTTTATTCACCATAGATTTTATCTAATGTCTAGATCTTATAATCTGCAAATAAATCTATAAAAAAATTTAATTATACTAATTTAAAAATAAATTTAGCTTACAACTATTTGATAAATTGAATTTCTATTTGAAATAACTATCTTTTGTCAAAGAACTACTTTTTTTTTAAACAACTTGATTCAGTGTTGATGTGTATTTAAAATAACATTATAATATATATAATAATATCAATATATATAGATTTTAATTAATAATTAATAAGTAGTTCAACATATAATTTATTATTAATAAGCTTTCATTTAAATTAAGATTTAGGTAATAATTTTATTTTAATATATTAATTTAAAATATTTCAATGTTTAATAAATCTGTGTAATCAAATAGAAACCTATTATAACTTCATAGAATAATAATGAACAAATAATCATAGAAGGAGGAGATTGACTATGTTAGTAGAAAGAATTCATTAAAATATCCAATAAAAGAGTAAATAAACTTTCAAAAGAGCAATAACTACTTTAACGCAAGGAATTCAATGGATAGTCTAGAATAGGTTTTTAGAGTGGAAACTAATAAAAAGTTCAAAAGCCCAGTAGTTGTGCTACCAAATAGAAAGCTTTTTGTTTCTTACAAAAATAGTAGAAGAAATTATTAATCATCAAGTTAAGAACCTGGTCCATCAATACCAGGGGTTAAGAAAGCACATGATTAGGGATATCNCTATACTATATATCTAAAATAAAATAAATTTACAAATATGAATTAATTTATAATATATTTAAATCCAATCCATTATGATTAAATGCAAAAGATGAAAGTCATTTATATTGATTAATTTATTTATCTCTTTGGAATCTTTCATATATTCTAATCAGAATTAATATTAAATTATAATTCTTAATTCTATGAATTTCTAATATATAAACTAATAACATTATTATTTAATCTATTAAATAAGCAATACAAGGTAATCTATAGATTTATATGATATTTGATATTCTGTAATGATATTAAAAATAAACATGAAATTTTTCAATCATACTCTTTTTCAAATTAATTAATTAACATAAATAAAAAGTTTATTCACCATAGATTTTATCTAATGTCTAGATCTTATAATCTGCAAATAAATCTATAAAAAAATTTAATTATACTAATTTAAAAATAAATTTAGCTTACAACTATTTGATAAATTGAATTTCTATTTGAAATAACTATCTTTTGTCAAAGAACTACTTTTTTTTTAAACAACTTGATTCAGTGTTGATGTGTATTTAAAATAACATTATAATATATATAATAATATCAATATATATAGATTTTAATTAATAATTAATAAGTAGTTCAACATATAATTTATTATTAATAAGCTTTCATTTAAATTAAGATTTAGGTAATAATTTTATTTTAATATATTAATTTAAAATATTTCAATGTTTAATAAATCTGTGTAATCAAATAGAAACCTATTATAACTTCATAGAATAATAATGAACAAATAATCATAGAAGGAGGAGATTGACTATGTTAGTAGAAAGAATTCATTAAAATATCCAATAAAAGAGTAAATAAACTTTCAAAAGAGCAATAACTACTTTAACGCAAGGAATTCAATGGATAGTCTAGAATAGGTTTTTAGAGTGGAAACTAATAAAAAGTTCAAAAGCCCAGTAGTTGTGCTACCAAATAGAAAGCTTTTTGTTTCTTACAAAAATAGTAGAAGAAATTATTAATCATCAAGTTAAGAACCTGGTCCATCAATACCAGGGGTTAAGAAAGCACATGATTAGGGATATCGAATAATAGTGAATAGAGTTTCAAGAGTACCAACAATATAAATAGATCAAGAATTGACAAAGGAGGGATCAAAAATAATGTCTTCAAAAGACCCTATATCATTTACTGATTGGGTAGAAAGGATTTATGGTAAAGAATGGTTCTATTGAGACTCTGATAATAATAATTCTTATTAATTGTAGAATATATATTTAATTTAATTTTGAATGATGACGCAAAACAATTATATATTCAAAATTTTAAGAAAATAAACAATTAAAATTATTTAAGAAAAATTTATTTCATTAAAATTTTGAGTAATCAATTACATATGCTTTTCTTATAAAATTCACAAGTTTCTTAGGCTTATTTTATTAAATGATGATTGATTTATTCTTCTTTCATAGCATTTTTTAAAAATAAAACAAATAAATCAAATGTAGATTCTTTGATTTTAAGTGATTAATGAATAACCTTTAAATCATTTGATTTATATAAATGTTGATCTTTAAATATGAATGTCATAATCCTTTAGAGATGTTAACTCATTTAGTAATTGCCATTTTTAAAATATTCATTATAATTTTCATTATCTTGCATTTTAAATTAAACTTTAGTAAGTATTGATTCAACTTTTTATTTGCCAATATGCTTTTGTATTGAATATTATTGAGTAAGGTTACTTTTTAATTTAAACCATATATCCTCATAATCTTAAACAACAAGAGGATTTAAGTTGAGATTTTAAATTAAGAGAAAGAAATTATCTTTAAAGGATTCAATCCATTCAATAGATATATTATATTTAGAATGAATAGTCCATAGATCATTATTAGTAAGGGTAGGTAAATGTTAATGTGTGAGATATCTAAGAATGAATTATGCATGTCTATTAAATGCCTCTTAAGGAAATTGTTACATTCTATGATCTCTTCTAAGTAACTAAACATACTTTTTCTATTAGACTTAAAGTAATGTAGGTTAATCTCTGTAAAAGTCAAGTAAAGAATCTTAATTAATGATGTAACTTCTATACCCATCCATTCTAGAAGTAACAAGTTCTATTTATTTCTCTTAAATATGTAATTATCTCATGGATTCAATCATATGTTATTTAAATAATGTAAAATGTACATTATTTAAATGCATACTTTTATGAGATTATCTCATATCAACTAATACTTAATCAGAAGTCTAATCCCAACCCATCATTTAATGTAAAATTCTACCTAATTTTTTAGCTTATTCTTAAAGTGAAATTCCTATAAAGTAATGAGCCAAAGTATTATCTGCAAAGATCTTTTGATAACTACTTTCAGCCATACACAGAATTGTATCTGGAACTTCTTTTGTGCTTAATTTTTCAGTTTTTTGGTTATATATAATAGCAAATGGAGTATCACTATTAATTATACAGTATCTATATTATTCAATCATAGAACTAAATTCAAAGACATGCTCTGGTTAAGTTTTATTAACTTTTAAAAAGCATGTCTAATAGATAAGTGACAAAAATATACAATAAGATAATTTTTAAATTGATTGAAATCATTATTTTTAAGTCCTAAATTTTTATGTTTATCTTTAAGTTATTCAAGATTATAAAATACTGGTTTTCCCATAATATATTCTAAAAATATCTTAAAATGAGCTTTATATTATTCATGATCTTCAATGTCTTAAAAAAACAATAAAATTTAATATAATACTTTTAATCATGTCATGTTAACTTGAAAAATGATAAAACTCTTCATTTAATTAATCTACAACCTCATCTCCACCAATTTTATAATAAAATAAACTCATATCTTCATCTCTAACACTTCTTCCACTAAGATTAATAATTGAATTCTTTTAGATAGGTGTTAATTTAGTTTATGGAATTAATGATTTTCTTATTTCAAGAGAATAATGTCTAGGTGATTATACAGGATGAAAAAACTATTATTATTATGTAATTCCATTTGGTCTAAAAATGGGAGATTAATAATGATTGATTGGACATTTAGCTACATTCAAAACAAAACGTCTACTCATAATATCTGGAGAATGTAATTTAGGAAGATTAGGATGACTATTAAATTATGAATCTTTTCTTGGAGTTTATTTAATTTGATTGAATTATTGTTATGTTTCTGACAATTAATTTACATATTATGCAAATGATTATCTATCATTAAATCTACTTCCAGGTTTGTTTCCTGTTCTCTATATTAGATATCCCTTTTTAGTATTTTAACAATTAAGTGTAATATGTTAATGCATTAATAAATTATTAAATATATATTATCATATACAATCAGTGGAGTTTTTAAAAAGAGATTATTTCTATAATAAATACTTTAGATCATATTAAAATACCCTGATCATTTTTTTGATATAATAAACATTTTCAGATGGTTTAAAACACAAAGTATCACAAGTAGTTTATTCCTTAATTTCTTCTTATAATAAAAAGTTGGATGCAACTCTATTTGTACTTTTTTAATTAAATAAATATTGACATGATTGAGTTTAATCTTTCTTTTTAAACTTCTTAAAAGTTTAATCTTATTAATCTTATACTTCTTTTTAATAAATAGGTCCCAAAGGAATAGATTATTTATTTTAAAATTGATGTAGTATTAACATAGCATGTTTAAAATCTATAACCTTATTAGTTGGTCTATGAATTTTACCAAAACTATGTCCTTTTTTATATTCCATAGGTATTTTCTTAACTAATATTTTAAGATCCTTCCTCTTATTTTCAGTTTCCCATTTATTAAGATTTCCATTCTATAACAATACATCTAAATCATATTCATCTTCAGAATAAGAATTTTGATCTATAAATCCTTCTTTTGTTTTAGCATCTAATAAATATGCTGCTTCACCAACATTTCTCATACCTTTACCTGGTTCTTCATATTCCCCTTATGCAAATTTCTCATGATAATAAATAGCTTTATTCATATCTTATTTGTAATAATAACATAATGATATTTTATCATAAGTAAATATTTCATAATTAGTATCATTAACTATCCATGATAATTTTAGCATTTTCTTAAGATAAATTAAACTTTTATCATATTATTAAAGTTTTATACAAATCTTAGATATATGTTTATAAGCTATTAATTTATATTTATGACAATGATTTCCTTGCATATTACATATTCTCAATACCTTTTTCCAATTTGAATATGCTAATTTCTCTTTACCATATATCTCCAATATCATATTATGAATATAATAACCAACTAAAAACATATTTAAACATCCTATTTTCCATAATAATCTAATGATTCTCTCTCCAATAGGTGAAATTTAATTCACTTCCTCAACAACCATTTTCTCATTCATAATCTATAATAGTTTTTATATCTTCTCTATAAATTCTACAAATTTTGGATTCTCAAACACTATCTATTATAATTTAGTTGCATCTCTACCACCAAAAAATGTTTATTTATATTTGTCTGGATTAAATTTCTAATAATTAGCTTCTCCTGGTTAATATAATTTTTATAATTATTGCATTTGTAATTTTCTATGTTAATCTTTATACTCTTGCATTCCACTGTCTGCCTAATACATTATTTACATATGCATATTTTATGAATTCAATTCTTCAACTACATCATTCTTTGTTAAAATATCTCTCCCTTTTATATGCTTTATATATAATGGATCTCTCAAAAACAAATAATCATCAAATCCTTGCCAACGAAGTAAGGATCTCCAATATTACTTAACTATAAACTTTTCTTATTATTCAGTTAAATATGGACTTGCCTCCTATTAAAGGGAATGTTTTGGATTTGTGAATAAATTGCCTTTCACATTTGCAAATAGATTTCCCATACTTTAACTAGCTGATTCAGGTTTTTAAAGTCTTTATTAAATTCGAGATCCAATAGGTCTTCCTGATTCTCTAGTTGCTACAGTTCTTTTAGTTATAAATTTGTTTTGATTATTTAAGTCATGTTTTTGTTAAAGGAAATCTTCGTAGTCCTTATTAAGGAGGTTACGTAAACCTTTCATATTTTATAAAACAATTTATTTAATATAAGTATATTATTATATTTTTAATAGTGAGTGGTTCTAATTTTATTATTATATTTATTAAGTTATATTCTTTTCTTTATAAAATTATATTTATATTGAAATATTAATTATAATTTATAAATTTATATTAAAAATATTTTAATAGAATAATTAATAGAAATTTGGTTATTTTAGAATGACCCTTTATGAGGAACTCTAATTAAATTAAAATGAAAAAAGCAGTATTATTAACAGGTTAAATTGGAACTGGTAGAACAACTCTGTTTAATAAAATCACTAATTCCTAATAAAAATCATAGAGTGGAGGATAAGCTGTAACCCGTGATACCTATGTTAAAAATTCATAATATGGAGAAGGATTTACATTAATTGATACACTAGGATTTGGAAGTTCGAATAATATTGATACAATTTCAGGACATTTAAAGATATTTGAAAATATTGAGATCTCTAGAATAATGATAGTTGTTAGTTATGCTCGTTATAATTGTATAGTTGAATCTTGCAAAGGGATAATAGAAATGTTTTAAAGATATAAAGATAAAATTACTATAGTGATTACTTTTTTTGATAAATGTGATGAAAAGTATGAACCAAACTTCAAAAATGATATTGCCAAATATTTTGAGAAATTCTAGATAAAGTCATTTATTATTACTTCTAAGTAAGATACTGGAGAAACACTTTGTAAATTATTTGATTCTGAGATTAAGTATTCTTAAGCATCAAAAATTAAACTTACAGAAATTGAAATAATTAGTTTATTATAATGCGATAATGATGAAACCTAATTAGAATTTTAAGAATGCTCATCTTATTTATCTAGGTTATTCGGTAAAGCCTAACAGTAATTAAGATTACTGAATGGAGTAGATTTTTAACAGAATTATTAAAGCATAATAAAGTATGTCTTGTAATAAAGTTTTACTTAATTTGATAAATTTTTAGAATATAATTAAGATGAAAAACTAGGTTTCATAGTTTTTTCTCAATTTTTAAATGGAGAACTTAATTATTTTCTAGAAATTGTTCATTAGAAAATGGGTATGACATAATAATGTGAATAACATAAGATTGGTATACATATATATTTAAATATTAGAATTGAAGAATCTTTTTGAAGATTAAATTAGACCTTAGAGTTAAAAAATTCTTTAGAATATTTATGAAAATGTGAAAAATTAAAAGATCAATTATTTATGATGATGCATGATTAATTTATTTTCATTTTTATTTCATATATAAATTTCATAAGAAATTATTATTTATGATTAGGGTATTCCTAAGAGATAATACAGAGAGTTGTCTAGATCTTATAGACAAGGGTGATAATCTTGATGAGATAGATAAAAAGAGTGGGAAGTCTTTATTAAAAATTGCATTATAATAATTTATAATTAGTCAAAGCATTATTAGCTAAGAAGGTTGATGTTAATTTTTTGAAAAAGATTGATAAAAGCACTCCTTTGTCGACATTAATTTAATTGAATTTTATAGAAGGAGCATAAGCATTATTATAGACTCATTAAGTTGATTTAGAAGTGGAGATCGAAGGTAGATCTTATTTAGAACATGCAGTTGTTATTGGAACAGTTTAAATAATATAATTATTGATGAGTAATTAGTGATATCAATTTAAAATATAAGGGATCTACCAAACGAAACTTATTACATTTGGCAATAAATGCAGAATAAGATGAAAACACATAATTTTTAATTTAAAATGAAATTTGATTAATAAATTAAGATGAAGATTAAGAGAATATTTTACATTTATTATTAATTTGAATAATTTTTTTTGTTTAATAAAATAATATCTTTTAAGTAAATAATCATATGAATCTACAATTTTAGTATATAATGGTATTGTAGAATTGCTTAATGCAATAATTAAAAGACCTATAAATAAGCCATTATAGATTGATATATGGAATTAGTAAAATAAAGAAGAAAATACATCATTACATATTGCTGCTATTAATGATAAGTAATTATTTCTGAATGTATTACTTTCAAATAAGGATAATGTTAATTTAGATGTAAATAAATTAAATAGAGCTGGATTAAATTATTAATAGATAATTGAAGATAGAAAAAAGAAAGTTGAATTAGAATAATAGGAGTAATAAGTTAGAAAAAGATTAATAGCAGAAGATAGTGTAAATATTAAATTAATTAAATAGAAAGAATGATAATAATAAAGGGCTAAAGAAGTAAAAATTAGATAATAGAAGAAAAAGAATAAAAGTAAAGATAAAAAGAAGCAGAAGCTAATAAAGAGATATTATAGAAGAAGGAAGATACAAAAATAGGTTTTTGATGTTGGACATCTTTGCAATTGTTATTTTAGGATTTTATATAGTGTTGTAATTTAGTATAAAGAAGAAATGAGTATCAAGATAGGAATTTAGTTTATTTGAAGAAGTTATGATTGTTGATTTCTATTTCAATTTTGTTTTTTATTGAAGATGAGACATCTTCTTGTTCTCCAAAATCTACACTAATTTATAATGCTTTAATAAATATATATAAATTTACCTTAATTGGTATTATATTTTTTACTGAATTCTTTACTGTATACATTATGTAATTCTTTTTAACTTGTTTTGGCATGACTTAATTTCTTTTCTAGAAAATCAAGTATTTTACCAGATCTGTATCTACCAGGACTAGGACTTAAACTAGATTTCTTAATTAATTTTTATTAATACTAATTTTAACATGGCTGGACTTATATCTTCATTAATAGAAACATTAAGAGATCCTTTATCTTCAATTTCCTATTAATCTGGTGTTGGATTCTTTAATTATTCTTCTTTTTTATTTATAATTTCAAGACATTTTTCTTCTTAATATTGAATAATTTTAAATTCATCTTAAGGTGTTTTTATTTATTATTTAATTTTAATGTTACAAGATATTTTCCATGATAGCAATATTAGTAATAATAAAAGAATTATGTTAACAAATAAAATAGTTATTATGATTGTTAAAAAAGCTGTGTATAATTGCATAGACTTCTCAATTATCATTGCTGTATAACCTTAGATAATCATTTAAGCAATAATTTTAGTTAAGAATACGCCCACTATATTTTTAAGGAGTCTTAAATGTAAAAGGCTGTTACTTAATTTATTCTTTATCTAAACACATTTCTAAGAGTTCGACATGAAGTACTATTGTTTCACAATGATGGCAAATTTAACAAAAGATTAATTATTTACAAGTTTTGCATTCTTATTAGAAGATCAACAATCCTATTATTTAACTTTAATTACTTTTAAAATTATTGGACAATCTCAATAAAATTATAACAATAAGACATTAAAATATCATTATACCAATAAACTAATAAATAAATATATTGCAATACTTCATAAAATAAGATTATGGATAGGCAAATACATTAAAACAGAAGAATCATACATTCTCCATATATAATATAGACAATTAAACGATAGATAATTCTCTACATTTATCTATATTCTTTTTATTTTGTAAATGAACTTTTCCATATTTAAGTACTTTTCTTTTTCATATATATTAATATAATATTTAATAAATGAGTTTAGTAAGAAATTCTTGTTAGTTTGTGAGTGATAATTCAAAACATGTTAAAATTAATAAGGAGGAATTACAAAAATAAGTCAATGAATGGTACATTAATAATAAACATAAATACAAAGAATTTGATGAATATGAATGTCATCTAGGTGGTGATGAGGAATAAATAGTTGATTTTTTATTTATATTGGATTCATTAAACTTTTGTTTTTGGCCATAAAAAGATTATGAATACGAAAACTTATCATCTGCAATAAAAGAATGTTTTTAAAAATGTCCTTAATAATTTAAAGCAGAATCTATATTGAAAATGACATTTGAAGAATTTCAATAATTATTATTCCCTAATTTTCCTAATTTCCCATTAATCACAGAGAGATTTAGATTATTATAACATGCTTCAGAAGTATTGGTGACATTTTTTGAAGGGGAATTTGTTAATGTAATTAAAGCTGCTAAAAATTCTGCAGCTAAATTACTTAATATATTAACAACCTAATTTCTTGGATTTTAGGATCATGCAATATATTAAGGTAGATAAACTTTTTTTTATAAAAGATCATAAATCTTAATAGGAGATATTTATGCTGCATTAAAAGGGTAAGGATTAGGTAAATTTAATGATATTGAAATTTTAACAATGTTTCCAGATTATAGAGTACCATAAATCTTAAATTAATTAAATGTTTTACAATATGATGAAGAACTATAAAATATGATTAAAAATGAAATTGAAATAACTCATGGATCAGAATATGAAATTGAAATTAGAGCTAATAGTGTAATAGCAGTAGAATTAATAAAGGAGGAATTTAAGAAATTAGGATAAAAATTAAATAGTATAGAAGTGGATTGGATGTTATGGTAAATGGGTGAAGAATTAAGATTTGACATAGTACCACATCATAGAACCTTGTCTATATATTATTGATTTTATAAAGCAAGTGTATAATAAATATATATATATATAGTAATAAGCAAGAAAATAATAAATTAAATCATGCATCCTCTAACCATTTAAGTCTTTTACCATCCTCCCAAATTCCTATCTTGATTGTTCCATCATTTAAATAGTATTTAGAAGTACCATGTTATTTACCATTTTTCCATCCTCCTTCATATTTTCTACCATCTGCCCAATAATATGTACCTTAACCATGTTTTTTATCATTCAAATATTAACCATCATATTTTCTACCATCCTTCCATTAATATACTCCTACTCCATTCATATTATTATCTAACCATTGTCCAGTATAACCTCTTCCATCAGCCCATTTATATGTGCCAAAACCATTAATTTTATTATCTCTCCATTCTCCATCATAATAAGATCCATCTGCCCAATCATATCTCCCTTTACCATGCTTCTTTCCATTAACGTAATCGCCACAATATTTTGATTTATCTTACCCTTATATAAAATACAATTATTATACAAGTCTCTGTTCCCTTTCCATGTTACAAATCATCCTTCCATTCTCCTTCATACCTAGCTCCATTAAAATGACTATAGATTCCCCAACCATTAGCTTTATCATCTTTCCATTCTCCTTCAAAAAGATCTCCATCTGCATGAAAAAACTTTCCCTATCCACATGCTTTATTTTCAACCCATTATCCCTCATATCTTGCTCCATCTGTCCATTTTTGAATACCAAATCCATCTCTTTTTTTATCTTTCCATTCTCCTTCATATATTGCTCCAGAATGGAATCTAAATATTATATGATCTCATACTTATAAGGTGGACTCTTCACTCTATTAGGATCAGGGGGAGGTTATGCATTAGCAGTCTCTTCTTGAAAGTATTACTACTTTAAATGTGCTCCAGCTTTTTCAACTCTAATTTCTTTTGATTTTCTATGCTTTTTCCAATTCCTTTGTATTTTAATTGCTGCTTCTCCTTATGTAATTTTCTTGTTTTTTTGTTAACATTTTTCAATTTATTTTTCTTCATTATTGGGTCTATGTTCCTATTTATCAGGCTTCTCTTATTTTTCTACTTTTTTCTTAGGTTTCTTTTTAACATTAATCTCTTAAATGCATTCATTGGAACGATGTTAACACTAACATCCATTACAAGTTTGACCCATTAATAATAAAATATTAATATGAATAATCGTGATATTCTGTTATAAGCACGTGAAGGGTATGAATTTATCATTATAATTTAGTCGAAAATAATCTGAATAGTAATTGGGTCTGTTGATGAATAGAATCAATCTCATTTAATAGAATCAACTCAAAGTCATTAGAAGAATTAAATAACAATAGAAGTCTGTTGAAATGAAATAATTAATACAGTCTGAACATGATTCATTTAATTAGAGTGTTATATACACATTATTATGATAGAGAAATATTATAAATAAGCAAAAACTATAGAAAATACATGAGATTCAACTTATGGCCAAGACAAAAAAACATTAAAGCGAAGAGGGACGTAAAAAAACATAAGAACAATTAAAATAAATTAAATAATAAGAAACTGAAAAATTGAAAATTAAATAGCTTGAATTAGAAAGGTAAATACAATAATAAAGAGAATCTTAACTAATTAAAAATATTGTCAGATACAATAAACTCAAATAAGAAAGAGCAAAATCCTAAATAAAAATGAGGATCAGATAAAAGTCAAGTGAAGAACTCAGAAAATAAGAGTACTCTTAATTATTAGAGGTTGAATGTTAAAAAAGAATATAAACAGAATAATCTATTCGTAAATTAGAATAGAAGGAATAATTATTGATCTAAGAACTTTAAACATCTTAATAGTTGAGTTCAACATACTCTCGATAATTGGTATCATATTTAGTTGATTATAGGATCCAAGAATCATAAACAAAATTAGAGCAAAATCGTACTATCTATCATGAACAATATATTTTTATACATTTTTTGTTAATTAATTATGTTATTTTTAAAGTAATACAATATTTTCATAATAATTGTAATACTTACATTTATGAAAGTAAATAATTTTAGTAAATATAAATAGGAATTATAATTAATTTAAATTCTAATTTTAACTAAATTTATGTAAACAAAAAATCTAATGATTGATGCATTAAATTTAACATAAATGTAGGTTATATTCTGGAATAATGATAAGTTATTAAAAGACACAAATATTAATATCTTTTAAATTTCAATAGGTAATTAAAGCACAAAGGAGATTATATTATATAAGAAAATTATACTTTAAAATGAATGACTTAATTTTTATAACAAATTACTACAGTAATGTATTTCGTTAATTTGATATGTTGTAAACTTGTTATATATATTAAAAATTGAATGAATAATATTATAATCTTATTATAAAATATGACGTATATACAATCATGGATATAGATTTGAATTGCTATTAATTGCCATTTCTATTCAACTGTATTGTTTCCTTATATTGCATATTTTTCATAATAAATTTAACAATAAAATAAAGAAATTTGTTTCTACTTTTTATTGGTAATGAATTAATGAGTTATTTATATCATATTTCTATAAGCGATATTAAATTAACTGAGAAATGTAATTTAAGGATTGTTTTATAATTTCAATATAATAATGTTATTCTAAATATCTATAATTCTGATATTCATTTGAAGTTATTTGTATTTTATAGATAATTTAGAAATCTATAAAAATAGTAAATAGTACTCATTTATAATCATTAATTGTTCAAATAAAAACATTAATATTTTTAACAGCTTGTTTTTATTTGTAGAATATACATAATTAAAAATAATGAGCTAAAAAATTCAAAAAAGCTAATTGCAAATTCTTTCAAAATCTAAGCAAATTAAAGTTAAAGAAGATTGTGATGAAGTAAATATTTTTAATTCTTACATCTCAATGCATACTGAAGAAAGAGATAATCATCATAAAGAATTTAAGGATAAAGAATACTAACAAAGAAAAGAGTCCGAAAGAAATTGTTAATCAGTCAAAAAAATAGAAATGTCTACACATCAATAAAGAAAAAGGTAATCATAATCTGCACATCAGACTTCTGCTGTAAAAGTTTAATTTCAAACTCCCTTATAAAAGAAAACACATCGTAAATTTTATAAAACACCATTTCCAAAATAATGAATATAATTGTATGACTTTGTCACAATATGTTAATCTCAAATAATTAATTAATTTTTTTTTATTTTCTATATTTTTAANTAAATTTATGTAAACAAAAAATCTAATGATTGATGCATTAAATTTAACATAAATGTAGGTTATATTCTGGAATAATGATAAGTTATTAAAAGACACAAATATTAATATCTTTTAAATTTCAATAGGTAATTAAAGCACAAAGGAGATTATATTATATAAGAAAATTATACTTTAAAATGAATGACTTAATTTTTATAACAAATTACTACAGTAATGTATTTCGTTAATTTGATATGTTGTAAACTTGTTATATATATTAAAAATTGAATGAATAATATTATAATCTTATTATAAAATATGACGTATATACAATCATGGATATAGATTTGAATTGCTATTAATTGCCATTTCTATTCAACTGTATTGTTTCCTTATATTGCATATTTTTCATAATAAATTTAACAATAAAATAAAGAAATTTGTTTCTACTTTTTATTGGTAATGAATTAATGAGTTATTTATATCATATTTCTATAAGCGATATTAAATTAACTGAGAAATGTAATTTAAGGATTGTTTTATAATTTCAATATAATAATGTTATTCTAAATATCTATAATTCTGATATTCATTTGAAGTTATTTGTATTTTATAGATAATTTAGAAATCTATAAAAATAGTAAATAGTACTCATTTATAATCATTAATTGTTCAAATAAAAACATTAATATTTTTAACAGCTTGTTTTTATTTGTAGAATATACATAATTAAAAATAATGAGCTAAAAAATTCAAAAAAGCTAATTGCAAATTCTTTCAAAATCTAAGCAAATTAAAGTTAAAGAAGATTGTGATGAAGTAAATATTTTTAATTCTTACATCTCAATGCATACTGAAGAAAGAGATAATCATCATAAAGAATTTAAGGATAAAGAATACTAACAAAGAAAAGAGTCCGAAAGAAATTGTTAATCAGTCAAAAAAATAGAAATGTCTACACATCAATAAAGAAAAAGGTAATCATAATCTGCACATCAGACTTCTGCTGTAAAAGTTTAATTTCAAACTCCCTTATAAAAGAAAACACATCGTAAATTTTATAAAACACCATTTCCAAAATAATGAATATAATTGTATGACTTTGTCACAATATGTTAATCTCAAATAATTAATTAATTTTTTTTTATTTTCTATATTTTTAAGACTGCAATAAATTGTTTAATTTTTTAGAATTATGCAACTTATTTTTTTAGCCTTTATTAAAATATTCTAAATACTTTATTATTTAGAAAATTGATACTTAAATTCTTAAAAGAAAGATAATGAGGAAAATACATTGATTTCTAATCCATATACTTAATTATGTGTTTTTTGAACAATTCTAAACTATAATTATATAGTGATACTTATGTTCTATAAAGAATTGTTATAATAGCTAAATATTTTTTATTAGATTAGAAGTAAGATAAAATAGAAATGAAGATAATACAAGTTTTGAAAATTCATGTGAAGATTTCAATTAAGAATTGAATATTTTAATTAAATGATTAAATTGAAATGAAGGTTTTTACAAATACCACTAATTTTGAATAAAGATTAAGTTAGTTTATATAGAAAATTATATTGTTTTATATGCATCATCATTAGTTTTTATAAATATGTTATATGAAGAATTAACACACTTGATTTATTATTAATTATTATTATTAAAAATGGAAACTGATCCAATGAATGTTACTCAAAATTAGACTTAAACAAGACGTCATTATCCAAAAGATGTTTAAGTAACTTAATATCTGTGATAAAAAGGGTTTAAAATCAGAATGGTATGGAATTGAACAACATCTGTAAGAGATTGGATAAGATATTTAACGCAATGAAAGAGAAATTTTGAATCTAAGAAAGAAAGAATTATTGTATTTGATTATTATTTCATTCTATTAGGACTGAATTGGATCGTAAAATACTTGAGTAATTGCAAATTAAACAGAAAGAATTAGAGTAGAAATATGAAGATGCATAAGAAATGAAAAGGCGATCAATGAAATTTTAAGAAGAATAAAGAAGATTTTTAGAGGATAAGGCTATATTGTAAAAAGGCATATCTTCCATATATGACAAATAAAAATAAGACTCTTTAATTAGAGATATGGATTTAAGACAATAAAAATTAGAATGGGAATAATAGGCTTTGGAAGAGAATAGAAGGAGAATGGAATAGGATTTCTTATAGAGAAGATTATAAAAGGAATAATGGAGTAAAGAATAAGATGCAGACCTTAAACTATCATAATTAAGACATATGGAAGAAAAAGAGAGATATAGAAATGATTAAATTGAAATTTAAGAATTAAATAGAAGAAATGCTGAAAAAGAATTAATTAAAGAGGAAAATTATAAAAATGTATCAATTATCAATTTTAATTAATAGTTCTATAAACTTTGTTCACAAAATTAAGCTTAATTATAGAAAATGCATATTGACAATGTCCTTTAACCTTTATTGGAGAGACAAGCTCAATTAGAATCGATGATTGCTAAAAATATGGATGCATATTAAAGAAAATTATTATAAGATGAATTAGATAGAGTATTGAAGAGACAAGAAGAATATAGATAAACATTAACTGTTAATAAAAAGATTTTGGATGAAAGAGAGTAAGGGAAATTTTAAGAGAAGAGTGTTAAATAAGAATTAAATAAATAAAGATTAGAAGATGTAATATTATTATATTATTATTATTATTTTAGCTTTAAAATTACAACTAATTCTTAGTTTAAAGAAAAGTTGATTAAATAGAATAGTAAAGATAATACAAGGAATATTTAGATTAATAAAGAATAGAAAAGTATTAATAATTAATTATTATAGGGAGGAATAAAGACTGAAATAATTAAGGATGGGAAGACAAGAAAAATCAATGAATATGTTGGATTTGTAGGCATATAAAAATTAAGAGACATAATTAAATGCAAAGATTATTGGATGGTCTCCATAAGTTGGGTATATTATTAATTTATTATTATATAGTTAATTACCACCAAAATAAGATTATTTATTAAAATAACAATCTCTAACTTAATTAAAGTAGGATGAAATGAATACAATTAATTAAAATTTGAGTAATGTTTCTCAAGTAAGTCGAGGACAAGCTTTAAGAGGAGCAGGATAAAATGCTATTCATTAAAATCATAATCCTCTTACAAATCCTATTCCATTTAATAATCAGAATCCTTACATATAGAAATAATATGAATAACTTATTAGACCAAGACCTTATTGAAATATATTCAAATTAAAAATATATTGCATATCATATACTCTGGTCTTTAATAAATAAAATTATAAAAATATATATTTTTATTAGTTTTAATACACATTATTAATATTATTTCAAATTCATTTTCTAAGTTTTAATATATAAAATGTAAAATTCTAACTATCTTAAGCTACTAAAAATGTCAATGACAGTGAACATCCAACAATTTAATGTTTAATATTATTAATCTCTTAAAATTCTTAAACTAAACCATCTTCATTTTGTTTTAAAACTGATAATTTATGGTATTAATGACATACTAACATTCCTGAATCATAATTAAATCTTAATGAATAAGTGCAAGGAAAATGATTACCGTTATCTACTGAATATTAATATTCCATAAAATATTAGAATGTATCAGACTCATCTTTTTTATAAAATCTAAGAATTCCTGTGTCAGTTAGATAAGCTAAAATATTTAATTTTAAAAAACAAACAGCATTTCTGTCTTTTCTTAGTCTTATCTAACTTCCAATCATACTTTCTCTATTTGTAGATATATCTTAACTTATAGACCACATTTTTTCTTTTTTTTCCCAAATTTTAATGACAAAATTAATATGACTTGTTGCCATCATAGTTTCATCTTAACTTAAAGTAATTGAAGATATTTCTTTATCTACTCCACCAATATCTTAAATAAGAGTAAATACTTCATCTACTAATTTATAGGATCTAAAACTTAAGTCCTAACTTGAAACAATAACTTCTGAATTCGAATTACATACTAAACATGGAACTGCTAGATCAAATTTAATAAAAGAGTTCACAATTTTCATTTTTCTATTTTAAATTCTAACTGCTCTTAAACATGAATTGTAATCACCTAAATACAAAAGATTTTCATCGTTTTTGTCAAAAACAATTTCATAAAAGAATCCAAAATCTTTTATCATATCTAATTCATTAATTCCATCTTATTTAATTTCAAATAATTTTAATTCTATATTATGTGACACTACTAATAATGTTTCACTTTTATTAATAGCAGTAGCATAACAATCTAATGAGAATTGTTTTTTTTGGAATTAATGGAACTTCATTTGACCATCTTTGATATTTTTCAAAAATTCTTATTATTAAAATTAGGATTAAATTTGATCTAATGAGGATTTAATTTCAGATAATAGAATTAATTCTTTACTATTCATAATGTTATCTAATTATTTTTCAAGATTATTTTTATCTTATTAAAAATTATTCTAATTCTATTAACTTAATTCTTCACCAATATCTTAAAGTTTAGAAATTGTTAAATGTTCACAATCTAAGTTCAAACTTTTAAGAATTCTCTCTTTTTCATTAATTATTTTCTCTTTTTCTTAAGTTAAATTGCATTCAATCATTTCTATAATTTTGCAAAATTCATTCTTTAAAGTAGCTAAAGATTTTATAAATTCCTGAATTGGAGCTAAACATTAGTTATATAATTTTTCATATAGTTTTATTTCCTCCTTACTCTTCTCTATTTTTAATTATATAGCCTATTCAATTGGTTAAGGTCTATTTAGTACACAAAAAGGACAAAGAACTCTTTTACCTTTAGGTGTTCCAATATTAGTATCTATATGAGAAATTTGTCTGTTGTGGTCCAAACAGTATGGTAAATTTTCCATTTTTTATTTTAATTAATGCTTAAAATTAAACCTCACAATCGTATAAATACTTATAATAATAGAAAAATAAATATATTATGATTTAGAAAATGATTTATAAAATGAGACCTTTATTTTTTTTGATTTAGAATAGGAAATCTACATTTTTTTTATGATAGAATAACAATCACTTATTAATATAAAATAGGATTTTCCATAAAATTTATTTTAAACAAATATATTAAAAAATAATTAAAATTTATTCCAAATATTTAAAATATTATATTCTCCAAACAAGATACATTTTATAAAAGAAATCACTTAAAATATATATATATTAATTAATACTTATAAATATTCAATTGTTATATTTAATATCTGAAAAATCAATGATCTATGTTAAGGAAATTCGAGAAAAAAATATGTTTAGTTAGTTTATCACAAAAATTATTTCCATTATAGTTTATGTCGTATTTTATAAGACATAAACAGACGTCATCCTTCTACACCTCTGATATGCTATTAATCAGTAAAATTTTGACTTGAATTTAATCAAATTTAAAAAATAAAATAAGATCCTCCCTTCTCTTTCAATAATGCATTTTTAGAGTATCATAGAAGAGGGTATGAAAGAATCTTCATACCTACAACTTTAATAATAAGGTATAATAAGATTTTGTAACCTTTTAGTTAATGAATCAAAGGCATAAAAAGCTTTATCAGAGATATAAAGTGTAGAACGTATTTGGCTTAGTTGGATGACCTAATAATTGACAGGATAAAGTTTGACAGAGGAAATGATTAGGAAAAATGATTCGATTGATGTAGAATGTACATAAGAAACTAATGTATCGATTGTTTCATAATATCATAGAGTGTTGAAAAGAATAATATACTTAAAAAGTATTTTGAAACACTGAAATAAAGAATAATTGATGATAAAATATACAGTATATTCACTTAAACTTAAACATCCTAATTTTTTGAAGAAATCACAACACAAATTTAAAACAAAATAAAACTCTATGAAGACATATAGAAACTAAAATTATTATCCAATTATCCAAGTATAATTCAATATTATTCATTTATTAGGTAATACTAAAAGGACATACTCTAAATAAGCAAATATGATACTTAAGAAATGGTTAATAGAAAACTATAATAATCCATATCCAAAACAATAATAGGTTGAATAATTAGTTCAATAAACAAATCTCACCAATAAATAAGTAAGTTTCAATTCTCTATAATATATAGGTCTTAAATTGGTTTATAAATGCCAGAAATAGTTTAAAAAATAAATCATCTCAAGAAAAGAAGTTTAAGCATGTTGTTGAAACTAAATTTAAAGAGATTGCTATATAAAAAAAGAGAAAATAAGAATAAAGAATTTGATTATTACGAGAAAAACACTGAATAAAATATGATAATAATAAAAATAATAATTTTTATATCTAAAAACAATTCAAAATAGTATAATCATTTCTTGATATCAATAATGAATATTGCAGAGAAATTAAGGATTACTATTATTTTTATTGAAAATACCCACTATTATTTAGGAATTATTTGAAATTATTTCAAATAAATATTAAATAAATTTATGCTTATATTATATACAAAAATAATTAAATAAGTTGAGATATTTATATTAAATCATATTTATAATATAGTAAAATAAAAATGAAGAATTATAAATATGGATAATTATTAAAAAATTATATTTAAATATAAAAGAATGAGGTTTTAGAAATAATTTAGATTATTAGTTAAATATCTAATAATTTTATTATTGATTCTTTATGATTATTTTTAACATTATAATATTATAATAAATATACTTTAGTTGTCTTAATTTTTCTACATATTATAATAATAAATAAACTATATATATATATATATAGAAGTGTATTAGATTTCTGAATTAAGAGATATTTATTTTGAGATTATAAAATAAAAATTATTAAATTTATATTAAGATTAAAATATGAAAGCAATGCTTCATACCTTATAGAAGAGAGGATCTATGACTTTGATAGAACCGTAAGTTATGTTTATTTAATAACTAGGATTAATGATGGAATGGATAAAGTATAAGAAAAACATTAGATAGTATAGAATTATGTAGATTAAGTTGATTAAAAAACTGTCATTGCAATAGAAAGAGAAGTTATTTAAAATATTAATTTAGGAAGAAAGAGTGAATCAGAGATATTTTCATTTAATGAATTAATTGGAAAGATTAATGTTCTAGATCTAAAAGCTTGAGGAAAAAAAATAATAATAAAAAGAGTATAGTTTATTGTTTAATTAGTCTTGATAATCATCCAGCAGTTAAGGAAATGGTTTATGAATTACATAAACTATAAAAGTATTAAAAAGCTTTATAGGATTATCATGGTAAAATGGTGGAACAAATTAAACTAAATAATTTAACAATATAATAGTTGAAATAAACAGTATATTAAAAAAGAGTTGAAATAAGAGATATAGTAAGAGATTCATTTAGAATACAAGATGAAATAATGAAGACAAGATAAGGAAAAAGAGCAATTTCGAGTATTTTATTATTACTAAACAGTTGTTAGAGATAGTGCTGATATGTTTCTCACGATGCCAGCTACTAATATACCAAAACCTTCAAATCTACCTAATATACCATTAAAACATAAATCAAAGAGTACTTTATTACATATAATGAGAAATGCTCAATCTCCTAATCAATAAGAAGTATTATAATTATTAATTATAGAAAGTTAATGATATAGTATTTGTTTATAATAAAGTATAATAATTAAGAAAGAAAGCAGCATAATCAACATTGATAATTTAATAAGTTACAAATAAGTATTGTTAAATAAAATAGTTAATGAGTGAATGTGCTATGATTTCAATATAAAATTTTAAAAGTAAATAAAAAATAACAAATAAAAATGGTTATGCAAATTCAATATATTTTGATATGAGTACATTGAATATTAGCAAAAATGAAAGCAGTATTATAAAAGAGAGAAAGATATAAAATATTTTATATGATACATTATAGTAAATAATGATTGATTTAATCGATTCACGTTAAAAAACAGATTTAAATGGATCATCTATTGCAGATTCAATGTATTTCTAATGATTACTTTATATATAGAATACGCAATTCTGTATCTTAAGAATAATTTATGCAATTTACATCTGTATAGATATTAGGATTGCTGGCATTATAACCAAGATTATTAAATGAATTAATAGGCATATTTGAATTAAAATAGAAATAGATAGGATTACTATGTAATAAGACAAGATAATTTTAAAAGTAATTAGGATTACAATAATGAAAATTTTAAAGATGTTATAAAATTATTTATATACTATAATTTCATTTAATAAGTGAAAGTGTTTGAATAACAGAGGGTATATGCATAATAGATGATTATCTATTTATTAATTCCTTTAATATTCTATTCTCATTTTCATTACAATTATGTGATGATAATAATTCATTTATATCACCCTTATTTTAATTTATTATTTTGAGTACATTTTCTTATGATCTTTTATTGTTCTAATTGTTGCACTAACATTTCATTTATAATAATTGATTCTCACTTGTTAACATCAATTTCTTACTTTTTGTTCTAATTCTTAGATTCTCATCAATAATGATGTATTTTCATTAAGTAGTCTATCAAACTAAGCACTGCTTCTTTATTGTTATTCTGTACTTTTTCTAAATTATAAGTTTTATGAAGTGTTCATTTTTTTTTTTTGAATATGAGGAGACCTATTAGATAAATCATTAATTTACGATTCAATAGGAGATGTCTTAATTGGTCTATCTATACTAAATTATCTAGCTGATTAAATTGCTTATTAAGATTGTTAAATTAATGTATTCAACAAATTATCTCCTCTTTTGTTGTTTTCATTAGAAGAATCTCTAATATATTTGCTAATGTTTCTGGGAATAAAACTAAATGTCTTACAACTAAATCTAAGCTACATGTTATGATTTTGCTTTACCAGGAGTTAAATTACTGTTGGATTTATTGTAATAACTGCGATTCATTTATGTTAATAACAGAAAAAAATAATTTATTAATTATACATCTAATTAAAATAATCATTCATTTATTTATATATATTCATCTATAATGAATTAAACATCAAATAAAAAATAAATAGATATTGATAATAAATAAGAATTCCCTATCATAAATCTATTATTTATTATAATTGAGATTTTCTATAGTTTTAAAATTAATTTCATATATAAAAGGGGGGGATAGATAATTATACTATAAATGTTAAACTAATAATGTGATTAGCAAATCAAAATTAATAATATTATAACATATAAATTGTTAAGTATAAATTGTGAACGGGATACGTCATGAAGATAAATATTTAAAAAATGAAATATTTTTTTGTTCTCTTAGCAATCGTTTCAGCCTTTGACTATGATCCAGCTTTAGCTAACCAACTAACTGCATATTCATTTGCTGCTTATTGTAATCCAGAAAATATTTTAAGTTGGAATGTTGGCACTATAAGCCAATAATATCCTCACTTAAGCAAAATATAAATATTCGAGAACATTGAGCTAGTATTATATTTTAATGATTTTTAGGAAACAAGAGGTTTTATAGCTTATAATTCACATAACTAGGCTATTACTGTAGTTTTCAGAGGATCCTCTAATACAAAGAATTTTATTGCTGATATAGATGCCAAGAAAATTGAATTCAATACCATATGCAAATGTTAGGTTCATGAAGGATTCTTTGCAGCTTATACATCCCTTAAAATTCATTTAGATGTGTTACTTGGAGAATATAGGATGAAATATCCATATGCTAAATATCATGTTACAGGACATTCATTAGGAGGAGCAATGGCAACATTATTTGCAAGTGAAATATCTATGATTGGAATTAAAGTAACACTTGTTACTGTTGGTTCTCCAAGAGTTGGTGATTCTGATTTTTATGATTGGTTTTCAACTTTAAAGGTTACACATTCAAGATTGACAAATAAAAAAGATGTAGCTCCTCATTTACCACCTGTTAGATTTGAATTTGAACATGTTAATAATGAAATATGGTATAAAGATGGAGTAAATTATGTGATTTGTTAAGAAATAAAGGGAGAAGATCCAAAATGTTCAGCATCTGTTTTGAATCCAAATTTAACAGNATTCATTTATGTTAATAACAGAAAAAAATAATTTATTAATTATACATCTAATTAAAATAATCATTCATTTATTTATATATATTCATCTATAATGAATTAAACATCAAATAAAAAATAAATAGATATTGATAATAAATAAGAATTCCCTATCATAAATCTATTATTTATTATAATTGAGATTTTCTATAGTTTTAAAATTAATTTCATATATAAAAGGGGGGGATAGATAATTATACTATAAATGTTAAACTAATAATGTGATTAGCAAATCAAAATTAATAATATTATAACATATAAATTGTTAAGTATAAATTGTGAACGGGATACGTCATGAAGATAAATATTTAAAAAATGAAATATTTTTTTGTTCTCTTAGCAATCGTTTCAGCCTTTGACTATGATCCAGCTTTAGCTAACCAACTAACTGCATATTCATTTGCTGCTTATTGTAATCCAGAAAATATTTTAAGTTGGAATGTTGGCACTATAAGCCAATAATATCCTCACTTAAGCAAAATATAAATATTCGAGAACATTGAGCTAGTATTATATTTTAATGATTTTTAGGAAACAAGAGGTTTTATAGCTTATAATTCACATAACTAGGCTATTACTGTAGTTTTCAGAGGATCCTCTAATACAAAGAATTTTATTGCTGATATAGATGCCAAGAAAATTGAATTCAATACCATATGCAAATGTTAGGTTCATGAAGGATTCTTTGCAGCTTATACATCCCTTAAAATTCATTTAGATGTGTTACTTGGAGAATATAGGATGAAATATCCATATGCTAAATATCATGTTACAGGACATTCATTAGGAGGAGCAATGGCAACATTATTTGCAAGTGAAATATCTATGATTGGAATTAAAGTAACACTTGTTACTGTTGGTTCTCCAAGAGTTGGTGATTCTGATTTTTATGATTGGTTTTCAACTTTAAAGGTTACACATTCAAGATTGACAAATAAAAAAGATGTAGCTCCTCATTTACCACCTGTTAGATTTGAATTTGAACATGTTAATAATGAAATATGGTATAAAGATGGAGTAAATTATGTGATTTGTTAAGAAATAAAGGGAGAAGATCCAAAATGTTCAGCATCTGTTTTGAATCCAAATTTAACAGATCATTTAACCTATCTAGGATGGTCTAGTAATTCTTGTGATGCTTAAATGACAGAATGATAAAAATCAATTTTTATATGACATCATCTATTAATTACGTTCAATTATTCTTTAATATAATTAATAATAATAATATAAATATTCTCTATTCTTATAGAATATCTTCTTTTATCATAAATACTATAAATTATCTTTGATTTTACTGTTTTAAATCAAATTTGGTGGATTTATTTCTTTTTAAAATTAATATATTTCCATTATTAAATAAAATATATAATAATATTTATAATTGTATAATAAAATACAAAAATTTGTATAGATTTAAAGTAGTCTTTATATCAATAGTATAATTAATCTTCTTAAATTAGAATGATTATAACTTTTATAGAATTCTATTATTAAAACTTATATAAAATATAATCCAATTAAATTATATATGATTATGAGTTTATAACAATATTTAGATGCCGTCTTTTTATATTAAATTAAATATCTTATGATGTATATAAAATTAATATATGAATATTAAAAGGAGAGATTAGAAATTGTGAGAGTATAATTAAATATATAAAATCTAAATGAGATCATCAGTTTTGATTTTAGTTGTCTTAGCTGCAACAGTCAATTGTGCTTTCGTTTATAATGAAGCCTTAGCAACTGAAGAGGCTGCACTTTCTTTTGCTGCTTATTGTCCAGACACAGCCATCAACACATGGAATGTTGGATATGTAAGCACCAATTATCCTAATATTGAAAAACCCTTAGTTTTTGAGAACACCATTGCTGTAAGATATAACGTATATATATTATTTTAGGGTACAAAAGGATACATAGCCTACAACCCATCATACAATGCCATTACAGTTGTCTTCAGAGGTTCTAGCAATATTCAAAACTGGTTGGACAACATCCAATTTGATAAAGTCAATTATAATACAGCATGTAATTGCTAAGTTCATAGTGGATTTTTGGATGCCTTCAATTCTATCAAACCATAAGTTGATTCTTTGTTTACCAAATACAGAGGATTGTATCCAAAAGCCATTATTCATGTAACTGGTCATTCATTGGGAGCTGCTATGGCCACTTTATACACAACTGAATTAGCAATTGCTGGATACACAGTTTAATTGAGTACTTTTGGTTTACCAAGAGTTGGAGATACAGCTTATTATAACTATTTCTCATCATTCACAAAAGTCACTCATTTCAGAGTTGTTCATGAAAAGGATGCTGTTCCACATGTAAGATAATTTAAAATAACATTTAGGTTCCACCTGAGAACTTTGGATTCAATCATGTTGATAGAGAAATCTGGTATCATAAGAGTTCATATACTGTTTGTTAATTGGATGAAGATCCTAATTGCTCAGATTCAGTCCTTGTTCCATCAATTTAAGATCATATGAGTTATATGGGATGGAGTTCTACTGTGGACTGCTGATATTTAAAATACAAATTAACAAATATTCAATAAAATATATGTTTATTCAATTGAAAAAACAGATGAAAATATATATATAATAAATAAAATATGTTTTCGAATCCTTTTTTCAAAAATAGTGGAGCATCTAGTCCTAAAAATAATGTACAATCAACATAATAAAGACCATCAGTATAGGATATAATGAATAAATATAAATATAATCCTTCAGAAAGAGTATCTCATGTTGATGAATAAATATTAGGAAGTCTTAACGAATCCTCAAATGTAGTGAATTAATAACAAATTATAGTTTTTAAATGAATAATCAAGACATGATAAGATGTTTCTAAATCCAATACAACCATAATTTGATTTAGATCCACCACCAAAAAAGGATGCAATAGCTAGATTAACCTTTGGAGAAGAGAACAAGAAATTTGAATCTCAGAAATTATAAAATTAGAGATTATTAAATGAAAATGATCTCTTTGATGATATGTCTCACTTAAAAGATAAAGTATTAAGTATCAAATTATCATAATATCTAAAGACATGTTAGAGAGATATTCTGTTGCTCTTAAAGCTCCAGAATAATAGAATAAGAAGAATATCATTAAACATTAATTAGAATTGGATGCCAATCAAGTAGCCTAAGAATATTCTTAAATTGTAGATAAATTTAACAATCCAGATTTATCAGCTATATCAATTGCAGATAGTACAATACCAGTATACAAAGTATAAGATTGAATATGATTCAATTAGGAATAATAATTGACTTAAATGTTTAATCTAGTAGAAGAATTCCTTACTAAGTTTAAGAATATATCCTAAGTGTAATAAGAGAAATCATAATTATTACGATCACGTATTAATGCAGGTGAATCTCAATTACAACCTTAATCAAATAAAGTAAATGAATCAGAAAAACAATTTACTTTTTAATCTAATTAATCTAGTAAACATTCAAGTCATGCTGTTAAAAATAAGGCTTAAGCATAATTTGCTTAATCTATAACAGTTGGACAATCAAATCTGACTTCAAATAATTATTAATAGACTTTCAATAAAACTAATGGAAGTTAATAATAAAGTCCAACTAAAACTTATACATTTTAATCTGTTCCTACTATAATACCAACTTATGAATAAAAATCAATTCCTGCTTAATAACCTATAACTCAATTAGATATGACAGTATATAATTAGTTTCCAAAAATGGATGATTCATTTTATGATCAAAAATAAATATCAATGCAAAGAATTAATTCTAAATTAGCAACTTTAAAAGATAAATTACAATAAGAATTATAAAAGGATAATATGCCATATACATAAAAGATATTAGGTGAAATGATATCTAATTTATAAGAAATAATAAATACTTAAGATTATTAATTAGTCAAAACCATTATTTTCAGAATTGAATAAGGTATTCAATAGTTATCAAATAATAAAGAAGGTTCAATTAATCTTTATAAATACATTAATAAAGCTTTATTAAATTCAAAAATGAAAACAGATTTATTCACTTAAAGAGCCTCAATGCCTGTTCATGCTTTACCAGAATAACGTAATAGTTCTACTACTATGTCTTCTCTAAATAATTACTAAACTCCAGCCAAAATAGAAAATGGTAATACTAATCAATAAATTGATATCGATCGTAATTTTGATAAAAAATAAAGAGATTAACGTCATTTAGTAGAACATAATTTATATTTTGATTAAAGATTAAGTAATCTCAATAAACCAGACATTCCAAAACCTAAATAATATATTAATTAAATTGCATCACCAAATTCTGGATATGAATCTAGAGGATCAGTTAATTATGAAAGGAAATAAGATGATCATAAGACATATTCTTAAGATGCTCGTTTGAGTTATTAATTATAATTTGAATCCAGACCTAGTATCAATATAGAATAAAGATATTCAAGTAATGAACCTAAAAATATTTATTATGCTACTGAATATCAAAGGAAAACAGAATAAAGTTCCTTTTAAGAATCTTAAAAATTTACTTAAGAAAGAATATCTGAAGTCTAAAGATAATCTGATATGTAAAGACCATCTGAATAAACTATAAAGAGATTGTTTTTTGATGCTGCTCTTACCCAAAAGAATAAATTGCCTTCCAATCATCCAGGTAGAAATATTATGGTTTCAGATCTATATGAAGAATATGTAAAAAAAGGTGGAGACATGTAAAAGTTTATATAATAATAATTTGATCGTTGTTGACAGTATTTTATTTTATCACAAATCAATATTCTATACCTTAGATTCTAATTGCCAATTATAAATCTCTAGTTAATAAGGTAACTCTCTTAGCATGATGTGAACAAAGATTGGCATCCTCAAATAAATGTGTAATAAATCCTTCTGTAGCTTCTTATAATGCATAAAGTGCAGATTGGGTAAATCTGAAATCTTTTTCAGATCTTTAAGAAACTTCTCTCACTAATCTTTAGAATGGCAATTTCCTAATCAAAAGTTGAGTAGAAGATTAATATCTAAAATTTCATATGAGACATATACTTTCTGATTTCTCTTAAAGAAACAGTTCCAGGTCTAAATTTGTGTTTTCTCTTTTATTGATTTTTATAAGCTTATTTTTTGTTATCTAATGAGTCATTACAAAAACTTTAAGGGGAGAGACTGAATTTATTATTGTTAGGTTTTCCTTACTTAGTTCTAGCCATATTGTATAGATATTGATATTAATATTAATATTAATTAATAAATGAAGTGTTTCTTATTTAAAAATAGTAGAATAAATAGTGTGTTTGATTTTAAATAATTTTTAGATTTAATTAGATGTTAATAATGAATAATTAAATATATTGTTAAAATAGAGATCATATATATATATATATAGTAGGAATTAAAATTGTGATTATTCTTTAATTTAATTATCCAAATGTCAGACGTAGAGGATTGGGAATAATACGCTGACGAAGAATAAGAGGAAAAGTAAGAATAAAAGTAAGAAGACAAGTCTAAATAACCTTAAACTTAATAGTAGAAATCTGAAGTACAATCAAAAGAATCAGATATGAATAATGTTTTTGATTTATTTGGAGGAGACAAACCAGTTAAAAAGAATATTGGATAAGTAGATCTGAAGAAAATTGGTGAAAATTTTGCAGCTGCTTTGTAAAATGTTGGTCCTAATTATACAACCGAGTTCTTAAAGACGTTGTTAACTAAGTTGGAAGGAAAACTATTATTGAATCATTATGAAGAGTTATTTAAGACAGTGGAGGAAATTTACATTAAAAAGAGAAAGTAATTTGAAGCAGAAGAAGCCATAAAGAAAAAGAGTCAATAGTAAGGACCACCAAAAGGAATATCATTTGGGAAGACTAAAAATATAATAGAAGATGAAGATGAAGACTTTGATAATGTTGATGATGATGATGATTTCATGTGATAAATATATATATCTTAATTATGGATAAAAAGAATAAAGTGAAATCTATTGTAAAGTTCGATGATGAAAAGTAGCCAGAATAAGTAATCTAAGAAGTACAAGAGATAAAAAAAGATAAGAAAAAGAAAAAGGAATAATAAAAGAAGAAATTATCACTTGAATAGAGACATGTTACTATTGCCATTCCAGATTCAATTATCTCTAATGCTTAATCATCTGAATTGAGAAGTTATTTTATGTCTCAATTAGCAAGGATGTTTGCTATCTTTCAAGTAGATGAAGTGATCATTCTTAGAGATTATTCATAGTATCACCATATTTACATTTTTTAGCATACCAAAAAGTAAATAATTTGATGTGGCATCATATGTGGTCAGAAATTTATAATATTTGGAAACACCATAATATTTGAGAAAGTACTTGTTTCCAATTCACTCAGATTTAAAAAATGTTGGTCTCATGAATCCAATAGAAGCAAAACATCATTTATTGACAGAACAAGTATGTCCTTATAGAGAAGGTGTTGTTGTTGAAAGACCTAGTAAAGGAGACACATCTTGGGTGGAAATTGGACTCAAAAGATAGGTCTTAATCAATTATCCATTATAACCAGGAACTAGAGTCACATTGAAATTAGATGATCCTACTTCCACTCATCTGACTGGAACTCCTGTCTCTAGTTAGGATGCTAAAAAGGAAGGCTATTATTGGGGTTATACAGTTACAATAGAGTCTAAATTTCATAGGTTATTAGATAGAGGTATTAAAATAATATATTATCTTAAGATGATTTCGATATGAAGATTTTGATTGAAACAGAGAAAAGTGATGAAACTACATAAACTACAACTTTTAATCCTAGATAATTATCATAATAACCTTTAAAATTATTGTTACTATTCTCAGGATTATAAAAGATAACAGATTTTACAGAAAATGATGAAAAATCTAAAGTAAATAATTTAATATATCTCTATTAGTTATCCAATGAGGATATATATGGAAAATTCGATCATGTATATAGATATGGAAATAATGAATATGGTGTAAAATAACTCAGATTAGAGGAATAAATGTTTATGTTTTTACAATCAATATAATGATAAATAAAATATAAATTAATATTTCTAATTAAGCAGGAATATATCCATACTATAATTTGGAAATATTTTATTACCATTATTACATTTAAATGATAAATTTGATATCAATAATAATAATAATAATGAATTATAATAATAATAATTATTATTATTATTATTATTATCTATTGAATATGAAATCCAATAGTAGTAATTCTTTGAGGATAGATAATTAATTAATGTAGTATGTAATAGTTTTTATGAATATCACATCTTATGATTGTTCATTTAATCTAATATTCTAACAAAAAAGAACAAGTTATAACATAATTATTATTATAAGATATATGATTAAAAGTAGATTTTAAACATTGTTTTATCATTAAGTATTTTAATTCATTATTACTTCTCTTTTTGTCAGTTTTGTCCATAATAATCATTTATTTTAGAAGGAGTAAACAAACTGTAATTAATATAGATAGATTTAATAAATATATATATATAAATACTATGGAAATGAGTAATATTTATTTAGATTTAATAAAATAGTCATGTTTGAATATGAATTATATGTATTCATTTAAATTAGTTTCTTTTATTTTTGGATTTTAAAGATGTCAAATAAATGAATATACTTATTATTAACTAATATATATAGATAATGAATAATAGGAAAGTAATCATAAAGGATGAATTTCTAAACTATTCAATATATGATATAATGAAGAATTGTAATTTTAGAGTAATTGAAAATATTTTCATCTGAGATAGAAGATAAGAGTGAATTGATTAGATAAATATTAGAGTTAGTTAACATAGACAATAGATTAGAGAATATTTGAATGGTTTACTATAAATATGATTATTATTGATTTTTTGTATATTGTAGGAATAGGTGGGGCATCGTTGGCAGAATATTTCTTCGATTTACAGAGAAGTTACCAAGTATATATGATGTTATCATCATTGGGTGTTTTAAGCATATGGTTTGGTTGGCGTTTCAAGAGAAGAAACCTTAGGAACGATCGGATTGAATTGCTTATACTGTTGCTTATTGGCAATTCATTAAGAACCGTAAGTTCTACACATATCAGTGAGATGTATTTTGCATTATTCTCAAAAAGGTTGCTTTATATCATTCCAATCTAGAATCATGAGCATCCTAAAAAAATGTTTCTTTGTCTGCCATTCATAGCTATAGTAGTTAGTGCCAAATTAGAATTCAATTATGAATATACTTTAATTGGTTATGCATTCATTCTGTTGGTTTGGTTGTCAATTAATCATTCTGCAGAAAGAGTCCGTCAGGTTTCAAAGAATCATAGTTATTCTAAAACATGGATCAATCCATCAGATAGTTTGATAATAAATTAGAATGATAAATATGATCTTGTAATAACACGTTTAGGTAAAATAATAAGTCAAACATCTGAATAGTAGAAACTATTTGGTACTGATGATCCTGTCATGATTTAATAAATACTTAAGGATATTAATATACATAAGCTTGACAAATAATACAAGAAATATAAAATTACAACTCTTTTATAATTAATAGAATCTACAGATCTTATTAAATGTAAAGTATTAGATTGTTCTACCCCATTTGGAGATAATTATATGATTGAATTAAATATTTTTAATGATAATGTAGGTTTAAGATTTTATGATATGTTTGAATTAAGAGATTATTGGGAAAGGAAAGTTACTAAATAACTTATGAATTAACTGTTTCGTAGTTTTAGTCATGAATTCAGTACTTCATTAAATTGTATAAGAATTCTAGCAGAAAATGCTATTGAAGATATAGATGATGATTATATTGTGAATACTTGTATCTAACCCATTTTGAATTCTTGTTACATTCTCAATTCAATAGTTTAAGATGTTAGAGATTTCAGTTTGATCTTGTCTAAGAACTTCATACTCACTATTTAAATTTAAAATATTTATTTACTTATTCATGAAGTATCTGAATTATATCGATAACAACTTAATATGAAAGGTGTATAATTAAATGTTAAAATGAATGAATTCTAAATTCATACAGATGGATAAAGATTCAAATAGGTACTTAATAATCTATTGTCTAATGCTTAAAAATTTACATTCTCTGGTAGTGTTACTATTGATGTTTAAGAATAAATCATTCATGATTAATAATTTATTAAAGTTACTGTCTAAGATACAGGTTCTGGAATGGATTAAAATACTTAGAATCGATTATAAGAGTTTCTAAAACAACCACATAAACGAAAATCTAATCTTAATTTTGGTTTAGGTTTAATGATAAGTAATACTATTTGTAATGGTTTATCTCCTAATTATGAATCTGGTATACATTTTCAATCCAATAATAAGACTGGCTCTTTATTTTGGTTCTACCTTGAGGATCTCAAAATAATAGATTTACCTGATGTTGTTAGCAGAAGGACTATCAAATATAATAAAATACATAGTTCAGGTAGAAGTTTTTTAGAATAAAGTTTTATCATTAGTCCTAGTGATAAAAAAAGATAATCATCTTTTACATTCTCATTAAAAGGGAAATAAAAGTTAATTGATAAATAATCAGAAAGTATTCTTATTTATTCTTATACTCAAAGATTTATCTGAACCAGATGATTTCATTTGTGCACCTTATGTTTTTAGAGAAGGACCAAAGAAACCTAAAAAATAAAAATATTCTATTGATTAAGTTGTCAGTGAATATACAGATGATAGAGCTAAAATACTTATTGTTGATGATGAATTTGTAAATATCTATGCACTTACTACAATGCTTTCAAGATTAAATATTAAATGTGATTCAGCACATAATGGTAAAGAAGGATTAGATAAATTTAAATAATAATATTATCAAGTAATCCTTATGGATATTGAAATGCCTATTATGAATGGAATATAAGCCACTTAATAAATACTCGAATTTTGTCATTCAGCAGATTTAGATCCTCCCATTATTATTGCTTAAACTGCTTATACTGATATGTAAACAAAATAAATGTGTAATGAAGTGGGTATGGATTATTTCTTGTAAAAACCAATTAGTACAAATGAAATTAAATAAATTCTATAAACTATTTAGTTAACTTTATGATTACTTTAAGTTCAATCTATATAAATACATAAATATTGTCAATTTTTTTTATTATTCAAATTTCTTGATTACGATACTTTCTGAATTATTATTATTATATATATATGTTGATATTGTCATTATTATTGATAGTTAAGGCTGACCAATATTTTACTATTTTAAGTCCAAATACCTTAATATCTGAAGAGAAACTATAAGAAATTCAATTTAAAATAGCTAATTTTGGTTATGTTCCTTATGGATAAAAGATTTCAGGTGAATTGGAAATAGCAATCCCTTATAATTTTTGTGAACATCAAAATATTACTAAAAATTTCAATAATGATATTTCAAATTCTAAAATTTTACTTGTCTAAAAGGGTTATTGTTCTAACTATCAAAAGGTAAAACTAAAATATATAAAAATAAAAGGCAATTAATGCTTAAAATTTTGGATACGTAATGATGGTCATAGTTGATGATAATAGTCAAGAATTTATTCCTGGAGTAACAAATAATTCTGAAGGTAATTTGGATATATAAATACCAACCATTATGATATAGAAAACATAAGGAGATAAACTTAAGGATTATTTAGAATAAATTAATCACAAGACTTTATATATATAAGTATTATTTCCAGACTTTTACTAAACTGATAAAGTTAAATATGAATATTGGTTTAGTTCAATGGATTAAAAAAGTTATAAGTTTTTAAGGTAATTTTACACATTTCATATGTAAATGAAAGATTCTTTAGAATTTACTCCTCATTATACATTAGGACGTTGTGCATAATGTGCAAAATCAGGATTTGATAGAAGAGATTCTCTTTGTCTTTCTGGAGGAAGATATTGTGCTGCAGATCCTGATGGAGATGGTCCTTTAGATGGTTAAGATGCAGTAAGAGAAGTTGTTAGATAAATTTGTATATTCAAAGAAGATAAAATTAAATGGTGGAATTATGTCATTAAATATAGTCAACAATGTTTAGGATCCTCTATTTCTATTGCTAATTTATGTTATTAATACGTTCTTGAATTAGTTAAGATAGACTAGAAGAAAATAGAGAAATGCTATAATGATAGTTTCTCAAATTAAAATGATGAATTGCATGAAAATATTCTACTTGCTTTAGAATATAAAAAACATGAAGAATTACAAATTCGTGTTTGGCCACTACTCTACATTAATGATATAAAATATAAAGGCAGTCTAACAGTATCAGGTTATAAATCAAATTTTGATAAAGGAGATTAAGAAATATATGATACTTCTCATTTTGGACCATTTTAAGCAATATGCAAAAGTTTTACAATTAATTCACTTCCAGATGTTTGTTAGAATAGAATGGTTGGTTATTCAGATTAAGATGGAGATTGGGTATATATATAAAATATATTTAATAGTATGAATATAAATAAGAAACTAATACATGGATAGTATGGGTTGTTGTTTTGACAATTATGGGTATTTTAATGATTTGTACTTTGTACTTATACAAAAGATTATTCATTAAAAAAGCAAATGAAGAAATTAATTAACAAGTCAATATAAATTTAGCTTAATATTATGCTATGAATGAATAAGAAAGAAACTTGAGAAATTGATTTTTTATTTTCATAATAATTCAAGTGTTAATTCATGGATTAAATGTTCAAATATATGATCTGTTATTTCAACCAAGGTTTCAGTTGTATCTGTATATGACCACATAAACTCATATTCTTATAACTATATAATATGAGATTAATAATTACTTCATTATTTATACATAATTATAATCTTTCATTTCTTAATTGAGATAAATAATCAGAATTGACCAAATTTTATAAGACTTACTCATAATTTAAACATTATTCAGCATTTTCTTCATCATCTTCATTTATTAATCCACATAATATTGATGCATAAAATATAAGTTTTTCTTTGGCCTTCTCTAATAATTAATTGATATTTTCATTATTATATAAGATAACTACTAGATTTCTATTATATTCCCAAGGATATGGTTATCCATTGCATTAATAAAATGGACGATAATAATTTAGAATTTCATTGAAAGTATCAAAAATGGCTCTATTATGAATCTTTTCATATAAGGAACTATTTTGCTTATTCTATGATAATATCATACTTATAATTCAGTGAAGATATATTCCTATATTGGATATTGATATTTATCATCCTCTATTACTTCATATCCATGTATTTATCTTAATTTACTGAAGGGTTATAAACCATAAGGATAATTCATTCTCTTAATAAATGAGTTCAAATTGGTTTCTATTTTAGATCTTATAATATACCTATTATGTATTAACAGAGAATTTCAATAAATAGACTGATGGTTCCAACATTAGTTTAAATTTCAACTATATTTTATTATGGTTAAAAGTCAACATCAATAATAATATCTTTTCTTTTGAAATTGATATTTTTTTATAATTTTGGAGTACTTAATTAAAGATCAGATTAATCTAAATAGCTAGATTCGAATGAAATTTACTCTAAATAATATTAATTCTAGTACATAACTATTAAACTACTATAGAATTATTTAATTATAATTCTTCTATGCATTTAAAGTCCTTTTATGTTTTTTATTATATTTTATTCGTAACATTTTGGATATTCTTAAGTTATTCTTGATATCGATACAATTTTTAAGTTTATTGAACTTCCCATTATTGAAGTACTTGATTATTATTCCTAAAAGATCTAGGAGATATTTTTTATTATTAGAATAATTTATTAAATGCATCCATTTGCATAGCAACCCTTAATTTGATACCTTCCTCTCTTTAATGACATATCTCATTAATTATATTTTAAGGAATGTTTTCTTGAAATGCAAATTATTAATGTTGTTTTTGTATATCCAATTTTTCATGTATACTTGTTTACATGGCTTCATCTTTCTTTTCTTATTTGATATTTCTCAAAAATTATTATAATTCAATCATTTATTTCTCATTCATCATTTATAATTCTTCAATAATTGAATTCAATAACATTTTCTAAGGATCCTCACTAACAGAGAATGTATTTAATCTTATAGAACTGATCTTACTTATTTGTGGTTGATAATACTGCACTTAAGTTTTTACTTTCTTAGATTTCTTCATTTGAGGACTGACTGATGTTTTTTACTTTTATTTTAGCTTCTTTTTACTTTAACTTCTAATTTATCTTTATTATGGACTTTAAACTTTTTTTAACTTTTAAGGTGATTTCGATTTTGATGTAGTTCTACTTTTTGGGATTTTACTCTTTATATAACTTTGTAATATATCTTTTATATGTTTCTTAGGTGATACAGTAGTTTTAGATTATGTTATAATTGAACTTGTTTTAGCCTTCATTGATTGAGGACTTCTATGATATATTTAATTACCTTTTAGTAGTTTTCATCTTTTTCTTGAAGGTAGGCTTTACATACATGGTCCTTCCATCTACACTACTATTATGATTCTGCTTAGGTTTAATAATATCAAATTTCTCATTAGGAGTGGTTTCTGTGAATAAACAAGATGATCTCAAAGACTTTATCTCACTAGCTCTGATACTTTGTTTAAGCTATTTAAGTTTAGCCTAAATCTATTGTATTGGTAATATTTTCTAACGTCTCTATTTATTCATTATATATATTAATAATCAAAATAAGTATACATGTACTATAGAATAATTATTGATATTTAAAATTATAAATCATTTATTACCCTAATATAAATACACAAAAATACTTTTCATTTAGATATTGTTGTTATATTAATTATTTAGTGCTTTTGAAACCTTTTCCAATTATTATATTTGGATGGTATTTAAAATATAATTCATAATTATGATTAATAATTTTAAGAATGATCGAGATATGATTCTGAATATGTAAACATATTTATATTTTATATAATTCAATATAGGAGGCACATAGTTTTATTAAAACTAACATTTAATATTAATATTTAAATAATTAATATGATTTAGCAGTAACAAGAGGATGGTGTAAAGCAAGAAATAAAAGAGGAGGGAGGTATCGTAGCTTAGTATCCTGAAGAAAGTCGAAATGATCCTGGTCATAAGACTTCAACTAAAAAGCGTACCTCTTCTAATGATTCATCTCCTTCATCATCTTTCGAGAATAAGATTGGAAAGAGATATTTATCCAATAGTGAGTTCAAAGTACATTTTTATGTTCGTCATGTTCATATGAATGGCATGAGCGATAATGAATTCTTGAGTTTCATAAAGAGGAAAGGTATGTATTGCAATATTTAGTTAATTTGGCTGGATCATGTGAAGTTGTGTAAATGTTTAATTAGTAAGGGTCATTTTGTGATGTAGCTATAGGAATGACAAATGACGATAATGCTAAATTAGTATATATTGGCAAAAAGCATTTCAATTTTGGGCGTAATGGTAATTGGTTTTTTGGATGTTATTCATATAGGAAGATAAAAAGAGACTGTGGAGTTAAGTGATGCTTTCAAGAATTATTTGGAAAACAAGAAAATATTAGATAAAGAACACTTAGAACGTTCTTTAAGAAGAAATGTTTTATATTTTCTTTAAATCTTAGCAATAATCAAAGGGTAGAAGTGATAGTAGTGAATCTTCAAGAAGATACAAGAGCAGAAGCACAAGTAAGAAGAAGAAAAACAAGAGAGTTGATAACAAATAAGTATGGCAAGGATCTAAGAGAAGATCTCCATCTTCTTCTAGTGAGCCAAGAAGAATCAAGAAAACAAAGAAAAATAGACATTCATCTCAAAGCTCATCAAGAGATTCTAATAAAGACAGTGTATAACCAATAAAGCCTTAATAAGTGTTTACAGACAAGAATACTGTGTACATCTTTTCAATCCCTTAAGAAGTTAATGAGTATGAAGTGATTTAAGAAATTGTGTAGCAACATAAATAGAGTGTTCCTATTCATCATGTTTGGAGTTATTATTTATTATAAATATTAAGACACTTTAGATAAGATGCAATATTTGGAATTATAGTTTTAAGATGAAAATACTGCTCAATTTCTATGTAATATGAGGCCCTGTTTACATGTTAAGGGCATACCACTTTTGGTGGTAGCTAAAAAATAACGTCCTGTTTAGGAATTGATAAGAAATTATGAGGTTCAAGTTGAATTAGATAAAGATGTGGCTGCTTTTAATGTGTATTAGGAATTTAAAAAATATGGAGATCTTATTGGAATTTATGTATTTTAGTTAAATAGGAAGTATTGAAGAAATTTTAATTATCAAGTTATTTACTATTGTATTCATCGTCCTCTTAATTGCAGGAGGCTTTACGCCCTCCAGTCCATTTATAATTGACTATTAATGATTAAATAGTTAATGCTAACGCCAAGATTATTGATAAACCTATTGATATCCAAAGACCCCTTATCAAAGATACTTTAGCTTATTAGCTGAACAATTAAATTGATGAAGATGATGACAGTAAAACAATCATTTTATTTTTAAAAGACAAGAAAAGAAAAACTAAAAGAAAAGTTGAAAAACCTTAGAAAAAATGAGAAGCCATTTAAATTTAATATTCAAAAAAATATATTATTTACATACGCACTCCTTTTACAACAAAAAATTCAATTCAAAGGAATATTAAAACTTTATAAGAATATGCAAATCTCCTCTCCCCTTATTGAATTTATTTTAATATTAATTTTAATTTATAAGGGAATTTTTGTATGCACACTTATAACCCTGATGGTTAATTTGAGTCAATACGAGATATTGATAGAGACCTCATTACATAACAAAATCTGGAGAATCATCTCCCAACATAAAACCCTCTCCCACCTCCATTAAAACCTATTAATCCAGAGTTAAAAGGCAATGTATAATAAATACACTAAAAAAGATCTTTCGTGAAATGAGTATTAATAGAAAAAGTGAAGGATTTCAATAATTCAAATAATACGAGGAATTTATCCTTACAAATACAAAGTAACACTTACTATGCTCTGATACTGTCATTGAACAATTAGATCTGAGAGTACTAATCTCAGATAGAAGTCTTTAAGCAATTATATCTTTTTTAAAAGAACGTATCATCTAAGAATAAAATAATGTGAAATTATTAACTCATAAAAATCCTTCTTTTCTCTCAATATTTAAAGATTAAGATTAAGTAATCTATCCTAAATTTTCAGCTTCATTAGAAAATCTTAATTAATTGCATTAGGCCTAAGGCAAATCACTTTCAATCTTAGTAACAAATATGGAAAAAATGATAAAAGAAAAATTTGAAACTAATCTCAGTGCTTATTCTAGCAATATCAATGGAATAGTTGCTAAAATTAAAGCCAAAAGAAAGTCAGCAAGAGATTAGCTTGCTATTGTTACTGAAAAAAGTAAGAAATTTTATAAATTATACAATGAAATGATGAGTAATGGAGGTAACCATAAAAAAAGGTCAAAGGATTTGTTTAATTAAGAAAGAAAATTTAAACAAGCTATGCATTAATAAATATTATAATTGACATAATTAGGAGAGGATATTATAGCTTATTATAATGAGATTATTAAATAAGAATCTTAAAGATTAGAAATTATCTCTGTTGGAATGAGATATTATTTGGAAAAATTTCATGAAACTTATTCAGGTACAACTCCAAGTGCTTAGGTATAGTTAGTATTACAGAAATTTAAAGAGTATAATTCAATAGAGGAAAGCAGTTAGATAGTTTTTAAAGATGTAGGATTTATTAAGGATGTTTTAAAATCTTAAGAAATTGGATTTCCTCAAATAAAATATTATTTAACATAATTTCCAGGAACATTATTAAAACCAACTTTACCATAAACAAATCCATTTATTTTAAAGTTTTTTTCGAGATTATAAAGAGATGTTGGTTCTGTATTGACTAAATGGTAAAATTGTTTAGCAATTGTATCAATAGACAGAAATATTTTATTGTATGATAGTGATGATATGACCATTCCAAATTAAAAAGTAAAATTGATTAAAATTATTTTAGGCTTAAATAAAATTTGTATTGGAACATACTCAATTAATCTTAAAACCAAAGTAAGCATTAGTGGCTGAATTAAAATAAGTTACTCCAGGATTTATGTATAATTCAAAGGAGAGTGTAGTGATAAAATTTCATAGTTAAGATGATTATGATGAGATGCAATTCTATTTAACAAATTAATGAATAATAAGATATTATATTGGATACAATTATCATTCATATTTAGATATGAGTTTAGACAAATCACTCACAGGGACATTACTTCCTGAGAGAACGACAAGACTATTTTTATATTATGTTTTTTTGCATCCAGCATAAGCAATAGCTGAATTAAATTCTGCAATTTCTTCTGCTTTAGCTAATTCACATTATGCTTTTTCAACTTCATAAGTGGTAACAAACATAATTTCATCTATAAATCCTTCTATAATTTGAGAACATATTGTCTATTCTCTTCTACTAGAGCCATATAGCATAACTCCAATAACTTTGAGTTAATTTTTTGCAATATATTTTAAGTAAAATGCAATGGCTGCAATTAAGGCTCCACTCTTAAGTGTTACGAAAACATAGTCAATTTTAGTTTTTGTTAGAACTTGCCATTAATCAATTTCAAATCCAATAGTTGCGTAACCTCCGAAAACATCTACATCATTATATAGATCTAGATAATCATAACCATTATCTTCAGCATATTTAAATGCTTCTATCTCTGTGTCTGATCTATTTAATTGAGAATTGATCACTTTAACATTTGGTAAATCAGAAAATTGATGTAATTCATTTAAATGTTTACAAAATATGAACAGTTATCCAAGTAGTTCATAAGGTTTTATTTTTGATGATAATTATTAATCCTTAATGAGTGCTGATTAACCAGGATCAGTTGGTGTATCATCTTAGAGAAATTCACTAACCGTTTAATCTACTTATAATTCTTATTTCTTTTCTTATTTCATTAATTTTAAGCATTCTATGCAAGCCATAGCTGCATTTCCAGAAGAACAAATAACGAGATTCAATTATTCTATCCCCTTATGCCGTTTTTTTTGCTGCAACCTATATAACATGTGATACATGGCTCTCATTTTAACAGAGCCGGATGGTAAAAGGCTCTCCAATTTACAAAATATTCCTCCTATTTCTTTTATGGGTGTCAACTATAGTGAGAAATTTATTATAACACATACTTTAATTGGTGACTCTTCAGAGTATAAACATTGTTAACCTAATTTAATTGCCTAAACTAATTCTGGTAATAGATATTTAATTTCACATGATATCATGTTGGACTTCTCATTTTACCTACTTTAAGCACAACCCATCTAATTAATTTATAGATATTTTTAATTAATTAAATGTTGTAAAATATTGGAAACTTAGCAAACAATTTAAAATAAGCAGTTGGAGCAGCATTTATAGCTCCTCCTAAATAGTCTGTTTTCCTAACAAAAGGAATGTTGACACCTGAAGAATTTATTAATGTAAAAAAATATTTAAATTAATATTAGGCTGGGGATAGATTAATAAGTAATGGAGGTAATTGGAAATGGTGTAAGGCAATTAGTGATTAATAAAAAAACAAGTATTTACCAGATGACAAATAATTCTTAATTCAAGAAAACATCATCTCTTATAAGAGAATAAAAGACTTAAATAGAGGAGGCACGTTCACTGAATAACAAGAGGGAGAGGAAGTTACAATAATTAGATCAGAGGAATAACCAGTTTAAGAGATTACATAAGGTTAGGATAGATATTATACTTTATACATTACTTATGATTTATATTATTTCACTCCTAGATTATATTTAAGTGGCAAAGTTGATGATAGACAATTAACTTATTAAGAAGTTAAAGAAGTATAATTTAATTTAATGTTTAATAGGATGTCTCTGGAGAGTATGCTGATAAAACTGTGACTGAAGAATAATTTAATGAGTTAAATATAAAGCTGCCAACAATTCATCCTTGTAAACATGCTGATACTCTTAAATTTTTTGTGGATTAAATGAGAGAGAATGGATGTCCTGAAGAGAAAATACATCCCGATAATTCTTTAACAATATTTTTGAAGTTCATGAATTCAGTCATACCAACAATATAATTTGACTTTGTTAACACAATTGAGCTATGATTATTATTAAATGAGAGATAAAAAATTTAAAATCTATAACAATTACCTTTTTCTATTAACCTAACAATTTCTTAGAAATAATATTAATTAAAAAAATAAATAGTCTAAAACAAATTGTTAATATTTACAAATTCTCAATATATAAATATACCTTATATATCAAATATCATAAGAATATATAAATTCAATTATGATGGAATACTGAAATTATTACAATATGTACTTATAAGTACTTATAACAACATATACTTAATAGATAGATATAAATGAGCTGTTTTGATTTTTTTGATATTATATTGTATTTATTTAATTTCATTAAATGCAATCATTTTAAGACACTGATAATAATAGTGAAAACTTGAATGAAGAAGATAAGTAATGTAATATTATGTATAACTCAAGCAGTTCAATAAATTAGCAGGTACCATAGTTCCCTTAGAAAAAGGCCCCATCATATTCTCGTGATGTTCCTCAAATACTCAAATTATAAAATTAATTTAGAAATGCTTAAGGAAACACTCGTAGAGAATTAGAATGTCAATTAATAAAAAGGTTGGTTGATTTGAAAAAGAATAGTGATTCAGATTGGTATAGATTGAATGGAGCATGGGCATTAAAATATACAACATATTTATATGATAACTCAAGTACATTACCTGGTCCAATTGACAATACTGACTTACTTTAGAATAGAAATCAAGTAAGAAATGTAGATTTCTTTGTTGTAAATGAGACAGTTTGGAAGTTCCTTCTTGAAGAGTATAGTGGAGGACCTGAAATTCTGGATGAAAAAATTCCTCCATCTCCTACTTCTAATGCTAGTTCTACAACAGACAGAGCAAAGTCGGTTGATATAAGTATAATTTCAAGCGTATCACAATTGGATATAAATCCTGAGATTCCAATTAAAGGGTTGAAGAATGAATTATACTTTTGCTATATGCATTCAACTTTATAATGTATGATGAGTATTTAAGAGCTTAATAATTTTATATTAAATAGCATAAATAGATAACATTAATAATCTATGACATTATGTAGAAATTATTAAGAACTTCTTCGATAACTCAAAGATACTTAATATGATTATATAAAAATAAATTCATTACGTAATACTATTAGCAAGAAATTTAATCCAAAACATTAACATGATGCATAAGAATTTTTGTTGTTTTTGATATCTAGTTTAGAAGATGAAATAAATAATTATAATAGAAAACAAGGATAATAATAGAGTAAATTACCAAATATAATTGAGAAATATCTTAAAGGATAAATGATAAGTGAAATTATTTGTAAAAATTGTTAACATAAATCATCAATAACAGAAGATTTCTTAACATTATCTTTAGCATTAACTAAAATAAATTCTATTAATTAATCTTTAGATGATTTTCTTAAAGATGAATTGATCTAAGATTATAAATGTGAATGTTGTCATAAAAAAAAAACAGCCATTAAAAAAACAAGAATAACTAAATTACCTTAATATTTAATATTACATCTAAAAAGATTTAAATTTTTTCCAAAATCAAACAAAATAATCTAACATGTAAAATTTTCACTGGAATCTACTTTTTGTGGTATCAAATACAATTTAGTTGGAATTATTGTACATTCTGGTTCTCTAGAATAAGGTCACTATTATTCTTATTGTAAAAGATAAAATAAATGGTGGCTATTTAATGATCAAAAGATTAAATAAGTAAACAATATTGATGTACTCTAACAATAAGCATATATTTTGTTTTATTAATAACTTTTATGATTATATATTTAAGTATTTAACATAATCCGTTTTTATTTTAATTATAATAATGAAAGTAATTGCAGTGACCTTAGTGTTATTGTTGGCAGGAAATGCCTTTGCTGGTGATCTTATTCATAAGTGAGTTCTATTTATATTAACAATAGATATCCAATTATTGGTAAGAGTAAGCCATCCTTGGTTAGCATTTTGACAGAATTAGAGAGTAAATTAACTACAGGTGGTTCTGTTGATACAGCAGTCAACTTTTTGGATAGCTTAAGAGCATCTATTGATTCAGAATAAATCAGACATGATTAATTATATACAGATTAAAGAAATCAATGCAGTGCTGAATTGGAATTAAGAACTAAAGATGTTAAAGATGCTGAATAAGTCTTGAATAGAGCAACTGAATAATATGAAAATTGTTCAACCTCAAAGAAGAAGGCAGATGCTGAATTAGATAACAATTTGGATAGTCAAAAAGTAATTAAATATATTTATCATATTAGGCAACTGATACAGATATTAAGATCTTAGATTCAATTAGATAAGCAGGTGCTTAAAATTATAATGCCAAGAAACAAGATCATATTGATGCCTTAAGATCAATCTAAGAAAGTTTGAAAATTTTAGATAGTTTCTAATCTGGAGGTGCTTCATTGGCTTAAATGTCAGAAATTTCTTTGAGAATGATTTAAGATGCAGTCAAATTAAAGACAACTAACATCATGAGTTAAATTTCAACAATCTTTGCTTAAATGCTCACATAAAATGGAGGGTATATATATTATTTTAACAATTTTATAGATATATTGAAGTTTTTGAAAGACTTAAATAACTTTTATAAAACTTAGAATAGAATTTATATACAAACTTATAAAAGATTTCTGAAGAAGAAGATTAATCCATTTAAGAATATGATGACAGAAGAGTTCATTTGGTTGAATATTACAATAATTTGAAGAGAACAGAAAATAAATTAAGAGATCATATTACTACTATGGATATCTGTTAAGATTAATAATCAGCTATTATTGATAGTGCAAGAGGAAAGAAAGTAAATATTATATTTAATATTTTAAGATTAGAAATGGTGAAATATTTGATAGTGCAACTAGAATGTGCAACGATTTTGCTTCTGAATATGAAAAGGCCACCTCTGTTAGAAAACAAGAGTTAGAATTAGTTGACAGAGTTAGATCTAAAATTATTGAAAGAGGATCATGATATCAAATTTATTACAATAATTCATACCTCTATCTTCAAATTATTTTTCTTTTTTTTAACTAATTATTCATTTAATTTAAATATAATTTTTATCAAATATCACTTCATAATTCTTTTTGTTTTATTTGTTTCTTTAATGACTTCAATTCTAACAATTAATCATCTAATCTTTTAGCTTCATTTTAATGAGTTTGATCCATCTTTGAAATCTATTCATATAATTAGTTATTATTACTAATGTATTCTATAATGAAATCAAAAATTAAGACAAATTCTAAATCTTTTATTCTTATAGATCTAAGCTTTACATTAATAAAATTAATCTAATTTAAATCTATTTAATTCATAATAATTATTAGGTTACTTTCTTATATTATCATTTATAAAGTATAAATTTTGATAGTTCTTCCTTCTAAATGGTGAAACAATCAATAATTTTTTATTAGAATTTAATTTATTTAATTAAATGGACAGATAACAATAGCAATAATAATAATAATTCCAATAGACACCTAAATAAAAATTAGATCCATAAGATAATAATCTACAAGTATCAATGAGGAAATCATTAAAAGCGTAAGTATTCATTGCCAAGATATTCCTAAAGAAATTTGGCAATGTAGAATTACATGCACTTGGAGAAGCATCTAAAAATAGTGTTAAAGTAGCTGATACTTTATCAAAACAAGGTATATTTATATATTTAATATTTAGGGATTGCAACAATAACCAAGATCAACTCATTCACTTTGGAAAATAATGAAAGAAAAAAAGTGAAACTTATAGTATCATTGACATTAACACCAGAGGGAAAGAAAAGAGTAGATCAAGAATTGAATTGATCCTATATGAGAATATTAAATTACATTTGCATTATTTACATTAAAATTAATATGTGAAAATCTGATCTTACTTTCATAATCTTTATTAATATGACTATCCACTATTTATTGTATATTATTATTAATTACATATCAATATATTTATATATATGTAGAGAATTAGATGATATATATATATTAAATAAGTATAATATATCAGATTCTTTTTTCAATAGAAATACCAAAATCTTTATCTTCAAATTTCTATAATATATATATAATTTAAGATATTCTATTAGATTTGTAAATATTATGATTTAAGTTTTATTGTTAGGATTGGTATTGATAAGAAAATTTGATTTTATTAATTATAGGAATGAAAATTAAATTTTTTTATTAATGATACTAATTTGGGTACTTTATATTCAAATAAGGATTATAATATGATTTGAATTACTTATATAAGAGATAGGGGTTAAGTATCTTATAAAACAAAATGGATAATTATAGATAAAAATTTATAATGATCAATAAAATAATCTTTAACTCTTTTATCTATTTTAAAATTCTTATTATAATTGAATTCTATTTGGAGATTTTCTCTGAGTTTGTATGGTTTTTTTAGTTTATGGAAAAATATTATCAAATTCTAATTTATTAATTTAAGATTTATTGTGCAATCTGAAATTAAAGAATACAGTACTTTTCTAGCTAATCAGAATTTCCAATGGAACCTGGAACTGTACTAGATTCCCTGATTTTCAATTTACTAAATTAGTAATTTAAAACTTTAGGTAACTAGACAGATTAATTAGTTTTTTGGGATGGACCTAGATCCATGACTGATGTAATTTATTTTTATAAAAAGAGTCTTTTTTATTTGATAATTTTGGAAGGTGGGAAATATGGTTATTTAAATTGATCTTCATTCAAATATACTATATTTTAAATAGGTTCTGATTTCTTTTCAGTTCTCTTTTTATGTAATATTACTTTATCTACTTTGAATTTAGGTAATATTCTATTAATATTGATTTCTTCATTAGATATTTAAGATTGTTAACAGAAATATTGAATTTATTCAACATTAGGTCTTAATTCAGAATCATAACACATCATCAATCTTAATAAATTATTCAAATTAAGACTATAATTTGGATTATATGTTATTTATATTCCCTTAAGTATTTTTTTATGTAAAATATCAACATTATTAGCTATGATAGGTGGATCCTTAAACATCATCTAATAAAGCATATAACCAGCCATCCATATATCTGATTTATGATCATAGATTTGAGATTTAATGAATTCTGGTGCTAATAAATAAATATCTTGATAGTTTTATTTATGTAAATAATATAATACATTCATCTCACCCAAAATAGTCTTTCCTTTACTTTAAAATAAATTTGACAATTATAATTTACCATGTACTCTTTTTGGATGAAATTATTGTAATGCAAATAGTAACTACATAGGACATGTTGGATACCTCTTAAATGATATTCCAAATGTCAACTTCTTTTAAAGGGTATTCGTATTATTTATCCAAATATTCACTAACTATGCTAATAATCTAATTTTTATCATTACCCTAAATAAGTCATATCATGATCAAAAGATGCCTCATAAAATTTAACTATATGAGGATTCTTATGATTAGATAATTTATTAATAATTTTGATGATCGATTGAATTCTATCTTTAGAAATTCCTTCAAGATTAAATATCCTAAGCATATAATTATATCCACTCCTTTTCACAATCACTGATTTTTTATAAGTGTTTTATCTCACAATGTTGACAACCTGAAATTGTGGAAATAACTGTTCTACACTTTTCATTAAATATAAATTTATAGAGCTCATTATACAATTATACTACTATAATAAAATTTTGAAAAACAATTCAAATCAAATAATATCTATGTAAATAATAATATATACAACATTCTCTTATTGTTCTTATCTAGAATAAGGAATATTATATGAATTTAATCCTTATATTGGATTATAAATTGAAAAAAATAATATAGAAAATCAGATCTTCTTAATTTGGTAATTAATATTATGGATTTACGACCAGCAATACGTAATTTGATTTCTGTTGTTTCTAACTTTATTACAGAACCAAAATTGAAAGCATAACTTGATTAACTCTATATGTTAACTATTAAACTTGATACTAATATGGAGGATATTGAAAGATAAATGATTAACTTAGGAAAAAATAATAAGACTCATCATAGAATTAATTCCTAACCTATTGTATTGACTTCACCTATACATAATAAAGTGTAATTAATGTCAGGAGTAAATGTACCTGCATTTTCAGGTGGAATATCTACTAAAGCAATCAGTTTTGGAAGTAGAATTCAATATGTAACTCCTAATAGAGAAAAAGAAGAAAAACAAAAAAATAAATCAGATAGGCAAATCTCTTTTAAATTTGAAACAACTAAACCATCAACCAACATTATCACAGAATTTAAGCTTATTGACAAATAAAATGTGGATATAAATCAAAAAATCAAATTATATTCTGAAATGCCCCAATCATATAATGTGGTTCCAGTTTTACAATCAGATTTAGAGACATATTCCTAAAATAAAATAACTTTGAAAAGTGTACCTATTAAATATGATAATTGTTCCTAAAAATATGAAGAAGAATTAATAGAGAAACAATATGATTAGAGTAAGATTTCAGGTAGAATGTTACATCATATTAATCAGAATATGAAGGAAATGAAAATAAACACATTTAAATTAATAAAAGTATTTGAGAATACACATGAGATAAAGACTCAATCATCATTATTAAATTGTAGTTAATTAGATACATCTTTCAATTCACCATTTAGAAAATAATAAAATGTAAGATGAATTTCTATACATATTTATAGCCTCTTTTTAATGGAATTCGCGGCAAAATTACAGATTAAGATTTAAATAATATATAATAAAATTTTTTAATGAAAAAGCTTATTGTCAAAGCTAAATAGAATGAATAAATTGAATTTGAAATACCAAATATGAATATATTTTATGTAACAAGTGTTTAAGGATGATATGATTATAATTAAATTAAAAATTATACATAATTAATCAATAAATCAATCACTAAAATCTAATTCTGGATTTTCTTCTTCATCTTTAATTACTTAAGGTTTTATAAAAGTTTATTACATAATTCTAATAGTATCCATTTCTAAAATAATAATAATTTATAATAAATACAGGATGTTTTTTTATTGAGAACAAAAGGCTTTTTAATTCCTATCATTTCATAATCAATCATTTTTTTAAATCCTGGTAATGAACTTTCTTTCATTTCAATATTTGGTAATAATTCTTCACTCATAACATCATCACTTTATAAATAATTATTAGTTTTTGATGTATGATTAGATTAATTTAAAGAGGATAATTAATCTATTTTACTACATGAATTATATTAAGGTATTTAGAGAAAAGGATTTCCAGATATATGTTATGGTTAAACATCTAATTATTTTTAATGTTCTGATGGTTCAGCTACATTTATAAGAAATGGTTTATTATCTAATTTTTTAGTACTTTTCTTCAACAATAAATCATGTTTATTAGGATCAAACTTTTAAAATTATATATTCATGATTTCATCTCTTCCTGAACTATTCATAATTGCAATAGTTTAATGTTTCTTCTTTTTACTAGAATATTCTGGGAGCTTTTCCCAATCATAGCCATAATTTAAATAATTAAGAGAGAGCTAAGACAATTCATCTTAGAAATAAGCTTTAAGTTATTTATAATTAGGTTATTATGTAAAGTCTAAAGTTTATATATCTTACATAAACTTAATAAAACATTTTGGTTATTTAGAGAAGAGTTATTCCAATTTCAAATTTTTTTTCATTTAATGAATTTTAGCATATTTAAGATTTTTCATTTCAATCTTAACATTCATCCATGGAAGATGCCCAGTAAGTAAATATAAAAATACATATCCTAAACTTTAGAGATCATCTCTTCTTCCTTATTCAAGAGATTCATGAGCATTAATACTTGCATATCTAGCAGTACCAATTAATCCTGGTTTTTTTATTAATTTGATATGTTCACCTTTTGAATTCTATTAATCAAATTTATTAATACAGCATATTTTTTTGATAACCCAAAATCAATTAAGTTTATTATTTTTGGACTGGTCATATTTTCTAGTACAAAATTATCTGGTTTAAGGTCTCTATGTAAATATTTGCAAGAATGGAGGACTTCAATTCTTTCAATCATCTAAATTTGACTGTGTAATAACTTAGATTGCCAATCGCAAAACAGTTTAAAGTGAAAACGAACCCCCGCATTTTCTAATCACCGATTCCAAATTTTTCCCTAAGATATTCATCACACAAAATGTAAATCTCTTTTCTTTCCCATAAAACTTTATCTCTGGGAATCCAACTTTTTTTCTTAAAATTTTTATTAAATCTCATTCTTACCTTAAATCAATTAAAACCTTTATTTCCTTTTCTAACAAATTGCATTCTTAATTAGCAAATTCAACTTTCATAGCATATGGAGTATTGCCATATTTTTAATCAATCACTTTATAAACTTAGCCAAAAGAACCGTACCCAATCTTCGAATGAATCTCAAATCTACCCTGAATAATGTCTCCTATCTAGATACTTATTTTTTACAAACTTACTATTAGTGAATCTTCTTCTTCACTATCGGATTAAAACATAAATAAATTTATGACGTTTCATTGGGCCAACATACCTTTTTAATGGACATCTTACTCACTTAGATATCATAATGACATGTTATGGTACGCACTAATCTTCAATTATTTTTAGGTACATTTGGAGTCTAATATAAATGTTTCCCATATTTCTTATAGCATTCTATCAATTATACAAACATTTAAAAATCCCTAATTACTACTATTAAATCAACAAACATTCATTTGATTAAAGGATAGTCCAATTTTTTGTATTTCTTAATTTTACATTTAGGCAATCCCAATCCCAATTTATTATTTTATAGATCTTACCATTTCTATTATTGAAGGTTCATTTTTTGAACCATGTAGATTTTGTTTATGGTATCACCATATGGTACAAAAATATTAAATAACAATTAGATTTCTATGATTGTTGTAACTACTATCATAATAAGAAAAGAATATGAATGGTAGGATACTATGATTATGGCAACTCACACGCTTTTAATGAAATATCCATTCATTTTTGTGTTAAATATAATATATGTTGCATTGGTGTTTTATTATAATATATTATTGTATTTAAGGTAACGTATTACGAATATTATAGTCCATTAAAAGAAAAGTGGATCAATAGGTTCTTGGGTAAATTCTTTCCATTTATTTACTATAGTTTTATTATAGCTTTGATCTATGATTGTACTAATGCATTACCATTTTTGTATTGATAAACAATTCAACAACATCTTTTGATAATATTTAACAATTCATTATTATTTGAATTAAGTAAAATTTAATAGCAATTATAAATATTATCCTTTTTTATTAGAAAAATAATATAAATTATTTAGAATTTTAAACATTATCATTATCATTTCAATTTAATTTTTATATATACAATCTAATATTGATTAGAATTTTTTAATCACAAGTTTCAATTTAAAAAGACAATTTTTGTTGTTATAACTCTAAAGAAATATAAAAATAAATATAATATATTATAATCTTATACTATAATTATTTTAAGTATCAGAAGACAATGACATGAAATATTTATTAAAATAATTAATTTTGTAATTATTGACTAATTTTGTATTTAAAAAGAATATCATCTTCCAGACCAAGAGGCAACTTATTTCTTGAACATGATGATTACTTCATCCAAGATGGCATTCTCTTCTTATCTCTTGGCTTTGGCTTCAGCATAATCAGCTCTCTTTGCTTCCAAATCAGATTGTGCTTAATCTAAAGCATCTTAAGATTCTTATAAGATGATCTTTGATTTGGCTTATTGTGCTAAAGCAGCTTGGATTTACTAGAATTAATTAATTAATAAAATATTACAGTGGCAGTTCTATCAGCAAAGACTTATTTTCTTTCATATTCAACTTCCAATGAGGAAATTTCAGCTTCAGATAATGAAACCCATCCAGCTAATTCCCATGAGGCATTGATTTCATTTTATTTCAAATTTTCTAATGAGGCAGCTAATTCAGATTCTAATCCTTCAAGAACACCCAAAACTCTTTCAGCTAATGTTTATCCATGTCCAGATGATTCTGATGCCTAAAGAATATTATATATATAATTACTTATTCTTCTTATGCAAGTGCTAAGAATGATTTGATTTAGTGTTCTTAGAATAAGTTGCTATATTACTTCAATTTTTCAGCAACTGATTAGGCTTTAACTTATGTGAATTCAAAAGAGTCTCCATTAATAATATATCCAGCAACATCTTATTTGAGGAGTCTAATGACTTCCAAAGCTTCTTAATTATGTTTGATTGATTTAACAAATAATTAGTTGGAGAAACATTAATTATCTTAGAGTGTTTCAATTTTAGCAGCAATAGAGTCTCTTCTAGCTTCATTCCATGCCAAATAGTTTTTGGTTTATTAAAGTACGTTTTCATATTCAGCTCTATTTTCAATAGCCTATTGGAACAATTTTTGATTAAGAGTCTTAATTTTAGTGAATTATTCAATGGTTTAAGCACCAACCCATTCATCTGTTTCGTTCTTTTGGTCAGCAGCAAATTAAGCATCGATGTTAGATTATTTTAAATCATTTAGTAATCCAAAGACTGTGTCAATGGCATCACTGGCCTTTGTTCCTGTTTATAGGAGAGCTAAAATTTAATCTTTAGTGCTTGTGGCATTTGAAACAATAGCCAATGCAAGAATAATAGCAATAATTCCTTTCATTTATTTATTAACTAAAAAACGATACATCTCAAAAACGATTTAATTTCATTTAATATTTATATTTGATATGATGATAATTGTATATGATTGTTACTAGTGTTTAAATAAGAACAAATACATTACTTAAATTGAAGAATGAAGCATAATTTATAATATATTTAGACAATATATTAAACAATGATTTAAAAGTGGATGTAGTATTTTGTTATGAGAGCAATACAAAATTAATATTATTCATATCTTTAAATTAATGATAACAAGAATAACAAACACTGCAAGATTGGGTATTAAGAATCTTTATTAATTGAATCACATAAAAAGTTTCCATAATGCAACAATAGCTCATAAAGCATAAGTTATGAATGATGAATCATAATATGTAGTAAAAACAGATCGAATTTATAAACCAACTTATACAATTGAGTTTGATAGAATAGGAGAAGTGTTGCTGTACATCAATTAATTATATTTAGCTATTCATGTGATCCCCATAAGCATCTTACAATATTCTTAAAATATCCATATGTTCTTTATGAGACAGCGATTCCTTTATCAATTTATCTTTGGTTTAAAAACCCATTAGATATTGCATGGTATTGGAATAATCTATTTATATATGCACCATCATTTTTATGGATTCCTAGAATGTGGTAATAGAAAACTCTTATTAAATTAGGTATTGGAGATCATTATAATTTAAAATTCATAGACTTTCATTGTTAAGAGGTGGAAAAGTACTTAAGATAGAGACAACAACTCTTGCTAATGATAAAAATGTATATTGGGTTGAAACCTATTAATTCCACCCATTAACAGCAGATTTCAAATAATTCGATGATAGAGATAATGCTGACTATTTAACAGAAGAAGGTTAATTAAAATATGAATTAGCATGTTAACTTGATCATATTCAAGAATTAGGTACAACAGTATAAGATGAAGTAATATATTTTATGAAAGTATATGAATAATTAATTATAAATAGGAAGGAATAGTACATCATCCAGAATTATTTGAAGCAGCAACAAAAGGATATGTAATAGATACTTCTAACTTTGTAATAAACACAGCTCATAATATAAGAGCTTTCGAAGGCCATCACAATTAATGAAGAATGGTTATCATCATAATAATCGATATCAAAAGAATATTTATTTAAATAAACATGTACAATTAACCAAATAGATCAACTAAATTACCAATTTCCTGTACTATCCAATTATTCTAAATCAATTCCATCTCCATATCCAATATATCCTAAATCTGTAAATGATCTGTCAATAACTCTATGATCAACATATTTACCATCCTACTTTTTAAATTTATCCTATTAAGGAGTCTAAGAATTAGAACCATTATATGATCTAGTTGAAGCCTAAAAATAATAATAATTTATATACTCTTCTATAATTTGATAATAAAGTTGGTTAAATACCATCAACACCCTAATCTAATTATTCAACTTCTTCATTCACTCTCTTTTATTTAGTATATTTCTTATATTCATCTTCATTCATTTTATGTCCTATTCCATTATCTGTTTTTTATTATAACCAACCAGAACTAGGTATTAAATCTCGAAAATTCTAAAATTAAAATATCTAATCGATATATTTCTTAAGTAAACATCTCCTTTATTATGGATCTAAATTATTTTGACATAATTCTCTCTTTAACACTTCTTGAGCTGTTGTTCTATATTCTGGTAATTAATGTAACATGGGCATCATGAATGAAGCAAATGATAAGGCTTCTTCTTATTTAAATCTATATTTCTCAGTCAAAACATTATGTAAATTCCAAAAATGTAATTGTGGTATCCTTTTCATTTATCCATTCTATTAAAAATATCTCTATTTAATAAAAATAATTTTATACTTTTGCTTTCGCTCCTCTAGTACTATATTCATATGGGAATTTTCCTAATAATTCTTGAATCTATGCTAAATGATCTTCATTCTTAGAAAAATTTGGTCCTTATCTAGGTTCAAATAAATAATCTCCTGTAAGCATTTCAAAAATCATGCAAGCAAAACTCCATATATCAGCAGTAGGATTGTATTTTATTCCCAATAATACTTCAGGTGATCTATATTATCTAGTTTAAATTAATGTTGAAAAATGATGATGAATCCAACAAGCATTTCCTAAATCAGCTATTTTCAAACGAAAATTATCTGGCAATTTCTTTTATTAAGTAAAAGATATTCTAATAAAATATATAAATTTATTACTTCTTTTATTATTAAAATAATTCCTTAATAGATTTTGGCATTTCAATTTAATCAACTTAAACTTCTTAAGATTCTTTTCTTGATTCTTCATGTTATTATTTATGTTTCTTTTTTCTTAATAATTTTCTCTTTTGAGTTTTAGATAAATTTGTTGTATTTTCACTTAATTCATCATCTTCTTTTTTTGCAATAGGCTCTTAAACAATTGGTTTCTCAATTCCCAACATTTATCTATAAATATGAATTCTATCTGAAAATAATTAATTTGAAGTCAACTATCCATTTTCAACTATATCTTTAATCTCTTCATCTGATAAACATAATAAAACATTTTCAGGTTTCAAATCTGTATGAATTACTCCACATATTCGATGAAGATAATCTAATCCTATTAAAATTTATTTGGCCATTCTTCTAGTAATATCCATTGGACACTAAGATAAAATTAATTCATTACTCCTTTGTATTCATATCGTTTAATGATTTCTAGTAAATTAACTCCCAAAATCTCAAAAACCATACAGAAATGATGACCATATGGTCCTTTATATACAAATGAATTTAACAATTAAACTGTGTGAGTGTCATCTCTATTGAAAGATGTCCTTCCTTACTATTAATTTATATACTATCATCTTACATCTGCATAATACTCTTTCAAAGATTGAATCCAAACAGGATTTTGAACATTCTAAGCTACTTTTTGAAGAATTTCAACCTAATTGTTAAAATAATTAATGTACTTCATCATATGCCGCTTCCAAATAATGAGAAGCACTCTTTTGAATTTTCAATGCTACATATGTATCATATTTGAAATCTTTTGCCAACCAGACAGTAGAGAAGTGTCCCCAACCTAATTTTTAAATAATCACATATCGATTAAGTAAAATCTCACCAATATGAACTGGATGATAACCTAAAATTATATTTAATCATAGTAACCTCCAATTTTATAATCTTCCATGCCCTCATCCTCACTGTCATGTTCTCTATCAAGATGTTCCATCAATTCTCCTATTTATTCATTTCTGAAAAATATAATAATCATAGACATACATTGCCTTTTCAAATTTAATAGGTTCCTCTTACTATTTCTCTTAATTCATTCGTTGAATATAAGTTAAATAAAAATAATCAAAAATAGATATATATACACACAATTATAAAATAATATAAATGAATACCTCTAAAAGTATATTTGATCAACCACTCAATAATTCAATTTCAAAATAAAGATACACCTTTTCCAAAGCAGCTCGTGAAACCTATTCAACTAAATTAATGTAAATTCTTTATTCTAACCTAGTAATGGATCTATGTATAACCTTCCAGATAGTTTAAGCAAGAGAATGGCTGGCATTGGTTATGGATAAAAGTAAATTTATTCCAAATACATTCTAGACATGATTTTACTAAACATGTTAAATAAGTTCCTGCTCCAAATAAATATGATATCAAGAGTTTCGCAGAATTGAACATGGAAGAAAAGAAAGGAATCCAATTTGCTTTAGGTAGAGATGATACTTGGCTTCAAGGGATTTGGGCAACTCTTACTTAATCTACTCCTCCACCAGATCGTTATCAAATACCAAGCACAGTTACAAGAAGATAAAAGTTTACATTTGGTTAAAGAACATAATCCCTATAGAAGTTTAACACTCCAGGTATATTATTAAATTTATTAAAAAAGGTCCTGGTAATTATGAATATGTATAAGCCATATCATCAAAAGGAGTTTATCCACTATCTAAGTTTCAAAACTCAGGAGCTTGCATAATTGGAAAAGATTAAGAGAGGTTCAAAACTTTAGGAGGTAAATTATGAAGATTTAAATAAGTGAATGATTATCCTGAACCAGGACGTTACTCACTCGAAAATATTGGTATTAATTAATAAGGAATATACCCAAAGAATGGAATGAGATCTGCTGTGTAATAGACTTTTAGTAAGTCTACAAGGAAAGGACCATATGAAATAAATAAAGTTACTCCTGGTCCAGGAAGATATAAAATGTTTTCAGAATTTGATTAATGAATATAAGTATTCAAAATGTATCTAATCTTTTTTGTTATGGTCTAAAAGTATCTACAGTTCTAGCTGTGTTTGGAATTTCTTATTATTATAATTAATGTTCAGTCTTAATGGAACTGATCAATTATTTTAATTCAAAATTCATCTTTTTCAATTCTATTCTTATACACTCCTTCAAAAGATACAAAAATTTGATTAAATGATTAAAATCCAAAAAATCATCATAATCTACTTTGTACTGATCCTATAATTGGCAATACCTCCATAAAAAATGATCTTCTACCCACCATACATCTATTGGTGTCAACTCTCCCATTTCAAGAGATTTAAAACATAATAAGACTTCGATGGTGGTCTTATATATCTTATTATAAAAGTGTTACAATCAATATCATTTTCCCCAGGTTTGTATTAAAGTCATTCATTTTCTTAAATGATTAGTTGTATACATAATTAAAATGATCAAGTAAATTGTCTTATTCATTATTCCTAATCTTTCGAGAATTTAAAAAGTATACGATTTCTTCAATGAGATTTTTACTTAATCCTCTAGAAATTATTTTTTATCTCTCTAATTTTGTAATTACCAAACTATCAATGTCAGGATGTTGTTGCATTGGAATACTGTAAAAATATCCTACTAATTTTGTTAATGTTCTTTCATTTCCTTTAACATTCTGAATATTCTATCCTTAACTACAAGTACCCATTTATTTATATTATTTATAATAACTTATGGGCTCTTGCTCTGGTAAACGTTCTTAAAATAATTCTGCTTCTAAGAACTCTAGTAATAAACCTGAAACAGATAATTCTTCACCATAAAAACTTTAACTTAATGATGGTATATCTGATTTTTAACATATAATAGCATAATCTTGTCTTGGTAATTTAATCATCACAAGTGAAAAGCTAGGACGAATAACAAAAGATTATACACTTTTGAATCCACCTTTGGGTAGTGGTATATAATATATTAAATATCTTTTAGGAGCATATGGTGAAGTAAGGAAAGCAATCTAAAAGAGCACAAATTTGATGAAAGCAGTTAAAATTATTCATAAATCTTAAACAAGTAAAGAAGAATAAGAGAGATTGATGAATGAAGTTAAAATGCTTTAAAAATTAGTAATCATTAAAAACTATTAAAGGATCATCCAAATATAATTAAAGTTTTTGAATTTTATTAAGATGAAAGATTCTTTTATATAGTAACAGAACTATGTACTGGAGGAGAACTCTTTGATAAAATTAGACATGAGGGTAGTTTCTCAGAAAAGAAAGCTGCTGAAATTATGAAATAAATATTATCTGCTATTAATTATTGTCATGATGAAAAGATTGTACATAGGTAAATCTAATGTAAATATCTTAATTTAGAGATTTGAAACCAGAAAATTTACTATATGAATCTGAAAAAGAAAATTCTATGCTCAAAATTATAGATTTTGGTACTTCAAAAGAATTTGTTCCTAATTAAAAATTAAATTAGAAATTAGGCACACCCTATTATATTGCACCTGAAGTTCTAAAAAAGAAATATGATGAAAAATGTGATATTTGGTCATGTGGAGTAATCCTCTATATTTTGTTATGTGGGTAAACACAATTATAACTTTGAGATACCCTCCATTTGATGGTAAAACTGAAGAAAAAATAATGGAAAAAGTATCAAAAGGTGTTTATACATTTGATACTATAGAATGGGAAGAAGTTTCAAAAGAGGCCAAAGAGTATATTCGAAAAATGTTACAATTTGATCCTAGTATTTATTTAATTTAATTATTTTAAAGTTAAGAGATATAGTGCTTAATAAGCTTTAAATGATCCATGGATTAAAAGATTTACAAATCCTGCTGAATTTGATAAACCTTTAATGACAAAAGTGTTAACAAATATGAGATAGTTTACAGAATAATAAAAATTATAAGAAGCTGTTTTTAAATTTATTGTGAATCAATTAGCTACAAAAGAAGAAAAGGCTGAATTATTAAAGATTTTTTAATGTTTAGATACAAATTAAGATGGAAAATTGAGTAAAGAAGAATTATTAGTGGGATATTCAAAGATTATGAAACCAATTGAAGCTGTAGAAGAAGTTAACCGTATATTTTAATAAGTTGATAAAAATAATTCAGGTTCAATTGATTATACAGGTATATACGTATTTTATTAAATTTTAGAGTTTGTAATTGCAACAATAGATAGATAATAATTATTATCAAAATAAAGATTATAAGTTACTTTTCATATGTTTGATAAAGTAAATGATAAAATAATTTAGGATAAAAGTGGAAGTATAACTATAGATGAATTGAAAGAGATATTTAGTGGGATTCCAGAAGAAATGTGGAAATAAGTAGTATAAGAATTTGATTCTAATTCTGATGGTTAAATTTCATTGGATGAATTCTTTACAATGATGAAGAAAATCGATTGATTATTTGGACATACTCATATCGTTATATTTTTCGATAATTTTAATTAAATAATAATTAGTCTTGTTTCATAAATTACTATGATTCTAATTTAAACAAATTTAAGAACATTTAATTTTTAAATTATTCTTGGGAAATGTCAGACCTTAAGTTTAACTTTTAACAAAAAGTTTCATAATCCCTTTAAGCAGACATCAACTATTCTCTGAATTAACACTTCATTTTTTTGAAGGTTAAATATATAATAGAAATAAATGGTACAATCTAACCATTTTATAACTATAGCATTGTCTTTAATGATCTTTAAATTGCACTTATTTAAATAATCAACAAGCATAAGAATAGAGTTACATTAGTTAATAGAACTTAAAAAAATATGAAATTCGTTTCATGATTCAAAATAGAATCAAAAAATGCTAGAGATGTATTTATATAATTCTAATATTAGTTTTCATTGAATATGCTTATATTGTTTAATTTTATTGGATTGAATAACATTATTAATGAACAAACAAAATCTCCAGCATCATAATTTAAAAGATGTAACATCTATTAATTTTAGATTACAAACAAATTAAAGTAGTAGGAAATAGTATGATTATTCTATTTATATAGGATTTTTCAATAAATAAGCTTATTTGGATAATAGTTATTTTATTCATAAAATTTGCCTGTTAAAACAATGATTCTATATAATAAATATAGGAAAGATAATTAATTTTATTGAAAGTAGAAGTTCTATATACATTATTAATTAAGAAAGGAATATAAACTTGAAAATTGAATAAGAATTGTGTCTATGTATATAATAATTTAAAAATCATTGTATAGCAATTTTGATAAAATTCCTTTTTGATATGTCTTTAGATACATAATATTGAATACTATAGGTTGGAAATGAATTTGAAATTGATTATTAACCCAATAAGTAAAAATTTGATATACTTTGAAATTTTAGCTTTATAAAAAGTATATAAAGTGTAAAATAATTAATTATTAAGTGAATGGAATTAATTATGTTAGATACAAACAACATTTTAGAGGTTGAATTATTGATTGAGATGTATTGAATGACTTATTAATAAATTAGATAATCAAAAGAAATTATATATATGTAAATAATGAAATAAATCTTAATTCAAATTTGTTAAGTATTAATTTAAATTTTATATAAATATAATAATAATAAAGATTCTAATCTCATGACTAAATCTGAAAATTAAGAGGTGTAAGAAAAATCAAGTAGAAAGTACCAAAAAATCAATAAGGAAGAAAGAAAACTAGTTTTAAAGCTACTTTTGCATGACAAGCTCTCATTATAAGAGGTATCAAATTAATACCAAATTTTTGCTTATGTCTTATCCATATATATATGATATCTTAATCATTAATCCTATTAGGTAGCAAATAGGTTGAAGCTAAAATATTGTACTGTACGAACAATACAAAAAGCTTATGAGAAAGAAGGTAGGATAGGTAAGAAGGAAACTAGAAAGAAGAAGCTCAAGGTTGAGAATATCTTGAAGATTTCAATTATGAATCCTCTAACTTTCTAATTGTCTTAGCCTATTGTATCATCAGAAGTTAGTCAGGTATTTAAAAATAAATTTATGTAGATATATATTGACAAACAACCTTCAAATCAAGATTAAGCTAATTTGATCTAAGAATAACGTTCCCTTCTTCAATAACATTGTTAAAAACTATTTTCTATATTAACAAACTAATATTAGAAGGCTGCAGAAACATCGAATCCATTTTATTACACAACAATTTAAAATTTATTTTTAGCATCACAACTAATATTTAAGCAACTTCTGGAAGTTAAATAGTAAATCAATGTAAAATAAGAATATGAACCTGTGTCTCCAACAATAACATAATACCCACTTCAAATTCAACAACATTTTTACTAAAGACCATATACTATGATGTTGCCACGAGTTAATTCTTGATTATTAATGTTAATTGCTATTGAATATCAAAAAAAAGAAAAAATATTATTATTTTTATTTAATTAGTTGTAACAACAATTTAAATTTATAATTATTTTCTCTCTTTTTTCAATGAATTTCTTCTCTAACATAAGATTAGAGCTTAAATACTAACATATTCTAAAAGTGATGTATAATTACCACAAATTAAAACTATAGTCATTCTGATTTCTTATTCATGATTTATTAAAATTAATTACTTTAATTAAATCATTCATTCTCTCATAAATTTCATTCAAAAATTTTCATCAAATAATCTCGATTGATTATTCAAAATTCATTAAATTTCATACACTTAAACATAATGGAACACCATTGGTTGTCATTTGTAATGACAATCATACTTGATCTTATATAATTATACTTTTTTCATTCTATTAGTTGTTTAATCTATATTATTGAAATTAAAACATAATTATTACTTCAACTATACCTTATTTTACAATTGTTTTCTCATTTTCTACAGGTAGTATCTAAAAAGCTTTTATTTCTATTATTGCTTAAAGAATTTTTTACTTTCTATCTAATTTCTCTCTTTTAAATTTCCTGATATTTTTCCAATTTCTTTCCCTATCAATAATCACAAGTATTACTAATACATAAACTTTAAATGTTGTAATAAAGAGTTATTATACAACATCATATAACCAGTATGTAATTCTGTATTTGTATTTTAAATAAATTAAGAATAATTCATCTTAAAATAGACATAGTACATTTTGATTGTGATTTTATCATTCATCTGCCATAAATAAGATAATATTAAATTTCACAATTTTACTGAACATTTATCACAACAAAATATAAAATAATGAATTCAGAGTTCTCAAATTATTTAATAAAATTCTCACTCCATTGTATTTTATTTTAAATATACTAAAGTAATAGTACATTTTTTTATTTTATATACCTAAGCATGTATTTAATAATAGATATAAGAAAATTTAAACATTTCAAAAGTGCATACTCTTTATATTATTTATTGATATATTTAATTTATATGATAGGTTGATTCATAAACTAAGACTCTCAAACAATGATAGTTCCTAGTTATTTTAAATTGAATATTTATGATTATCGAATTACTTTATAAAAATCTCTATCTGAATAAAATAGAGGATTATATTTAATTATAAAGTCTTATTAAGTAAAATAACCTATAATGAATTCACTTCTATAGTATTCTTTTTATATTTAAAAATGTTAGAGTAAAATTAAATTTCAATAATAAGCAAATTATTAGAATGTATAAGAAAATAATAGTAATACTTAGTTTATTTCATAGAATATTGATTATATATTGATTATTAGATTATTATTTTAGATTAGAACATGTATTTAATGATTTTTATAATTTATAAATGTTTTCTAATTAAATGAAATAATTTGTTTATAAAAATAATTAAATTAATTATAATATAAGTATTATTATTCTATAATCAAATAATATCATCAATAATTTCATCAATTTTATTATAATTAACGAGAAGTATACTTTGAATAATTTGATTCGGTAAGTAAGCTTTTTATACTTCTATGAGTCAATTTCTTATAAATTCTATCAGTATTATATTGATTCGAAATCTTTTGGCAATTTGAAAAATTGTTCTTAAGTAATAAAGGAGGAATATATGGTTTATTTTTGGAAAGGATAAGATTATTTTCTTTGTTTAGATTTTAGATAGAAGAATTATTAGAGTTTCCAAAAAGAGTTAATCTTTTATGACAATATGGGTAAAAGAAATCCTTTTTATTTAGATAAATTAAACTAAAATTTTAGTATTTTTTAAGTGTTTATTGTAAGGGTTATAGGCATGGATTTAAGTAATATTATGAGGTAGATTTTAATTTGATTGTTTGTTTTTATGAATGATTATTGATAGTAATAGATGATTAACATCGTTTCATAATAATATTTTAATTGTTTATTTAATAAATAAACAAAGCTTAAGATGATAATTTTGATTATGATTATGCATAATATTGCATTTTCTGATTGTAGGATTCAACATCCAAAAAAGCATATTGGAATAGTTCGGAAACCAATTTCAATTTTATAATTGATATAAGAACCTCTAATAGGATAAGAAAGGGTTAACTAATTTTAGATAGAAAGATTAGAGTTTGATTCTAATTTAGTTTTGTAACAAGAATTAATTGAGGAAGATGTATCTGAATTTCCAAAATAAAATTACACAATTCCAAAGTTTGAAAAGTCGATTGAGTAAAAGCAAAGTGCATATAAGTAAGAGTTCCAGAAAGTAAAATAATTATTGATAAAACTACATTATAAAGAAGTGTTATTATGCTTGTTTATAGTATCGGTTTTTTCATCATTTATTTGGTGCATTATAAAATTATGTATTTTATTCCGACCATAAAAACATTCAGAGAATGAAGAAGTATTTGCATAATGTTTATCTAAAGTTAGGAATAAAAATTATAAGGAGTAGATTATTCTATATTAAATTCTAAGACTATAAGTGATGATGAATAATTAAATCAAAGTACATAGATAAAATATAAAATAACTGACATGACACCATAAATACGAAATCCATATGATGAAAGTTTTGTTAAAGCATCAATGAAAGCAACTACAAGAGGATCAGCATGTGATTAAAGTTTATTAGAAATAGATGAGTTGTTATAAGAAATGCTTAAATGAAAATAAATACACATACAATTCTTATTATATATATATATATATTAATACTTTTAATATTAAATATATTATAAAAAAGATAGAAATAATATGCAATAAACAGACATTCCAATTATCTAATATTAAAAAGTTAATAAACCATTTGTAAATTAATAAGGAGAAGAATTTGATTACATTATGGAAGACAAGATAAATATTAATTTTAAGTGTTGTAAATTCTCATTTACTATTTGTTCTATTTTCTAAGCAATATTTGGTATTTATTTAATATTATTTTATAGCCTTGGCATTAATAGTATTTATGATAAATACTTTTTTGTTAGTAATACTAAAATGAAAAAATTATAATCATTTATTATTTTTTAAAGTTGATTTTTTTGTAAACAATTAATCTTTAACACATTATTATTTTGTTTATTATAATGGGGATTTATCAATTTAATCTAATTTATTTTGAGTATTAGTTTATGATCTTTCTCTAAAATAAATTCCACTAGATTTCAAAGATACTGTATTATTAAATGTTTTATTATACTATTTAAGACTAAAATTTGATTTCTATTGAGAACTACTTAATTATCTAATAGGATTGCCTACAGGTACAGATAATCGATGAGGTTAACATGATTAAATAGTTCTGCTCTTACTTCCTGAAGAAGCAGTGGTTGGACTTCTTGATCTTATCTTATTAATTTAACAAGATTATTTAATTTCATTAGGAATAGTATTTAGTTTTTCTTTCTTTATTAATTCTTATATAATAATTTCAGAGTCTTGTTCTATAAGATTTGAATTTTTAATAGGACTTAAGGGAGGTTCATTTTAAAATTTAGAAGTTAATTAAGAGTCTTCATGCAAAGATTAATTGAAGAATTAATTAGTATAATATCGAAGAAGTGATTTAACAATTTTTAATAGATTGTTTGATCTTTGAGATAGTTTTTAATTATGAACATCTTATAATAAGACTTAAGTTTGTAATATTTTGAACTCTGATATGTAATATTTTTTAAAATTTTATAACATTTGAATGAATTTTGATGTGTGTCCAATAGTTCTTTAGATAGTTGCCCAATCTTTTATATTTTTAGGAATCCAATTTTCAGATTCTTGGAAAATAGTTAACAATGCTTTGAATAGAATTATTACATTGTTTTCTTGTTTATTCTATAGTATTAATGTCTAAAGTAAATAATATAAAATATATACATTAAGAAGTTTAAAATTAATATAAGAAAGAGATTAAAGAACTTCTTTCTCATTAATAATATCATCTTCAGAGATTTTCTTTGTAATAGGTGATATAAGTTTCTCTTATTCATTCATTTCTAATAAATATTTTATTATTAAATAATTTTTATATATGAATAAATCATTGGGACCTAATTTGAAATATCTATAGAAGATAGAAGAATAAGAGAAAATGATTGAGTTCCTGAAAATAAAATATAAAGAAACTACTGGTTTTGAAGCACCTTTATTATAAACATAAAATGAAGTAGTTACATAATAAAAAATAAATCCTCATTCAATTACATTACCATAAGCTAAATCAATAATATTTACATAATAAAAAGAAGAAGAAAAATAATTAGAATAATTTTAAACATTTTATGATGCTGTTAGTAGTTTAAAATTACCTACAAAATTATTACCATAAAAAACAAGACCTAAAAATAATCTAAAAACTAATATTGATTTTAAAAATCATTATCATTTAATTGAAGTATATATTAATTATTTTATATAAAATAGATAATTGATTTAAGTAATTTTGGTAATAAGAAATTCAATAGATTAGCATTTAAAGAATTTTTAGAATAGATATAAGATATGAGAACATTACATACATTAAAATTAAGAAATAATGGAATTGATGATTCATATACAGATGAATTAAAATTTATTGTTTCTAATACTCATATAAAAAGTTTGGATTTAAGTCATAATGAATTAGGACCAAAAGGAATGGAAATATTTTTGAGCAGTATAAAAGAAGTTAATTATTTTAAATCATTTGAGTAATACAAATTACTATGATTAGTTTTTCAAGGAATAATTTCTCTCATAGTCTAATAACATTAAATTAATTATATAGTGCATTAACATAATAGACTGATTTATATCATATTTGTTTAGATGCATTTAAATCTGGTCAGTCAGATTATAAAGGTGCTGATGTGTTAATTAAATTGGTTATAAATTAAAAATCATTAAGAAGTGTAATCATACAAGATTCCATTATTTAAGATTTATAAAAATTAAGTTAATCTCTATCATCTTTATAATGTCATTTAACTGAATTAACTTTAAAATATTGTTTTTTAACATCTGAACATATAAATATATTGGCATAAGGATTGGCAAATAATTAATCTTTAATATATTTAAATCTATAACATAATGGTTTAAATGATTTATCAGGAAAATACATTGCTTAAATGATATAAACTAATTATTATTTATATTAAATAGATCTAGAACATAATCAATTAGGAAATGATTTTATTTAATTGATTAGTTTAGCATTAAAGAGAAATAATGTATTAAATTCATTAAAATTGGGTTATAATTCAATATCTGAAATTAAACCATTATTGAATGTAATTGGACCTGAAAATACAACATTAAGTGATTTAGGAAATATTCAATAGAACCCTTTATTGTTGGCTCAAGTTGAATTATTATAAAAGAGATTTAAAGGATCAAAAGATTCAACATCAAATTATATAATATTGAAACCAATCAATTTCACATAAATTTTACATAGAAAACAAGAAAATTACAGAGTTTGGAATATTTGATTGAATTTTTTGATAATATATTAATAATTAATAAGATGGTATTCGAATATATTCTAGATATTCCTCCACTTACTAGAATCATAGTTATAAGTAGTATAATATTGAGTTATGCAACATATGTTTAATATCTTAAACCTTCCAATCTTTACTTAAATTATAAACTAGCATTTATAGAATCATTTTAGGTATTTAAATTAATTATCATAGCCATGGAGAACATTGACTAGTATATTATATTTTGGAGAATTAGATTTAATAACAATCTTAAGATTATTCTTTTTGTAAAATAAATTGTAAATCTATTTAGTTAATCTATCTCATCATCATTAGAATAACATACTTTTCCAGGTTTTGCAAATTACTTATATTATTTGTTATTGAATTTTATAACAATTACTTCAATAGGACTTTTGTTAAATGAGCATTCTCTAACTGAATATTTTGTAGAAGCACTTATGTATGTTTGGGGAAGACAAAATTAAGAAAGACCATTATTATGTAAAAATAAACCTTAAATATTAAGTTATGTTCATAATACCTATCAAAGCATAATATATGGTCTGGTTTTTCATATTGATCAATATTATAACAGGTAGATCTATATAATCTAATTTAATTGGTGCATTTATTGGTCATACATATTATTACTTTGCCTATATAGTTCCTAAATTACCTTACTTTAAAGGAATACACCTTTTAAGTACTCCTAAATTTTTGTAATTATTACAAATCATATTATTATTTAGAGTTAAATTGTGTAGAAATTTAAATAGATAAAATATTATAAATTAAGAAGAAGGTTAACCATTTATATTTTGATATTATTATTAATATATTCATTATCTTTTAGATATATTATTGAATTACAATATTTAGTCTATTCCTTTTAATTCATTTTATAATTCTTCAAATCTATAATCTTCTATAATTTTTAATTATTCATCATCATCTTCTACATCATCCCATTAATTATATTAAATTGATGAACATAACGATTAATAACTATATATATATAATTATTACGTTTCAATATAATTTTCATTTTTCTTCTTTGTAATTTTCTTTATTATTCTGTCTACTTCATCAAGCATCCATTTTTCAACTTTAAATGGTGATTTTAACAATGTTTCTCTAAATAACCAATTACCATCATCTATAGAATAGGTTTCAGCTAAAGATTTGTTATTAATTTCAAAATCTAAATGTATACAATTAGGAAATTCATTTCTAATTGCACTTTCTATTTTTTATATCTATATTATTATTTTTCTACTTATACTTATATATGTAAACTAGCAAGAACATATTCTTATATTTCTCTTAATAATTCTGATAGATATTCCTCTCTATCTCTATAAGATTCACTATAAATAACTTTATCAAATCTCTCTAGATATTTAGATTCAGTATCTTAATTTATTTACTATAAATTTAATCAATATATTAAAAAATACTTTAATATTAAATGTGATTTCAGCTGAAAATCTAAATTTTCTACTACCTAACATCACAGCCTTTTCATTCTAAATCTTTTCAACATATTAATTTTGCTTAATAATTTCTAATATTTTCTTAACTTCCATATCACTTATAGATTATTCACCCATTAACGAACTTAAATTTTAAGCACTCAAATGATAAGCTAATTATCTTAAAAATATATTAATGATTTAATAATACAATTAAATTAAACCAATTGCCAATGATCCTACAATTTCAAATGCATGTGTTGGATATATTAGAGTGAATGCAGAAGATAATAAAGGAATTAATGTAGATCCCAATGTTATAGCATTTTCATAAAGAATAGCTTATAAGACTGGATCTTTCTTTTAAAATACTGATAGAAATTATTTAAATAATCCTTTTTTAGTTTCATCATTTGAATCTACAGCTTATGCATCTCTTATATTTTTAAAGACTACACTTGTTTCTATACATATGGATAATAAATATAACTATCATATAATAAAATAATTATACAGCTAATCCCCAAGCATTGCCATGTATTTCACCAACATAATGACCATAATTATATATATTAAGAAATGATTCATATGAAATAGAGGCTCCAAAATATAAAAATAATGCAGATGGTATTAATGCAACTAAATGTTTTACTTTTTCTATTCCATATGGAAATTCTTTATTAGGACCTGATATATAAATGATAAAAATAACCATAATTAATATAATTGGTTGCAAATAAAATTAAATGATTGCTTGCATCAATCATAGATCTAGTTAATTCAGCCCAAAAAGTCTATTAGCTATTAATAAAATTAAATATACTTAGTAATATAATAGGCAGCAAATTTAATAGGTAATTAGATTGAATCATTAAAGACTTCTCTTCTTAAAACATCTAAATTAGTTTTACGATCCATTTCTTCCTATTATTTTAATCTTTCTAAATATGTAGGTAATTTATTGGCAAATCTTGACCCTTTGAATAAGTTGATTGATCTTAATATCTTATGCATTATAAATTAATATTAAATAATATAATAATATTAATTTAAAAAATTGTTTACTATAATTATATATAAATAACTTAATTCATTATTGCAAAAATTATTATTATATAAAGGACTAGATCTGTTATTAATCTTATAAATTATCCTATAATTATTAGATTTATTCATCTCCAATTCCATCAGAAATAATAAAATTATCTCCAAAATATGGATATAGATCTTTAAATTCATTACATAATATTATTTTTTATTTAGTTCTTTCACTTAAGAAAGGTTTTACAATAGTCATTACAGTTTTATATAGAAAATTTGGATAAAGTATATATGCTTAATGTAATCTTTCAGCATAATTGTCTTAAACAAGAGTTATCATTCTTTTTATTATTTTAAACATAGATGAATCAAAATTCTTAGTTGTAACTCCTTCTCTATCCCAAATAACAGTTATTTTACCTGTACCTGCTTATTCAGCTCTTTCTATTCCAATATCAATCATATATAACATATATCTAATAAGAGTATCAGGATCACTTTATCCTGGGAAATGTCTTCTAGCCTTAATAACTAAACAAGGATTCCCTAATTTATCTTATCCATTCCAAAATGTTTTATTCATATCAAGTTCTTTTCTAATTTCTTCAATTTTAATATCATCTGCTTTATATTATTTTCTCCATTCTACCCATCTATTCCATTATTCCCAAGCCTCATCTAATTTCCAATCTTTTGCTATTAATAATCTAATTAAATGAGCTTAATCTGTATATTTTTATATTAAATCATCTCTCAATAATTTTTATGCTTCTATATAAACACTTTATGTTAATTAATGTAATTTAGTTTTCTAATCTATTGTTAATTATATTATATTCTAATCCATGAATATATTTATAAATATCTAAAAATTAATTGATAAAATATTTATCAAATGGAAGATAATTAAACATAAATTGCATTTGATTATGTAGCATTTATCAATTAAATACCACACAATTACCCTTATGAATGCATTGGATTTATACTTTTCCTCTTTTATATCTTTATGTATATAACAGGAAATACAACTAATAAAAAACTTGCATTAAAATTTGCATCAACAACATATGACTTCTTTAAAACTAATTTCACTTATGTTGGTGTTACAAATAAAGAAAATGGACCACTCCTTTAATCAATTTCAAGTAATTCCTTTGGGTAATTAATTATATCTATATTTTTTAGATTTATAGCTTAAGGAAGAAATAATTTAAATTGTTTAGCTGTCACTATTGATCTAAAAAAAAGATAAGATTTATTATCTATGTTATTCTTTTCATTTATATGGCCTGAAAGAGATACAATAACTATTGATATACCTATAGCAGCTACACCATAACCAATTTGTTTTGCTTTGGTTAAAAAAAGAGATGCAAAATCATATAAAGAAGCTAATATAGATCTTAAATATCTTTGTGAGAAATTATCCATAGAAAAAATAGATGATAAGTAATTCATTTATATATATATAGTTTAACACTTGTCACACTTGGTGAAGGTAAAGAACCATTAACAACTATTTTTGATTCTAAATTATGTTAAGCTTTAAAGAAATATGATAAATACATACAAAATATTCATTTTACAGATTAAAAAACACTCTTACCAAAGTATATATATAATAAATATTTTAGTCCATATAATTTAAGAGCTACATTAATTAATATTGAATCATTAGATGATTATACAGAATTCATTTAATTGATGTTATAAATTGTTGATAAAATAGCTAATTTCAAATTATCATAATCTGCTAGATAATAATATGAAGAAGAGAGAGCTAAATTTGAAGAGATTAAATCTAGAGATGAAAAATAAAAGAAAATAGAAGTATATAATTTATATCTAATATATTATAGGAAGCATAAAAAAAGAAAACAGAGAAATTATAAAAGGAAAAATAAAAGATATTGTCTTTACCTAGAGAATAATAAATAAAATTATAAGAAAAAGAAAAGAGAGATGAAATCAAAAAGAAATATGCAAAAAGAACAATGTATATGTGAGATATTAAATTATGTATAATTATAAAATTTAAGTTGCACCACAAATTAATCATGCTTAATCAGATCATTATTATCATCCATATTCAACATTAAGTTATCAATCTTATACTAATAAACCTACATATTTATAACAGTTAGCAAATCAAAAATATTATAATGACTGTTATTATTAAGAAAAATAATATTATCCTTAAGCTGATCGTTAATTATTTTAAATATAGAAAGAATAACATTATGAATATATGACTAAACTAAATAAGAATTTAGAATTTGATTTTCAAACTTTAAAAAATAAGTAAATTATTCTTATATTTCAAAAGAATTGAAACATTATCAATTTCATACATTGAAGAAAGAGAATTATTTTAATAAATGATTAATGAAATTGCTTAATAATTACGTGATATTGAAAAATGTAAATCAAACATAGTTTCTATAAACTTTTCAAAATTATCAAATAATATAACAGTCATTGATTTATTAGAATATTTGCATTAATAGGATCTTAAATAAATTAAAAAGAGTGATATTGAGTTATTCTTTAATTCTATAAACTAATAAGTTCAATAAGATTACATATCGTAAATTATTCATTTATTCTTTTTAGAAAACTTAAATTATAAAATCTAATTGGAAAAGATTATCTTACAAAATAAGAATAAGATGAACATCTAGATTAAATATAAGCCAGAGTTCTAGCCATGATAATTCAAACTTATACTCATTTAGAATTTTATAGATAAAAATTCAAATATATGGCATTAAAATTAGATTATATTTTCAATTGGTTAGACTTTGATAGAGATGGAATTTTATCATTTGCAGATTTCAAAAGCAGATATCCAAGTGCAGATATAGTCTTTAAATTCTTTACATAACAAAGTTTAGATATTTAAACCTTTGTAAAACTATTACAACCACACTCATAAGCTAAATACTTTTGAATATTAAAAAATATAAATATAATATAAATATTTATAAGTATTTTCTAATATATATATTTAATTATATTATATATTTTGTTTAATATACATCTTTTTATTATATCACTTAAATTATTAATCATTTTTTTTAATCTATAATATATCTATAATGATTTTTTATTAAGATTTGAAAGATTTTCTTAATATTTTTGATATATTTATTTGAATGATGAATTATTAATATTATTATTTAAGAAGTAATTATTATATTTTTAATATAATAATAACATAATTTACTATATTAATAAAATGTAAGACATAGAATAAGAAAGATAAAGAAAATAAGACTTATTAATTTCATAAATAGTGGATGCTGGATATGATACTATTGCATTCTAGGTGTATTGTGAATAAATAAAGTAAAATGGTAGTTAAGATATTGATTTATGGACATTTGAAGAATTACAAAAAACTATTCAAGACTTCATCAAAAAAGAAGAGTAAATTATATAATAAAGTATTTAGTTAAAAAGAGGTTGAAAAACCATCTATTTAATAAAATACAAATACACAATTTTAGATTTAGAAAATTTAAGATGATAGCAACTTTATTACAGAAGTAGAATGTTAAAACCCAGGAAGAACAAAATTAACTGATTATATAATGGAAAATACACATAAAGTATTATATGATTTTTATTAAAAGTAAGTGGAAATAATAATGAGTGAATATATAAGTAAATCTGATGGCATCATTTCATCATATATATCATTTAAAATTGAGACAAAACCAATTGGATGGATTGTAAATAGAAGATTTACTGATTTTCTTAAATTAAGAGATATTTTAGTAATGACGTACCCATGTCATTTAGTTCCTCCTATTCCTGGAAAGAAATTGTATATATTATATATATACAATAGGAAATAATAGACAGGTGCAGCTTATTTAGAAAAACGTATGAGAATTATGGAATTATTTTTATAGAATTGCTTATATCATCCATTATTTAAGACTCATCCTTTATTTTCTGACTTTTTAGAAATTAATGATGATGCCAAATTAAAAGAGAAATTCAATTAATATGAAAGATAGAAGGGACCATCTAAACCATAAGAATATACAATGATAAATGGTTCTTGTGTTTTAGAGATTTCTAATGAGTTATAAAATTACTCAAATTCTTTAAGTGATTATTTAAAGAATTCATAAGATATATATAAAAAGACTGGAAATAATTTTAGTAAATTATGCACAGATTTAGAAAATCTTACTAATACATTAACTGCAATTACAGAAAATTTTAATACTTTAGATAAACTTACAGATGGTTTTATTAAATAAACTAAATCTTAAGGTGCAATAGAATAAATATAATTTGTTTATTAAGAATTATCAAAGTTTGTGACAGGATGGTAATATGGAGTCAATTTTTAAATGAAGAATGTTAAAGTAATTAAAAAGTATATAATTAGGAAAACTTTTATGAATTCTTTAGATATCATAAAAAGATGTAATCATCTGCTTATGATTATTTATAGAGCAAGAATTAATTGCAATAGAAATATCAGAATTTGAAAAATAAAGTGAATGAAAAAAAGGAGTAATTATATATTAAAGGTGATCCTACAAAATGGGAATTACCTCCTGATATTCCCAAGACTCTTAAAGAATTATAATTTAATAAGGGAGAAGCTTTTAAATATATGTTACCTAATGAAACTAAGTAAGTAAGTGAAATAAGGGAAATGTATGCATTTATGAATCATTAATTGCAAGAGGAAATAAATTAAATGATAGACTTTAGGATCAAAGTTTATGCAAAGAAATTTGTTAGGATGGGATAAATGAGAGCTTTAGAAACTGCTAAGTTTCATCACATATTAGCAAATTTCTTATAGGTTTTGGCTGAAATGTAAGGATCCACAACAGGGCAGATGTATAATAGAAGAGCTAGTGTATTTATAGATAAGAGATATGATTAATTTTTTGGGATAATACCAAAATGACCAATATTTTATATGCAATATAAATAATTTAAAGGATTTCTTATTATAAATTTTGATTATTTTTTTAAATATTAAAGACTATTCAAGGAGGGAAATGAACGAAGTAGATAATAAAGAATTAGATCTTTCAGTAGGTGTGTTATCTATATATATTTAATCACTTTATATACGATTATATAATAATTATAATTCATATTTTATCTTTAGTTTAACACCACTTAAATAAGCAACACTCAGGATTAAGACTCAAGAAACAACCTCATTTCAAAGATAAAAAGGTATATATTATATAATAATAATTAGGCTGAATGTTGTGAGATTTGTGGAATTGGATTTGATAGACAAATCTAATAACCTGAAATAGGTAAAGTCTAATATAAACATTTAGGTATGATGATTATAACATGTTATGGATGTTTATCAACTTGTCATTATTATTGTTATGGTATATCAACAGAAGTTGAAAAATTGTCAAATTCCAATAATTAAGGGTATTTTTAATGTGACAAATGCAAATCAAATAAATCTTAAGATTATCCATGTGTTGTTTGTAATTAAAAATAAGGTCTCAAAAAAAAATTGCATAATTCAAATGAATTTGTACATCCATTATGTGCTTAGTTCTCTAAATAAATAGAAATAATCTCATTTATAGAAATGAAATTTAACAAACTTAATAATTAAAATATTTCTTAAATTGAAAAATTAAATACAGAAAAAATAAAATAGAATTAATATGTTTGTGTATATTGTAAAGGTTCTATAGGAACTATTAAATGTAATAAATGTAATTCATTTGCTCATATCTATTGTATTATACATAAAATAACAGATTCTGGAGGATTTAGATTAGATTATTCAGAAAGTAATAAAGATAATTAATGGTAATGCTTTTTTAATTACAAATAAATACTTAATCTAGATAATATGATTTAAACAAATAAAGATAAATAATTACTAAAAAATAATGTTTAAATTATATTTGATTAATTTATGAAAATATAAGGAATTTCAAAGTAAATCAAATTTGATACATTATTTTAATAATACTTTTAAAATGATAAAATTGAAGAAGAAAAAGAGTAATTAATTAATATCATATTATTAGATCAATTTTATCATGGATTTGTTTTAAACATAAAAATACTAAATCTTATTGTTATTGTAAATAAGAAGTAGATACAGATGATATGGTATAATGTGAAACATGTACTGAATGGTTTCATGATTAATGTGTTAGAAAATATTAAAAAGATTTTCAAGAATAAAAAAATAAAGATATTTATTGTTGTCCATTTTGTATTAAATGGGCAAAAAATAAATTAAATCATATCTTAAGATATAATCCAGTATCTAATTTGAATCAATTATTTCCACCTGTTTTAAAATTGAATTTCGTATCACTTATAATTATTGCAATTTATTGTGAAAGAACTTTAAATAGAATGATTTCAAAATGTAATAATTTTATTAACAATATTAGATAATGAAACTGAATATAAAATTGTTTAATTTATTCTATCCAATCTACCATTTCCAAATTCTTTATAAACTTAACTTAATTAAATTGAAGAAAAATATAAATCCTCTGATATAATCAACTTTATTTTTTCTTAAAATATTGTTTATAGAGATGAAAATTAATGGATTATCAAATCTTAATTAGATTAAAATAATAATACTGTACCTGAAAATATTCAACATAATAATAATTTAAAAAATAAATTATTATAAGTTATTACCTTATTTAAAGATTTTGATGAATGTAAATATTATTAAGAATTATTATCGAAATTGAATCATTTACAAAATGCTTTTGAAATTATTATAATGAAATAAAAAATTACTAAAAATACTATATTAATGGAATATTAATCAAATGCATTTTAAGAATTTATTTATTTATAATAATAAATACCTACCTATAAAAAAATAAAAAAAGAGTTTATATCAACATTATAATAATCTCAAGATAAATTTTATGATTTTGAAACTAAATTTAATGGAATTATTGATTCTTCTGAAGAAGATAATGATGATGATGAACTTGAAGATTATTAAAAATTATAAAAATATTTTTAATTAGATATAGTTCCAATACAAAATTATTAAGAATTCTTTAATCTTATATCTCAATCTAGAATTAAATTAAATTAATTCAAAATTAATATAGAATATGTTAATAAGATTTTAAAATAAATTTAAAATTTATCTATCAAAGTATCCTGGATTTCATATATTGAATAAGAAGTTAATTAAGGATTACAAATTATTGGATAATTAGAGGATTCTAAATTAAATAATTAAAATAATGCAATTTAAATTCTAATCAATAAAATGGAATAAACATTCTGTTATTATAAAGATTTCCCTAAACATTATGCTTTTCTATCTAAAATTAAATTATATGAATTATATATTTAAGATCTTGATTATTATTAAGATAAAGATGATGAAGATGAAGATGATGATGATAGTGAATTATAATAGATAACTAAAGAAATTTAGATTAAAATCTCTATACCACATTTACAGATGTTAAAAGATTTATAAAAAGAAACTAGAGCTCCTTAAAAAGAAATTCAACTTTTAAATAGAGTAGAATAATAAATGAATGAATATAGATAGAAATTAAGAAATATAATACTCTAAAAAGGATTAAATGAATAATTAAGAAAGAAATATTAAGCAGAATTATAAATGAATAAATTATATGATATTCCAGAAATTAAAGAACTTTAATAAAAATTAGAAATATTTTAAGAAGTTGAAAAAATAAGATTATCTAAAACATAAACATTATAATAATTAGAAATGTGTTTAGAAAAATCTAAATAATATAATTTTGATGATAAAATAATAAATTAATTTGAGTAAGAAATAAATAAATATAATTAAAAAAGAAAAGAAATTTAAAAATTATTAGAAAATGAAATTTATGAAAGTGAATAATTAGATTAAGCTAAAATATATTTATAAGAAATTGCATAAAGTAAAATTGTATTTGAAGAAAAACAATAATTATAAAGTTTAAATAAATCTTGTTAATTTGTTTAATAATTATATGAATTTTATTAAAAGTATAAATCACCTGAATAAGAAATGGAAATTGAAGATGATAAAAATCCAGATTTGTAATTCAAAATTAATTAAATTTGCAATCCTTTATAAATTATATTTAAAAATGATCAAGAATCAATGATCTATGATTTAGAAGTCATTCTAAATAAATAACAAATCATATTAGATAAAAGAATCAATAATATTTTTAATTAATATACAAATTTCTTATGGTAAAAATAGGCTAAAATATTACTATCTTAATATGAATCAAAATAAGAAATAAGTAATCAATTAGTAGATTCTATAATATCAAAAAAGTTTAAATTATAAGATTCTTTAGCATAAAATAAATTGGATTAATTTATTGAATTGTTTAATAAATAACTTATAATTTTGAATTAGATAATAATACCATTATAAGATTACATTAATAAATAACCAAAAGAAATCTCATTATCTGAATGGATTGAAGGTTATAATTAAATAACTTTAAATATAAAAGGAGGAATATGGGATTAAGTAAAAATTTATAATGTATGGGTAACAATCATAATCAAATTCTAAGAAATCGAAAATTCAGAATTGCATACATATGAGAGTCTAAAGTTGTTATAAGAAATTATATAAATGTCTCATATGCCAAAATATTCAGCAATTATACAAATAGTAAATCAGAAAATTAATAACTTTAATAATTTAGTGGACAGATTCAAAGAATATGGATAAAGAAAATAATTATTTTTAGAGAAGAAGAAATCAAAGCAAGAATCTTTGTCATCTAAATAAAAATTTTATTTTTCAATTTTAGATGCAATAGATTTAGAATAAAAACTTAAAAGAATAAATAATATGGTACATGATTTCTTTTCTAAAGAATTTTGTACAGATTTAGAATATATTAAATAAATTTAAGAAGATTTTAATAATTGTCAAGATGACGATATCTAAATATATTCATAATTGTATTAAAGATTAACTTCATCATTTATATAGGATGATTTCTTATTAGACTAATTAAAAATAAAGATATATTAATCAAAGTTAAAAGATATTATAAAAGGAAGAAAAACAGTAGAATTAAATAAGGCAAAAAAATAATATAAAAGTTTGATGAATTTAATGGAATAAACTAATAATGAATTTGAAGAGTATATATAATAATTCAATAAATTATTAACAATTGGAGAAAATGTTTAAAATATTATAAATAAAGTAAAGAATGAATAAGATTACACATTTGAAGAGTTAGAATTATGTGTATAAGATATGGAGAAGATATCAAATATTTAAATAGAAAATAAAGAAGATTTATTAATTAAATATTAAGAATGTCTATAAGCGTAAAAAGAGATAAACGAAATATAAAATTCATCCATTAAAAGTAAAGAAATGTTAATCTAGAATTTATATGAAAAAATAGAATAATTACCTTTATAAGAAGAAAAATAATTAGTATAAACATGGTTAAATTAATATGAATAATTGAGAGGAAATTATATAACTATTAAATAAATGTTATAAAAATAAAAAACATTCTAAAGTTGTTAATTATTGACAGAACTTATAAAAAAGCTTTAGAAATCTAATGAGGATTGTGTTATCATTCATCCTGAAACTGAAAATTTATTAAGAGATTATTAAGAATTTAATAAAAGATTAGAATAAATTGAAAGTAATCCATAATCAGATAATGCTTAAAAAGAATTTTAAGAATTATAATCTAATTTAAGATGGGGAGAATAATATGAAAGAGTAAGAATGGTTATTTGGATTAAATAAATAAATTAATTAAAAAGTGGATAATCTAGTAAATAGGGATTCTCTTCTTTTCGAAATCTTTTAAATTAAGGATATGAAATTCTTGATTCTGCATTATTAAATAATTAAAAATTATAAGTTGAAAAAATTAAAGGATTAATTATATACTTAGAATAATTAATGAGTAAAATAATTGAGATTTTTACTAATGGGATTAATGGAAATTAAATTATTGAAGGAAAGATAGATATATCATAATTAATTTTAGAACTTTAACATATTTCCAATCATCAAAAGTAAGAAAAATTAAAAGATTTATAACCGAAGAAACCATTTGATGATATAAATCAATATTTAAATAAATTATAGATGAAATAAAAGAAAAAAATAATCCCATCAACTGCTAAAGATAAACCAGAACATAGTGTTAAGAAAGTAAAGAAATCTAATTATGATAATGATTATGAAAAATTAAGAATTGAAAAAAGAAATGAATTATTTAATGTTATGAAATAGATACCAATTTTAAAAGATAGAAAAGATTTGAATGATAAAATTAAAGAAATTGAAAATTAATAATTTGGAGAGTATGTTAAAAATAAATCAAGTATATTTAATTATATATTATATAGAATATGAAGAAATTATGTAATTAATAATAGAAACATATAAAGAATTGTAAAAATTTCCAAATTATTCTAAATAATTATTTTCTTCTTAAATTAATCTAGAAACTACTGCCAAAGCTATGTAAAAATATTAAGATGGTAAATTACAAAAATGCGAAGATAAATATAAATAAGTTAGATAATAAGATTAAAATTCATTATCTTAAATTAAGAATAATATTAAATTATAATCTTAAAAGATTAAACTTAAATCTTAAACTCAACTATTAACATAAAAATAATAACCACAAATAATGAAATTGGAAAAATTGAATTAATAATTAAATGATTCATGTCTATTGATACATAAATTACAAGAATAATAATAATTATAATAATAATAATAATAATAATAATAATAATAATAATAATAATAATAATAATAATAATAATAATAATAACAATAATAAATAATATAACTCTAATAAAGTTACAAATAATAATAATCAAAACAAAAATAATAAGATTAAGTACTATCCAGTATTTCATCCAGTCAAGATTCAATTTCTCAAGGATCTTCTGAATTTAAGTTAGTTCCAAAGAATAAAAGCACCCAAGGAGAATAAGAAGAGAAAGATCTCAAAACTTATTTAAATAAAAAAGATGTATTTAACAATATTTAATAAAATTTAGATTATTCCATATATATATGGAGATAAATTAACAAAAATAGGTTAAAATGGATCAAAATTAATTTTACCAGATGGTTCCACATACCTTATTGATTATTTTAGTCATTAAACAGAATTAAGATAAAATAAATTTCCAAAATTAATTTAAGATTTAAAGAATTCCAATTATCAAGATTAAGAATATATTTTAAAAGAAATAGAAAGAATGGCTAAATAAAATAGAAATTAAGTATTATCAGGATAAATAGTACCAGAGAAATTGAAAAATTTAGAAGCATTAAATAAAGTAAGTGAAGACTTATTGAAAGATCATAGAATATTGGAATATAAATTGGTTGATACAATTGTATATTTGATGCATCATGAATAAATGTTGAGATCTAATCTTTTTAGCAATTTTAGGTTAGAAGAGATTATTTTGAAATAGCATCTAATCAAATCAGATGAAATTTATAAGCAATAAGACAATTATACATCAACTTTGTGTTTTATAATTACATTAAAATATTAATAATAAGGAATTTGGGTCAGTAATTTTAGTGGAATTTCTATTGAAATAATAAAGAATCTATCATAAGTACATAATTAAAATAACATAAATTAGTCATATGAATTTAGAAAATGGAAAGAAAGCAGAAAAAATCAAGAGAAAATGTAATAAAAATTAATACTAGAAAATTCAAAACTTTAATTTGAACCAGTGACATCAGATGAAGAATTTAATGAAAATAATAATTAAGTAAGAAGTTTATCTATTTTATCTAGGGGAATGCTTAAAGTTTATAATACTAGGAATCAAATCATAAAGCAATTGGTTATATTGTTAATAATGGAAACTTTAACTCTAAATGAAATTATGTATAGAATATTAAGATTATATTATATTCGTTTTTTAAATAAATGTGCGTAGGTGATATATTGGGAATGTGTCTTGGTCCAATAGTAACTTGTGCCAAATATCTTTGTGGTGCACTGGGTCTTGGATTGCTTTTTACTGCAGGAGCAGTTGGCATTGATTTAGTAGTAGATTGGCCAATTGTTTTGATAATTATAGCATCCTTATTAGCATTGATCTGGTGTATTATAGTATACTGTGGAGGATTGTCAGAGAGAGATGATGAACCATAATATTTAGCAAAATAATTTGAGTTAATATGTGAAACATAAGAGATCGTTAGATAATATGAAGTATTCAATCAAAATCAGAATAGGTAAGACATAACTATGCAAGTGAGTTGGCTGATGGATGCATATAAATATCAAATGTAGCGATTGGAATGTTCTATAATTAATTGATTTATGCATTGATATTGTTACTCCTATTCTTATTAGCAACTGTATTATGCTCTAAATAATATTCTAGATATGGTTTATACCTGTAGGAACTAAAGTGGGTTTCGTTATTGGATTATTATTTGGGTTAATTTCTATTTCTATAATTGCTTGGACAGCATTTACATTTGCAGGTAGATCTATTTGTAGAGTCATTACAACAGCAATATAAAATAAGTGGGAATTATATGATTTTATGTATACAGTAGGATTTGGAGTAGTAATGATGTGCGTTGCGTCAATATATTTCATTTTCTTAATACTGTTTTTCTTATTCAAAAGTTTATAAGGAATTGATAATGATAACAAACCTTAAGATAAATTATAATTAATGGGTATCTGTTGTTGTGGTTATGCCATGGGAATTATAGTTTGTGCATTTATTTATAGAGAATCAACAAGTATATTAGGTCGAAGCATTTTTAATGCTATAGATGGTTTAGTAAAATGCGATAGAAATTTGAGTTTTAATAATCCTTACATTTCATCGCCAACTAAATTATTATACATAATATCTAATATTATAAGTACTTAAATTGTCAATATATTGGATACTGCTATTTGTATTGCAGTTTTAACAGTTGGAGGATTTGTAATATTTTCTAATTCAGAAGAAGTAGCAAAAGAGAATATTACATGGAAATCATTATTAGCACCTACTTTATACTTTTGTGTTAATGTTTTCTGTTCTGTTATAGTTTAGACTTTAAAAAGCATGATTTGGGATAATGAAGTTGTAAGATTCACTAAATTAAATATCAGATAATAAGTGCTGATAACTCATTTAATTACACTATTCATCTTCTTTTTTATGCCAATGGTTACAATGCTTAAGTAATTTTCATTAAAAGGAGTAGAAGCACCTGAAACTTTAGCTAAGGAAGACATTACAATCAAGAAAATTACTTATTGTTGTATTCTAGGTTAGTTAAGTAATTTGTTATTACTTTCTATTGGAGAATGGATGACATCACATGGATGTTAACCTGTTAGAAATTTGGTATTATTTTTTATCTTATTAAGAGGCATAATCATCATCAGATAGAATTTTAACATAATCATTCAATTATGCTACATATTTAAGTGCCATTGGATAAATACTTATTGTTTTAACTCTAGGAATTATAGCTACAGCTTCACATGCTTTAGCTGGATATGCAGGTATCTTAGCTGCAGCAGCAGGATTTTTAATTAATGTACTTATCATGGTACCATTATTTTATATTGGAACTATTTCACAAGATGGTGCTAAATTATGTGTTGCATCCCATGTTACTCAAGTTGTAGCTGAAAGATTTACTAAAATGACTTGGGCAGCTAGAAATTATATGATATACTTAAAAATTACCAATGCTGGCTCTGCCATCTTATTAGCTTTAACATTTTTAGGAGGAGCTTTATACCTCTTTAAGGTTGACAATAACCCATTAATTGATTTTAATGGAATTTTTGGTATTCTTTTTGGTATAGGATTGGCATTCTTATTAAAAGGAATGACTGTTGGATCTATAATTACTATATCTAAGATCTTTGATCTAAACATTTATGAGAGTGGAATAGCAGCAGAAATTGCAAAAAGAAATACTCTTTCTTTACATCGTTATTTTGAAAGTAAACAACTCTTAGCTATATTCTGGGTGTTCTTAATAACTATAACAGACACTTTATTAATTTTTGGATTTGGTTATTTTTTTGGAAAAAGAGGATGTCCTGGATTTTTATTAGGACATACAGTAGTTATACTATTTCTTATGTGTTATTCAATTATAAATGGAACTGCATTAAAATAGAGTCGATATTATAATGAAGGTAAGATTTTTGCTTTATATTATAGTGGATGATAAGATTTCTAAAAGAGGAAAAATCTATTTGTCATATGTTGAAGGAGACATGTATGGTACTTCAGTTGAAGAGAGTACATCTATTCCATTAATTGTTTACTTATTATACAATACAATTCTTATGACATGTGCTTATCCATTCTTTGCAGGAGAAGGGTATATTAGAATAATTATATTTAGAGACTTATTTGTGGAAAAACCTTAAGAAACCAAGTTTTTGTGATAAATAATATTATATACAAAATAATAAAAATATTATAATAGAGTTTTCATAATTAATTAATTCTTTTAAGTAAACTTAACATCTCTATTTATAATTTTTTAGCTAAATCACTAACTTCGATTTTATTTCTCTCAATTAATTTAGTCAATTTAGACATTTAAATAATTTGCTTTAATTATTCTACTATTTTATCATATTTGGCAATTCTTTCTTCTCTACTTAAATCTACTTTAGACATCTAATTAAAACACTTTATTGTTTAAATATCCTAATACTTATGGATTATAAAATTGTACATCTCTATAAGTAGTAAATGTTTTATAACAAAAAAGCAGACCACCTTTAATATGAGATAAGTATTTTGAATCTATTAAAATCTTGCATTTCTCTAATAACTATGGTAATTGTTCCATTGGAATTGATTTGAATTTTTAACTCTAAGCACACATTAGTAATGCATCAAATAAAATGGATGGCTCACTTAATTAATTTATTGCATTTACAGCAGATTTTATATTATTATTACTCCACCAATGCATAATTGGTTTCATATAATTGATTCTTTAATTTAATATTTAAATAACTTTACTATGATCTTTTAATATCTCATTAATTTAATCCATTTATTTAAATTTTTATTTATTTGAATCATCAATTACAAAACTAGACAAATTAACCTCATCATGACTTATTATTAAATCCAAACAACTCTATTTCATGTCTTCCTCTTAAATAACACTTTCATAATTTATTCTTTAAGCAACTTAATTAGTAGGTAAAAATTTATTTGAATTATTGTTACACAATTAAAATCCTTATTCCTCTAAAATATTTCCATATCCTTATATTTAAGTATTTTTTGGTTTCAATACATTTACACTATGTCTTTCATAACATTGATCATTAATTTAACATCCATGTATTTTTTCACTATGATTTCTATAAATGTGTTTTTCATTATTAATATTATTCATCTTAGTTCCAAATATACTTAAACCTGTTTAATTTTATGTAGTTAATCCAACAATATCTTTATTATCAAAAACATTTAGATCTAATATACATTTCCATTGACTATCAATATAATCCAATAATAATCCGTCTCTTTTCATATCCCATGCTTTTAAAGAGAAGTTTTAAGCTGAAAATAATTGTTGACCATTTTCACAGAACTTTATTTAATAAATACATTATTTATCTGGTATTGTTTAAGATATTAAACTTAATCTATCTACATCCCAATATCTAATACAACCATCATCTGAACATGCTGCAACAGCTTTATCAACTGGATTAAATTATACACAACATATAGGCCAATCTGACTCATTAAATGACGCCAATTATTTTTAGGTACTCATTTCCCAAATTTTAACACATCCATCATTTGAACCTGAAGCCAATAATTTTCCATCTTAAGACACCATCATACTATTAATTTATAATTTATGAGATCGTAATGTTAATCCATTATTTTACTATCGTGAATCCCAAATCTTAATTTAATTATCCATTCCTCCTGATATCAATAAATTATTATCATTAGGAAAAATACTTAAACAACTAATGCCAGATAAATGACCTTTTATATTTTGTAAAACTAAAATAATTGAAAATTAATACCTTTTTAAGTTGATATATCCCAATAAGTTAAAATTCCTTTATTAGACCCATTCACTAATTCGTTTTCTGATTATGAAAATATTATAGATGTTATTTCATTTTAACTTAATCCAAATTATTTATTAAATGGATTCTATATACTCAATTCACTTAAACTTTTTGAATATTCAATCTTGTTTATAAAAATCTAATTTTGATCATCTACAAATGTAAATAATCTGCTATTTTATCCTGAAAACTTTGCTATTTTTATTTTTGTTTGACTTTCTATCTCTCCTAAATATATTAATTAAATAATACCTAATTTCATGTTCCTACTCATTTAATTTAAAATAATACTCTAATTATTTTATCGTTAATTATTCAATTTTTTACAATAATTATGAATTGGATTTTAGAAATCAATTTATTTTATAAATAATTCACAAAAAAAGCCTACTCATTATTAGGTTTTAATGAAACTTCTGCTGTTCCTTTCCTAAATGTAAATAAATTGTATATTTAAAAAAAAATAATCTAAGAATTGATATATTTTATATTAATATCAATTTTTATTAAAATTCTTTAGTATTTACAATAATAACAAAACTTATGCATTTTATTATTAATTTATATTCTACTTTTTCCTAGCTCTAACGAATTTAGAATAAAAGTAAGTCTTAACCTAGGGCACAGCCATTATTAGATTATTAATTAAATTTTATTATTTGATAAATATCGAATGAAATTAATACTTTTTAAGTTGATTGAAAAAATTGCGAATGCCATTAAAATGGTTGAAAAAGTACCAAAGTAATCGATTTCCTCTTTTAAAAAATGACAGGCAAAATTAAAAAAAATATGTAAATTTATTCTTAACATGAATAATTCGTTTTCATTTTAACAATGGCAAAAGACCTCCTTTCTCATGAAGCTCATGCAAATCTGAGTTGCCACCTATGAATTGATTATTTACAAAAATCATAGGGATAGTCTCATAATTTAAGTGTTTTCCTAATGCTGATCTTTCTTATTCAAATTATGCTGACACATCAGTTCCTCTATAGTCAAATTCTATATTAAGGCTTGTTAAAAGGGCCTTTGCCTTTGAACAATAAGGACAATGTGTGGCTCCATATAAAATTACTTTTTTTTCTGATTTTAGATCAGCTGGTGTTAAAACCTACATTTTTTTAATTATGAAATTATTTAAACAATTTTTATTCGATTTATACCATTTCATGACTATTAATTTGTCATTAATAGTATGAAATATATTTTTACTGACACCTTTTTTATTTTGTGAATTGATTTAAAAAATTATTAATAAATTATAATGACTTTTATACTACAAAGATGTTTTCAAATAATTTGTATTCCGACAATAATTTTCAATTCACATTAATGATAAACATATACTGTAAAAATTATTACTTCTTTAAATCTAAATATTTGTTTATGCACAATTTGATATTAAATTATTATGAAAAATGAACTTATCATAAAAAAAATAATAAATTGGAATTTATATGAATAAAGGAGACAAAAATATTAAAGAAAAAAATAAATTGATAGATAAAAAAAAAGATTTATAATAAAATAATAAGAATTATAATTTACTGGTGAGAAATTTTTCTTTTGAAAAAATTAAAAATTCCTAATTATTTGAAGAATTTAATTGTGATTTTATAAATTTTGATAGGCATATTTCACTTGATTTTTTGTTTCATAATCATTCAAAAAGAATAAATTAAGTCTTTACATTAGTTATTTTTAGAAATTAAATTAAATTTATCTGATTTATTGTAAAAATTACAATAATACTAATTTAATATAAAAAAACTAAATGTAATTAAACTTTTTAATCTGAATGAGAATTAAACAAGATTAACAAATTTTTTTCAATCTCTTTTTCATTAGAACTTTTTAGTGAAGGTAGTTTCATCCAATGAGGAGTACATTATAAAATTGAAATATTTATGATAAAGAGGAATAATAAGAATAAAATAGATTATAGAAAAGGAAAAATTTCAAAAGAGATGTAATTATTTTTATAGAATTTTTACCGAAAAAATATATATCAACAAATAGTCATCATCTCCACTTTTTACAAGAAAACATATATTCAAGAGGCCTAATAAAAAATAAATTTTATTCTAACTTTTGTAAGTAAAGCAAGGCATCACAAATGATCAACAATTTTTAATTGTAATTAAATTTTATCATCATCAATTATCAATTCAGGTAATCGTTCTCTATTATTGTTCTATAATCTTATCAATAGTTGTGATTTTATTAATATTTTTTTATAATTTCATTAAAACATTAAAATCAATATTGTGCTCCATCTTAAGATTTATTATTACATTCCTCATTAATTTTTCATTAACTTAAATTTATTTGAAAGGGATATCGTACATTAATAGATATAATCTTAGTTTACTTTATTTCGTGCGATTAAATTTAGGTATCAACCTATCCATATCTATTTAAATATGTAATAATTAGATTTTTCTATTGTCTGTAGCCAATTCAAAGAAAAATTTTGTTTTTTTAACGTAAAACAAAAATTTTATTTGTTCAAACAGTCGAGCCTTAAACTTTTTGGATGTTTATTATTTCCATTTGTAATCAAATTGTTTTTTTAATAAGATTTTATTCTCATTAATAATGGTATAAATGATGAAGGTTTTATAACAATTATAATCTTATTATTATTCTTAACTAAATATTAATAAATGATATAAACTTATAAAATTCATCAATTAGTTATATTCTCCGCTAAGGTTTTATAAAAGGAATATAAATATTAAAAATTGATGAATTATAACAATTTCATAAAATTTATACGATTATTTATTTTCTGGATACAAACTAAAAAATAATTAAAAATTATTTATTCTTAAATACATAGTTAGTTATTTTTAAGATTATTGTTAATTCATTAATATTCTTAATAAAATATAAAGTAATTAATATTTTAAATTTATTTATTATAAAAATATGAAATTGAGAAATAATAATTTCATTTTATCTGTTTATAAAAAAATAATTCTACTTAATTGCAATATCATAATTTAAATTTTCATAATATTTATTCCATAGTATTTAGCTTAACTACTTTCTAGGTTCAAAATAATTTTCAAATTTATTTCTAAATAATCAAAACAATTTATCTATAATCATAAGTTCCACAAATGAGACTGCAAATAATAACAAAAGAATCTCAAATTAAAGAAATTAATTGATATATGACTTTATTTCAGCTAGGAATTCTCTAAACTTCTTAAAATTTCTCTTCTAAGACTTTAAATCACTTTATAAAAATATGTAGTAATTTAAATTAAAAAAAATAGGCTGGCCTAAATCCTAGAAAAAAAAGTATAAATATTTAGAGTATAAAAACTTTTATGTTATTTTAGTATTATAAATTAATTAATTCAAATTCAAACTACAAGAATATTCAAATTTAATTAGTTGAAACTTAGAACATATTATTATTAAGAATCTATTTTATCAATTTCAATTATTTCTTAAGATGAATTTACCACTTTGTTTCTAGTTATCCTCATGAACTAAATCTCATAGATAAGAAATTCCTTTTTTAATAGCTTTAGAAGGTTTAAGAAAAGTTAATCAAATTAATTATTCAAGTAATCCTCTGAATTATGCCAAGTGTTTAAATTTTATGGATAATTTTAATTTTTAATCGAAAAATGGTTAAACTAAGTCTAAATAACTTACCATCTAAATAAAGGGGCTTATAAAATATTTAGTCTTGTGATCAATACAGAAAGGTATGTTAAATCAGCTGGTCATAAATTACTCTCATGTACCAGGATTCTAAGAAAAAAATACTCTATATTACAATTAGATTTTACTTAAAATACTTGATTAAAGCTTAAATTAAATGATATTATTAATTCTAATCATAATTATACTAAATCATAATTATAGAATGAGACTATAAATATAATGAAATTCCTAGGGTTGACTGAAGCACTAAAAGCAACCTTCAAAAAATTTGCTCAATTCAATTTTCTAAAAACCCAATATAAAAAATATTTGCTTAAGCCAGTCTGAAAGTATTTCAGATGCATTGCTGAGACAATATTGAGGAGAACTTTCATTGCAATTAGGAACAAAAAATTATTCAAGATTTGAAAATTTAGTTTCATATTTTCCTTAAAAACTGAATATTAACAAGTTTAACAACATTAAAATTTCAAAAAAAGGTTAAAGTGTAATCAAAATCAAATCTAGATTATTTTTAAATTAACAACATTAATATCAATTATAAATTAATTATAATAACACGAAAATATTTCAAAATTCTCAATAATAATTAAAATAACAAATTTGTTTCCACAATATTAATAATTTAGGACAAAAACATATGTCTAAATATATGGTTGAGAAAAATGATGATTTATTCACCCCAAAAGGTATTGATTAATAAAATATCTTTAATACATTTTTTAACAGTTTCCTCCAAAATATAATTAAGAAAACAATATTTTAATTCTAATTGAAAAAAAAGAGAATTTTTATAAAAAAACTTAGATTGGAATATTCATTTTTAGACCGTTTAAATAATTATAAATGACCAATGAACTATACTATTTTTGATGTAATTTTTATCTTTTGATAAATTTATAATGGAAAAAATTGAAATTAAGTATTTCTCTAAATTCTATAAATATTTCAATAAAGTTGATAAATTTGGCTCTTTTTTTTCATTTCGGAATCAGCTAAAGCACTTATATTGAATGACATACCTTTTAATTGTGATATTTGAGGATCACAAATAGATAATGCTTAATCATAACAAACTATTGCTTATGAATATTGATTGTTTTCATGTAGTGCAAATCCTATGTTAAAGAATATTTTACCTTTATTAATAAGTGCTAAATGATTATTTGGATCAATTGATATAGCTTTATCACAACACTGAATTGCTTCTTAATAGATTCTTAAACTTGTTAAAGCGAAACCTTAATAATAATGTTTTAAAATTCATTACTCTTATTGTTCCATGCCATATCATTATTTGGATTAATTGATAAAGCTTTATCACAACACTCATTTGCTTCTTAATGTCTTTTTAAACAGTTTAATGCGTAACCTAAATGATACTAAATATAAACTATTACCCTTGTTGTTCCATGCTATATCATTTTTTGAATTAATTGATATAGTTTTATCAAAGCATTTAATCGCTTCTTCATATCGATTTAAACTGTTTAATGCAAAACCTAAATGATAATAAAAATTAATAGTGTTACCTTTCCATATATAAACATCGACATCATTACTACATTAATTTATTGAATCATCAAACTTAATCAAAGCCTGTTCAAATTCCCTAGTCTTAGTTAATTATTCCCCTATTTTACTTTATTCATAAATTTTACCTTCAATAAATAATGATTTTGCCTATAATTGCTTACAAGTATCATTATTCTCAGTAATTTCTACAATTTTAATATTTTTTGAATTGCCAGAGTTAGCTTTAGAATTAATTTCATCATTTACAATATCCTTAATGGCATTAAAAATTTTATTCAATTCGATTATTTGTTATTCTATTAATATTACTCAAATTGATACTTGTTTCATTTTCTTTTTTTTTTGAATAAAACTGTTAGATTATGTTTATTTCAGATTTTAAATTCTAATACTCTTAATTTCCAAGTTATTAGTCCATATTTTTTAATTTTGTAATCTCTTGCTCTTTTTTTTTGTAAATTTAATCAAGTGAATTCTTTATTTTATCAATTATTTCTTTTATTTATTTACATGGTTCATCTTAAGCTTGTATGAATTCTTTAATATCTTTGCTCATTGTAACAAATCGAATGCAATCATTCTAATGATCTTAATGAGTCATTATTAAACATTAATAACAATATTATTTTTCCTACTTACAATGTTCATTTAAGCAAAAACCTAATATTTCTTCATCTTGATGGTTTAGATTATTACACTTATAAGTTTCCATTTGAATTAAAATTATAATTATTAATTAATTTATTTCATTCGTCCTCAGAATTTAAATATAATTCTTTTTACAATTTAGCTTTAGGATTCCTTGTAACTTTAAATTGATATATTGTATTAAATTTAAGCATTATTTATCATAAAATTGATTGAAGAAAGAAAAATGAGAAAAATGCTTATAATTGAATACTATTTATTAGGGGATCTCTATAATTTTTTTAAAAGAAGTTGGAATTAATAAACTTAAATAGAAACCTCATAATTCTATCAATCAAATTTATGGGAATTGTTATGAAGTTTTAATAAAAATTATTTTTTACTAATATTAAATAATCTATGATTACATGTTAACTACATCAATATCCATTCATATGTGTAAGCTAAGGCATTGACGAAATTTTTCTTAAGACTATAAAAATTACAAATTAGCTTTCAATTTCAGATATTTCAGCAAATTCTACAATATCCTTCACAATTTCCTATTTAGAGAGACTTAATAGTTTTTCTTAGTAGATAATATAGGATATATTTTTCTACTATATTTTTAAGGTCAAATTAATATTAAGAATAATTTATTTTTATGATGAATATTCTCTAAAATATTAAAACAAGTAAGTAATAGAGATATAAAAACTTTTCAATCATTTATGGCTTACAAAACCAAAAATAATTTAGTAGAATCGGATAGAGACTTCTGTTACTATATTATCTTACAAATTAGATTACATTCAAAATTCTACTATGTTCTGCCATACTTTCTTTAATGAACTCTAATTAAAAATGATGGTAAAGTAGGAAGTAATCGTGAAAATAAAGACCAAGTTTAAATTGATGAATATGAATAAGTCAATATATTTATTTAAAAAGCTTTATGAAGTTAGAGAATATAAAATTTAAGATTAAAAAATTTTAATACATCAGAAGAATTTATACTTAAATTAATCATTATTACAAATTCAAATCTTCATTTCTTATCAATTCAAATATCTGAGCAGACACTTATGAATTAGAGTATCACTTATTTTTAAAAAATATAAATAATTGTTTTTATAATTTTTTCAATTTATATTTTTAGACCTTGCTATTAGATAAGATATACATACTTGTTTAGCAATAAAAAAATATTGTCTTTAAATTTAATTAAAATTATAATTTAATCTTTATTTTATATAAATAGAATTCATATTAATTGTCTAAAAAGACTTTCTTTCTTCTTTTTATATATTTAACTGGCAATACTCTCTAATTATTTTTTTTCTTAATCATTCATTTCTAGTAAGTTTAATAAAATCTGCAAATACCCTTATGCATCTTTAGACCTTAAAAATTATATAATCAATATTTACTAATTTTGTAGAGAAACAATAAAAGATATGAGTAATTATTTTATCTATAATCTAAATGATGTAATATCCATCAAGTCAATTATTTTTTGAAGTTAATGAATCTATTGTTATAAATCATTAATAATCTAATTATCTACTAAATTTTAATTGGAATTCAAAATTTATTTTTCTTAATTTTTATTTTCTTCCAATTTGTTCTCCTCTTTCTTTGAACTATTAAAAAAAATATTATTTGAAAATGATTTACCTAAACATTAACAAAAGCTCTTTCATTTTATCCTCTAAATTTTAAATGAAATATGCCAATTCCTGATCTATCCATTTTTAACATTTTTCCATATTTTTTAAGTAAGATTTTTTCTTATTATACCAATCATCTAAAGTATTTTCCTTAACAATTTATACCAATTCTTCTAAATTAGTGTATGAGGATTCTGCTAGATTATAATTTTTATTCAAGAGATTCAAATATTCTTAATTTTAATTTTAAATAATGTCATATATTGAAGTAATTGATTATGACAATTATTCCCAAACTTTCTGAATAACAATTATTGTATGAGATAGGAGAGATTTAAAACTCATTATCTATTGGTTTAATTCAGAAACATCATCAAGTCTATATTCTTGAAATTTCTTAATAACTTATTCATGAAACTTATCAATAAGAACTGTTTTGTGGTAATCAAGCTCTTTTTCATGTATACATTCAACACAGAGTTTCCTTTAACATTTGTGAGAAGCAACACATATTAAAGATATTACACTTTTAGGATGATGAACACAATTCATATTTTTAATAATAATAATACTAAACTCTATTAAGATTTAATATAATGAATTTGAAAATATATCTTTTCTATTATAATGGATTTAATCAAAAATTCATAGATTATCTTATCTTTATCACTTTAGATAAGAATAAATTGGTCTAATCAAACTAATAATAAGAAATTGATTTATAATTCAAAAATATAGATAATTGTATATTTCGAAATAATGGTATCTAAGCTTCAAATTAGATTTAAATACCTTTAATTTCTAGCAAAAATTGAAGTATATAAACCTCTTTAAAAAATAACTACTCCTATATTATATTAAAAATAAATAAGTTAAAATTTTTTTTAGGTTCTTTCCGAAGCATTAAAGAAATCTTTGAAAATTCCTAATATTGCAATCGTAACTAACAATTTGAAATATAAATTTATTCTAAATAAGTATTTAAATTAATCTGAATACTTTAGAGCAAAAATGAATTATATTGGCTATATCTATTTAGAATTATACATTACATCTTAATTTCTAAGTGGTTAAATGCAAGGAATATGGTTAAAAATATTCTCCGCTCTTTAATAATGGATCATTCTCTAATTGAGAATAACCAAAATCCTCTCTCCTTATAGATCATAAATTAAATAGATGAGTATAGAGGAAAATTCTAAAAAAAGAGAGTCTAATTTTATACTGAAAGCTAACAAACTAAATAGATTGTTATGCAATTTATCAAAAAGAATTTATTTTTTAATTTGGAAACAAATTGGAGAATATAAGCTATATTACCTAACGGTTATGTCCTTAAGTTTGAAAATTATATGATAGAAATAATCACTGATCCAGGTCTCTCCAGATTGAGCAAGGTCAAGATGCAAGTAGATGAAACTCTTAGACATATAGATTCTACCCCAAGAAGGAGATCATTAATTCTGTCAATTTATTTTGACTATGAAAGAATGAGTTATATGAAATCATTAAGCATTAACTTATTTGTTTCAACATTTTATTTATGATTATTAAATCTCTTCTATTTGATTTTATTAGAAATATCTTAGAAATTTGGATAATTGTTTGTACAATATACAACTTATAACAAAATAATAAAAATTTAATAATTTTTTTTTAATTAAATTTAAACAATAAACTGAACACACAGGAAATAATTAAAAATGCCATTAAATGGCTTTCATTTTGTTATTAGAGTTGATCAGATAGTAAAAAGTTCATAATTATTTATTATATTTATGAGATGATTAAAAATTAATGAAATTGAAAAGGTATTTGAATTTTCCTTAAGAAAGGCTGCTGAAATTTTGTCTCCTAATAGATTAAAAATTTTTATTAAATTATTGTGTATGCTTGAAATAGTATTTATAATAATTGAATTAGAATTTATTTAAATTATAATCTTCATTTTGTTTATAATTGCTAAATGGCTTCAATATGGAAGATAAAAGGTTTTCGTAATTTTTAGTTGTATTTTTATTTTTAAGGAATAAATGATCCTAATTTTAATCATCAAAGTAATTTCATTTTTATTTTTCTTAAAATCATAAGTAGTATTAATTCAAAAATGTCTTAATTA